GTGTGTCTGTGTGTTTGTGTGTGTATGTGTGTGTGTGTGCGTGTATGTGTGTGTGTGTCTTTTTTTCTGTGTGTGCGTGAGTGTCTGTTTGTGTGAGCAGAATAATAGCCATAGATGATGTGTTCCAGCGTGTGCCGCGGGGGTCAGTGGCTCTGCTCCTCAGAGAAGTGTGCCGCTCAGTGCAGCCTCATGGGGGCGCTGCACGTCTCCACCTTCGACAACAAGAGATACTCTCTGCAAGGAACTGACTGTACTTTTACTGCTGTAGAGGTACACAACACCCTGACCTCTGACCCTGACCCAGACCAGACCCTGACCTAGACCCAGACCCTGACCTAGACCCAGACCCGATGTGTGTTACTTACATGTGTGTTACTGTTGTGTTGCTTTCAGGACTTTGTGGACCGGAAGCTCTCAGTGAGTGTGCGGACTGAAGAATGTGGAAGGGGGCGGGGCTGTCTGACCGAGCTGTCAATCACAGCTCTGCACACCACTGTCTCCATCAGTCGCTCAGGTGAGAACTGAGGGTAAGGACTTGTACGGGGTTAGTGTTAGTGTTAGTGAGTTAGGGTTAGTGAGTTAGTGTGTTAGTGAGTTAAGGTTAGTGTTAGTGTGTTAGTGTTAGTGTGTTAGTGAGTTAAGGTTAGTGTTAGTGTGTTAGTGTTAGTGAGTTAAGGTTAGTGTTAGTGTGTTAGTGCGTTAGTGAGTTAAGGTTAGTGTTAGTGTGTTAGTGAGTTAAGGTTAGTGTTAGTGTGTTAGTGTTAGTGAGTTAGTGTTAGTGAGTTAGTGAGTTAAGGTTAGTGTGTTAGTGTGTTAGTGTTAGTGTGTTAGTGAGTTAAGGTTAGTGTTAGTGTGTTAGTGTTAGTGTGTTAGTGAGTTAAGGTTAGTGTTAGTGAGTTAGTGAGTTAAGGTTAGTGTTAGTGTTAGTGAGTTAGTGTTAGTGAGTTAGGGTTAAGGCCAGTGGGTTAGTGAGTTAGGGTTAGTGAGTTAGTGTGTTAGTGTGTTAGTGAGTTAACGTTAGTGTTAGTGTGTTAGTGTTAGTGTGTTAGTGAGTTAAGGTTAGTGTTAGTGAGTTAAGGTTAGTGTTAGTGTGTTAGTGAGTTAAGGTTAGTGTTAGTGTGTTAGTGAGTTAAGGTTAGTGTTAGTGAGTTAGTGTTAGTGAGTTAGTGAGTTAAGGTTAGTGTTAGTGAGTTAAGGTTAGTGTTAGTGAGTTAGTGTTAGTGAGTGTTAGTGTTAAGGTTAGTGTTAGTGAGTTAGTGTTAGTGAGTTAGTGTTAGTGAGTTAGTGTTAGTGTGTTAGTGTTAGTGAGTTAGTGTTAGTGAGTTAGTGAGTTAAGGTTAGTGTTATTGTGTTAGTGTGTTAGTGTTAGTGTGTTAGCCTTAGTGAGTTAGTGTTAGTGAGTTAGTGTGTTAGTGTTAGTGTGTTAGTGAGTTAAGGTTAGTGTGTTAGTGAGTTAGTGAGTTAAGGTTAGTGTTAGTGTGTTAGTGTGTTAGTGTTAGTGTGTTAGTGCGTTAGTGAGTTAAGGTTAGTGTTAGTGTGTTAGTGAGTTAAGGTTAGTGTTAGTGTGTTAGTGTTAGTGTGTTAGTGAATTAAGGTTAGTGTTAGTGAGTTAAGGTTAGTGTTAGTGTGTTAGTGAGTTAAGGTTAGTGTTAGTGTGTTAGTGAGTTAAGGTTAGTGTTAGTGTGTTAGTGTGTTAGTGAGTTAAGGTTAGTGTTAGTGAGTTAGTGAGTTAAGGTTAGTGTTAGTGAGTTAAGGTTAGTGTTAGTGAGTTAGTGTTAGTAAGTTAGTGTTAGTGAGTTAAGGTTAGTGTTAGTGAGTTAGTGTTAGTGAGTTAGTGTTAGTGAGTTAGTGTTAGTGTGTTAGTGTTAGTGTGTTAGTGTTAGTGAGTTAGTGAGTTAAGGTTAGTGTTATTGTGTTAGTGTGTTAGTGTTAGTGTGTTAGCCTTAGTGAGTTAGTGTTAGTGAGTTAGTGTGTTAGTGTTAGTGTGTTAGTGAGTTAAGGTTAGTGTGTTAGTGAGTTAGTGAGTTAAGGTTAGTGTTAGTGTGTTAGTGTGTTAGTGTTAGTGTGTTAGTGCGTTAGTGAGTTAAGGTTAGTGTTAGTGTGTTAGTGAGTTAAGGTTAGTGTTAGTATGTTAGTGTTAGTGTGTTAGTGTTAGTGTGTTAGTGTTAGTGAGTTAGTGTTAGTGAGTTAGTGAGTTAAGGTTAGTGTGTTAGTGTTAGTGTGTTAGTGAGTTAAGGTTAGTGTGTTAGTGTTAGTGTTAGTGAGTTAAGGTTACTGTTAGTGTGTTAGTGAGTTAAGGTTAGTGTTAGTGTGTTAGTGTTAGTGAGTTAGTGAGTTAAGGTTAGTGTTAGTGAGTTAGTGAGTTAGGGTTAGTGTTAGTGAGTTAAGGTTAGTGTTAGTGAGTTGGTGTTAGTGAGTTAGTGTTAGTGAGTTAGTGTTAGTGAGTTAAGGTTAGTGTTAGTGAGTTAGTGTTAGTGAGTTAGTGTTAGTGTGTTAGTGTTAGTGAGTTAGTGTTAGTGAGTTAGTTTTAGTGAGTTAGTGAGTTAGGTTAGTGTTATTGTGTTAGTGAGTTAGTGTTAGTGTGTTAGCCTTAGTGAGTTAGTGTTAGTGTGTTAGTGTTAGTGTGTTAGTGAATTAAGGTTAGTGTGTTTAGTGTTAGTGAGTTAAGGTTAGTGTTAGTGTGTTAGTGTTAGTGTGTTAGTGCGTTAGTGAGTTTAAGGTTAGTGTTAGTGAGTTAAGGTTAGTGTTAGTGTGTTAGTGTTAGTGTGTTAGTGTTAGTGTGTTAGTGAGTTAAGGTTAGTGTGTTAGTGTGTTAGTGTTAGTGTGTTAGTGAGTTAAGGTTAGTGTTAGTGTGTTAGTGTGTTAGTGTGTCAGTGAGTTAAGGTTTAGTGTTAGTGTGTTAGTGTTAGTGAGTTAGTGAGTTAAGGTTAGTGTTAGTGTTAGTGAGTTAGTGTTAGTGAGTTAGGGTTAAGGCAGTGGGTTAGTGGGGTTAGTGGTTAGTGGTTAGTGTGTTAGTGAGTTAGTGTGTTAGTGTGTTAGTGAGTTAGTGTTAGTGTGTTAGTGTTAGTGTGTGAGTGAGGTTAGTGTAGTTAGTGTTAGTGATGTGTTAGTGTTAGTGAGTTAGGTTAGGTTAGTGTTAGTGTTAGTTAGTGTTAGTGAGTTAGGTTAGTGAGTTAGTTAGTGAGTTAAGGTTAGTGTTAGTGATTTGTGTTAGTGAGTTAGTGTTAGTGAGTTAGTGAGTTAAGGTTAGTGTTAGTAGTTAGTGTTAGTGTGTTAGTGTTAGTGAGTTAGTGTTAGTGTTAGTGAGTTAGTTATTGTGTTAGTGTTAGTGTGTTAGTAGTGAGTTAGTGTTAGTGAGTTAGTGTTAAGTGTTAGTGTGTTAGTGTTAGGTGTGTTAGTGTTAGTGAGTTAGTGAGTTAAGGTTAGTGTTAGTGTGTTAGTGTTAGTGTGTTAGTGTTAGTGAGTTAGTGAGTTAAGGTTAGTGTTAGTGTGTTAGTGTTAGTGAGTTAGTGAGTTAAGGTTAGTGTTAGTGTGTTAGTGTTAGTGTGTTAGTGTTAGTGAGTTAGTGAGTTAAGGTTAGTGTTAGTGTGTTAGCCTTAGTGAGTTAGTGTTGGTGTTACTGATGATGTGTGACTGTCCAGGGACCATCACTCTGAATGGGCAGAGACGACTGCTGCCACTGGAGACTGGGGACCTGGTGGTGCTTAGGGCCTCCTCCTCTTTTGTCCTGGTCCAGACCTTTGGGGCCCAACTGCTGTGGCACCTGGAGGGGCCCCTGGCTCTCATCACTCTGCAGCCAGGCTTTGCTCACAAGGTACAATTCACCTTTGACCTTTGGTCAGGAATATAGACATCATATGTAGCATATCTTACCCTAACTTTTCTTTGGAGATTGTTTTTCGGAAGTTTAAAGAAAGAAAAATAAATCCCTGCCTGGGGTCTAGGCCCAGGGGTCTAGGCCTTGGGGGCAAACGGGGAGAGTCGAGATTACAGCATACGCCTGGAGGTCCAGAAGAGGAGGCAGAGGTGGTGCTTGGAGAGATTGAAGAAGTGTTATTTGGCATAGATTGGCATAGGTTGGCACAGGTGAGCATAGGATGGCACAGGTTGGAGAAGGTTGGCATAGGTTGAAGTAGTAGTATCAATGATATCACTATTGCATCTCTCCTAATCACCTCTGCCAGCGGGAGGAACAAAAGTCAGTTTAGAAACTCTCCCTGTGGTATAGTGGCGCCCCCTCCTGTTCATGACCTGTACTGCTGTGTTCTTAGAGTGAGGTCTGTGGTGGCGCCCCCTCCTGTTCATGACCTGTACTGCTGTGTTCTTAGAGTGAGGTCTGTGGTGGCGCCCCCTCCTGTTCATGACCTGTACTGCTGTGTTCATAGAGTGAGGTCTGTGGTGGCGCCCCCTCCTGTTCATGACCTGTACTGCTGTGTTCTTAGAGTGAGGTTTGTGGTGGCGCCCCCTCCTGTTCATGACCTGTACTGCTGTGCTGTAGGTGCGGGGCCTGTGTGGCACTCTTACCTGGACTCAGGAGGATGACTTCCTCACTGCAGACGGGGACGTGGAGAGCAGCGTCTCCTCTTTCGCTGAGAAGTTCAGCACAGGACAGTGTAGGGGCCCCACAGCGGGGGCCCTGGACCCCTGCACCACCTACAGCCAAAGGAGACAGTACGCAGAGGCCATGTGCTCAGTCATACACAGTGTGTCCTTCAAGGTAATCCTCCGTCTGCACTTTACTCTCAGAAACAGCTGTGCACGAGTCTTTTGACACCGCAAACTATGATAAAAAATGTGTGTGTGTCTGTGTCTGTGTGTGTGTGTGTCTGTGTGTGTGTGTGTGTGTGTGTGTCTGTGTGTGTGTGTGTGTGTGTGTGTGTGTGTCTGGTGCAGCACTGCCATGATGCGGTGGAGAGGGAGTGGTACTACCGCCTGTGTCTGTGGGAGGTGTGCAGCTGTGGCCCCTCTGAGTCCTGTCACTGTCCTGTACTGACGGCCTACAGCCAGCACTGTGCCCAGGAAGGGGCACCAGTGAGCTGGAGGAATCACACCTTCTGTCGTGAGTAACCTACACCAAACCAGACCAGTAAATACCAGACCAGACCAGAACAGTGTTTGTGCCATTTCTGTAATAAATCTGACTCATGTCTCTAATGGATCTGGCCTTGAGCATGGAATAGTGTGGGCATTAGGACCTGCTCGTAATGACTTGTGTGTGTGTGTGCGTGTGTGTCTCTGTGTGTGTGTGTGTGTGTGTGTGTTTGTGTGTTGCTCTCCATGTGTCTGTGTGTGTTGTGTATTGGGTGTCTCCATCTGTGTGTGTGTCTCTCTCTCTCTTTGTGTTTTTTGTTATGTGTCTCTCTGTGTTTTGTTTGTTGTGTGTTTCTCTGTGTGTGTGTCTGTGTATGTATGTGTGTGTGTGTGTGTGCGTGTTTGTGTGTCCAGCCGTGGCCTGTTCCGGGGGGCAGTTGTACCAGGAGTGTGGTCCTCCTTGTGGCTCCTCCTGCTCAGACCTCCACAGAGGCTGGAGCTGTGACAGAGACGGGACACCGTCACCCACAGTGTGTGTCCCGGGATGCCAGTGCCCCCCCGGCCTCCTGCGGGGCCCCCAGGGTCAGTGTGTGCCCCCCAACATGTGCCCCTGTGTGCAAGGGAACAAGAGCTACCCCCCAGGAGCACGCATCAAAAACAACTGCAACAGCTGGTGAGACACACAGCATTCATCTGGACCTTTACAAGAGAGAGAGAGAGAGAGAGAGAGAGAGAGAGAGAGAGAGAGAGAGAGAGAGAGAGAGAGAGAGAGAGAGAGAGAGAGAGAGAGAGAGAGAGAGAGAGAGAGAGAGAGAGAGAGAGAGAGAGAGAGAGAGAGAGAGAGAGAGGAGAGGAGAGAGAGAGAGAGAGAGAGAGAGAGAGAGAGAGTCTGGCTGGGAGGGTGTGTGAGAGGGAAAGAGCCTGGACTGGTAGAGAGAGAGAGAGAGAGAGAGAGACCGTGATGGTGGTGAGAGAGAGCTGATGAAACTTCTCTATTGTCCTGTGCTGCTGCTTCAGGATAGGTTGGTTTCATTACTTCTCTCCATCACAGAACGACACATGTTTGAGCTTGTCTAAAAGGAGAAGCTGGAGACCCCATAAGCATTGGATGAAGCTGCTGTTGTGTGTGTCCAGTGTGTGCCAGCAGGGGGCGCTGAACTGCTCCCAGGAGGTGTGTGAGGAGGTGAGCCGCTGTCCTGGGGCCCTGGTCTACGCCCCTCGCTCCTGTCTCCTCACCTGCTCCAGTCTGGACGTCCCACCAGGAGCCTGCAGAGAGGCCCTGTCCGGGTGTGTGTGCCCCCAGGGGACCGTGCTGCTGGTGAGTGTGTGAGTGTGTGAGTGTGTGTGTGTGTGTGTGTGAGTGTGTAGTGTGTGTGTGTGAGTGAGTGTGTGTGTGTGTGAGTGAGTGTGTGTGAGTGTGTGTGTAGCCACAGCTGCCCTGGGGCTACAGCAGTATATAACCCTGTGTTGTTTTTGTGGTTGTGTTTTAGGGTGACCAGTGCGTGCCCCCAGACCAGTGTCCGTGTCACCACAACGGACGACTGTACCAGAGCAACGACACCATCAGGAAGGACTGCAACACATGGTACAGACTCAGGATCAAAGGGACACTGTTCAAGTCTATTGAAGACTATCAAAGCTACAGTTTATGCCTGTCGTCTCTGACCCTCACCCAGATCTATACAGAGTCTCACTGACCCTCACCCTCACAGACCCTCACTGACCCTCACCCTCACACACCCTCACTGACCCTCACCCTCACTGACCCTCACCCTCACAGACCCTCACAGACCCTCACCCTCACAGACCCTCACCCTCACAGACCCTCACAGACCCTCACCCTCACAGACCCTCACTGACCCTCACCCTCACAGACCCTCACTGACCCTCACCCTCACAGACCCTCACTGACCCTCACCCTCACAGACCCTCACAGACCCTCACTGACCCTCACCCTCACTGACCCTCACCCTCACAGACCCTCACTGACCCTCACCCTCACTGACCCTCACCCTCACAGACCCTCACTGACCCTCACCCTCACTGACCCTCACCCTCACAGACCCTCACAGACCCTCACCCTCACTGACCCTCACCCTCACAGACCCTCACTGACCCTCACCCTCACTGACCCTCACCCTCACAGACCCTCACTGACCCTCACCCTCACAGACCCTCACAGACCCTCACCCTCACTGACCCTCACCCTCACAGACCCTCACAGACCCTCACCCTCACAGACCCTCACAGACCCTCACCCTCACAGACCCTCACTGACCCTCACCCTCACAGACCCTCACAGACCCTCACCCTCACTGACCCTCACCCTCACAGACCCTCACAGACCCTCACCCTCACTGACCCTCACCCTCACAGACCCTCACAGACCCTCACCCTCACTGACCCTGTTAAGGAAGTTTCTACCCAATGAAGGAGAAAACTCAAAGGTCTTTGTCTGATCAAAAGCGTAAGTTTATTGTTAACATACGTACGGAGAGTCAGCACATACACAAGGCAGCATGTACTAGCTCTGGGGGCCAGAGCCCCGAGCTTCCTGTATACAAGACACACACGAAAGCCAGTCCCGCCCACAACAGATGGGAGGGGGGCCACCCGTGAGGAGGCGCATGGGGAGCGTTTGGCGCCGTCTGGGAACGAGGTGCGAACAGACAGACAATGGTCTAAATGCAGGTCATACAGATGCAAGACACGGAAGGCACAAGGGTGTGACAGACAGCAGGATGTAGAAGATGCACACATACAGACCGATAGATATGCAAGAGGCGAAAGGGAGGACAGTGATTTGCGCCATTGTCTGTAGGTGTCGGGGGGGGGGGGGGGCCCGGCTCCTTCCTGGAACAGGGACATATGACATATGAATAGACACAGGCAGGGTTGCATGAATACTAGTCGCTTGCCATCACACTCCTTTCCCGTGATAATGTAAAAACCCAGTTTTACAGAGATCACATTCAGGTGTGCGAGTATTGACCTTGGCCCCTGAGTAAAAGAAGAGTTGTTGATGGGCAGGTTACGCCGCCGTCACCCAAGCCTCTTGTATTACGGGGGTGTGGTCAAAGCTCTTCGCTGTGATACCCTCCCCCTAAATTGTGGGCGGAACAAGTGGAAAAATAAAAACAAAGTAAACAAGAAAGAAAAACGTTAGACAAAGTCGTCGTCCGAATCGCTGATATAATCAGGATCGGAGTTCAGTGGGACCGCGGCCAGGTCCGCCTCAGGGTCTCTGTGTTGAATGGACACAAAGTGAGTGGATATCATTTTACCAACGGCCCGAAACACCATGGGTAATACACATGAAAATAAAATCATAACGGTCAATAGGGCTAAACCAAGATTAATGAGCACACTTCGCCAGGAGGACAGGAGCCAGTCCAGACCGTGAGGAGTGTCCGTGACATTGTCCGCTTGCATGGCGTCCCGGAGTCTAGTCAGATTGGCTATGCCCTGTTGGATAAGACCTCCGTCCTCATCGTTGGCCGGAATATATGTACAGCAGGACGACCCGATGATCGTGCATACGCCTCCCACAGACGCGGTCAGGTGGTCCAGGACCAGCCGGTCGAACAGTGCCGCCTTGCAGTCAGTGGCACCGCTCCCTATGAGCGTGTGTGGAGCGTTAGTGGTCATGGCGATGTTTGGTCTTGGAGCGGCAAGACTCTATTTGCGTTGAAGCCTTGGCCTCAGCACTCGGTTGGGCAGAGTGCTCGGGATTTGGGGTGTGGCCTTGGGGTCCGGGGGCTGGGGAGTTGGGCAAAGGGGGGTTGCCTCGGCAACGCTGGGATCCTCTGGGTGTTGTTGTTGGCCTGCTTCACCGATGGTGGCCGCACGCCGGCCAACCTCTTCAGCGTAGGGAGCCGCGGATGGGCCTGGTCCGTCCGCGCCCTCGGTGTCCTCGTCTATGGCCCTCAGTGGCAGCACCGCACGACAGTGGTTGGCGTGGATCCAAGTTGTCCTCTCCGCGACCTTAACGGCAGTGTCCGTCACCAGGAGGGCGAGGAATGGGCCGAGCCAGCGTTTGGACCGCCAGTGCTTTCGTCTCGTTTCCTTCATCAGGACCCAGTCGCCTGCGCAGCCTGTGGCAGGGCGCTCCTGACCTGGTCAGAAATAGAGGACAAAAGTGCATTAATTTCCTTACAATAGGACAGCATGTCGTCATCACACAAAGAGGTGCTTGGCAGATCTCTGTTCGGGGGTCCCGCGCCCAACGTGGGGCTAGCGGCAGAGCTTTGAGTGCCATTCTCTCGCTCGCACGTGCCTCCGGACCAGGGGGCGTAACTGCAGTGTTTACGTATATCAATGCCCAGAAATTCACCCACTTCCTCAATGACTTTTGCTACAAAGTGACTCACCACCGCGTTGCTCGTGGCGTGTATGCCTGCAAATACTTCAGTCCATTTGGACCAGAGATCCGCCAGACCCAGACAGTATTACTTACCTTGGCATGGTGTGAGTTCAACAAAGTCCCTTTGGACATGTTGAAATGGGCGCAGGGGTGGAGGATGAGCAGCCTGTTGGATACTTTTGGGACTTACCTGGGTTGTGCGCGGGGCATATAGCGCATGTTTGGCTGAATCTCTGTGCAAATGCCGTAAACCCCTTTGTATACCAATTTTGTGTGATTAAATCACACATCATCCCTCCTTTTGAGGCATGGTCTCGACCATGTGCTAAAATTGCAAACTGTCTGAAGAAATGCCGTGGTAGGCACGGTTTGCTGTCTGGTCCCAGCCACACACACCATGCCGTCGTTGAGCCCCATTCCCCTCCCACAGCAGCGTCTCTGCTGGAGTAGAAAATATCAACGTCTTGAGTGAGGTAGTGTGTGTGTGTGTGTAGAGGTGCGTATGCCGCTGCCTTGTCCGCACGCCAATTCCCTGCAGAGATGGGATCAGTGGCATTAGTGTGGGCCTGGCATTTGCATACAGCGATCTCTAAGGGCAACATTACAGCTCTCAGCAGACGTTCAACCTGTGTGGAATTAAGAATTGGTTTACCATCAGATTTCATAAAATTGCGGTGTTTCCACAGTGCTTCCCAGTCGTGCACCACAGAGAAACCATAACGCGTATCACAGAATATGTTAACCGTTTTGCCCGCTGCCAGCCCCGGTGGGCGCGACCAGTTCAGCGGTTTGTGCTGAATGGTAGTGGGGCAAACTACCAGAGTCTATAGTATCAAAATCAGAACACACAGCATAGCCGACTCGGTTCTTCCCAGTGTTGTCACGTGACGCGGCTCCGTCTGTATATAAAAAAAATCAAGTCAGGATTAGTCAGAGGCACCTCTTTCAGGTCTGGCCTGGGAGTGCATATCTGTTCTATTGTGGCGATACAGCAGTGTGCCTCCCCTTCCTCTGGCGTGGGCAGCAGCGAGGAGGGGTTCAGCTGTGTGCATCCCTTCACCGTAGTTCAAAGAGCACCGTGTTGTACCCCAGCCAACGAGCCGCAGAAAGGCGAGAGGCCCTCTGCTCTAACAGGATCAGGGAAACAGCATGGGGCACAAGCAAGGTTAGTTCAGTGTATCCCACAAGGTCACGTGATGCTAGGGCCGCTTTCTCAGCAGCAGCCACAGCCCGCAGGCAGCGAGGCAACCCTGCTGCCACGGGATCGAGTTTTGCTGAGAAGTAAGCAGTGGGTCTCAGTGGCCCTCAGTGAGGCTGCAAAAGTACCGACTGTTCCGTTCATCTCCAGTTGCTTTTCTCCCGGATCGTCCTCAATTCATATTGTGGGCTTTTGTGCCAAAGTGGAGGCTCATTTCCTCCTGATCCATACTACTGTCATCCCTGGAGCAGGGGTAGTTTATCTCTCATCTGAAAAAGAAATATCAGAACACAAAAAAAACACAAAAAATGCCCGCTTTCGCTTGTCAATCTTTTTCCCAATTGGGCAAAACATAACTGCATTGACAGGTGGTGTGTGGCATCAGGGCGGAGGCTGTAGCCAAATACAGAACAACAAAATGTATGTTACTAATTTTATACTCCCCTAAATGTGAGTTTACGAACCAAAGTTGTCCTCCGCCCAATGACCGCTCACTGCGGTTGGACCGAATCACTGTCAGGGCAAACAGCAGAGGGAGGAACTCCCAATATCTTCAGCGAGGTATTTCATCTCCGAGTACTTTCCGCAGAGTACTTTTCTCAGAGTACTCATCCCAGAGTACTCTCACTTTTACACCTGTTCAATAAAGGTCGTTATCTTTGAATCTCTAGTACTTACACCGTATGCTGTTGACAAAAAAGAATTATTCCATGATCACATTAAAACATTACAGACACATTTGTTATTCCATGATTCCGTTCAGCATTCCTCATTTCACTCCACACTCACATCACAGTCACATCACAGTCACATCACAGTCACATCACAGTCACATCACAGGCCGATTCCCCACGTTAGTATTGGTCCAGAGTTTGTTAAGGTCAGCGTAGTGTACTTTGACATGACACACAAACATATAACATACACAAAACATATAACACACAAACATGTAACACACACAGAAGGCCTGTACTTTTAACTTTGTTATATTTTTCCATGTCCAATTCCAATTGTCTCATGAGCTATTTCTTATTGTTGCAACTTTCAGAGCCTGCAGAGCTTTAAAAGAGTTTTCCTAAAAGGATGCATTTCCAACTTTAGTGTTTACCACGTGGTCTATACTTCGGGCTTATCACAGATGGTGTCCCCTATATCTCTAATGAGCTCTTGTCACCTAAAAAAATGTTTACTTTCCTTATTTTTTTCTTTTTCAATAAAGCCAGGTCGGATTCATTAAAAATGTAAATTAGTCTCAAACTTTAATACTTCACCTTTGTTTCACGATAAAAATGTTTTTGTTACTCATTAAGTAGCACAGATAGTGGTGCCTATCTCAATAAACGTACTCCGTTAGCCTATCTTCCCTACACTGCATGAATTTTCAAACTCCAAGTTATTGTCTGGGAACGACCGGAGAGAGCAGCTTAGGTCGTTCGCGTGGTTGACCTCCAAGTTTTGTGCGGGCGTCACTATCCACTTGTTGTGGCTAATAACTTAGCAATCTCAGGGTTTGGTGTCAATTTCCAGTGGTAGTTAACTTTTGGGACCGGTGCCTCCTTTTATTTATCTATTTTTAATTGAGTCTGCACATAAGGTCTCGGCCTAGTAGATTAACCGGGGACAATGGGGAATATAGAAAAGAATGTTTAAGCTGGTTGCCCTGAGAATCAAAACACGTTAGCGGTGACGTAAATTGCTCTTTAGTCGTCTCTCCGACGCTGCTAATTAGAATATGAAGCGGCCGCTCATTTTAGGGGAGACAGAAAGGCTGTCACTTTTAGCACAGAATTTGTTGCCCCGGAGTCATCCAGAATTTTAACTTGTACACCACAGGTTGTTAGCGTATATTACGGGCATGAATTATCTCTAAAAAGTGCCAATTGCAATTTGTTGTTGTTCAACTTACATGAGCGGTCGCTTTGGTGACGAATGTGAACCCAGGTTTGGTCAGTCGCTCGTGTTTCCTCCGTGCCCGCCTCTGCCGTCCTCTGGCCCCGTGTTAGCTTGAGCGTTCCTCTGCCTTTAACGCCTCCTCCGGTAACAGTCCTTCGACCCATGTCGAGCACACAGTCTTTCCGCCGGGCTGTGGAAGTTTTTCAAAGTCCGCAGGAGGCCCAGGTAGCCCAAAGCGTTAGCATGTGGTCCATGAGGGTTGGTGAATAACCAAACGTGCCGGTACTTTTGGCTTCTTCTGTTTGCGGTGCGGGAACAACTTTCAAGCGGGTTTCCGCGGGTGCGTTTGGTATATCACGCTGCCCCCTCCGTGGAGAACAGTCACGGGATTTGGAGCAGTTTCTCTCTGTGCTCCAAAGCAGTTGTCGGTGTCTCACATATTTGTTTCCCTCGCTTCTTCTTCTGTGGTTTCCTGAGCGTGTGTCTGTTTCCGCCTCTTCTTCTTCTGCGGTTTGGGCCCACTTCTCGCGGGGTCTCAGCTGGTGCGGGCGCCGCCTGTGGTTGGGGCGTGGGGCTGGTGCTTTGAGGCAGAGGACAGAGCGCGGAGGAAAGGCGCCGACAGACCTGGATAGGGAAGAGGGAAAAGAGACAACAGTAGTCTGCTTCATTTTTTAAAAACCCAACGCCTTGTTTGGGCGCGTACTTAGCATGGAGTTCTGCTCCTAGTGTGAAAGGGTTAGTAGGTGAGAGAGGGCGTGTGTGTGCGCCTGTGTGTTCTCCGCTTTGGTGAAAGGCGGAGGAGCTATTGTTTTTACATATTTCTTTCTCTAACCTCTTTTGCCGTGATATTCTTAAAACCAAGTATATTTTTTTTTTCTTCCCTTCTTCTTCTAAATTATCACGCAGATGACCTGCACCATAGGCAAGCACTTCATAGCTTGCATCTGTAGATTGATTTTACCCATTTTCTCGTACGAACAATGGGCCTAACCCGCTTAGTCTCTCCCTGCTCTTACCCACTTTGGGGCGCTCCGTTCCCCCCCCCGCTGGTTCAACCAGCGAGCGCGCGTTCTTGAAAACGGAGCGGTTCTGGCTGAAGACACTCAGAGATTCCAGGGTCGCTTACAGTGCGATACTAACGCGCAGCCGCTAGCTTCAATCTAGAACAAAAAGCCCCCAAAAAATCCCGCACACAGACTATGCTGTGGCAATGAATGAAATACCCCAAAAATACATAAATAAACAAATCCCCGTGTCGACTTAAGGGCTGCCCTGGGCTCGTTACGCAGATGAAAAGACAAGACTCACCAGATTAGGTTCTTTTTGGTCTTGTGTGGCAAAAGGATTCCTTCCGTGCGCGGGACGAGCGCGCCCTCCTTTGTCTCCAAAAAGGAACAGAGGCTGGTGATCCAGGTCGGCCAAACAAAGCCGCTCGTCCCCGCCGAAAGTATCCATGCCAAGACATGTCAGCAACGCCAAATTGTTAAGGAAGTTTCTACCCAATGAAGGAGAAAACTCAAAGGTCTTTGTCTGATCAAAAGCGTAAGTTTATTGTTAACATACGTACGGAGAGTCAGCACATACACAAGGCAGCATGTACTAGCTCTGGGGGCCAGAGCCCCGAGCTTCCTGTATACAAGACACACACGAAAGCCAGTCCCGCCCACAACAGATGGGAGGGGGGCCACCCGTGAGGAGGCGCATGGGGAGCGTTTGGCGCCGTCTGGGAACGAGGTGCGAACAGACAGACAATGGTCTAAATGCAGGTCATACAGATGCAAGACACGGAAGGCACAAGGGTGTGACAGACAGCAGGATGTAGAAGATGCACACATACAGACCGATAGATATGCAAGAGGCGAAAGGGAGGACAGTGATTTGCGCCATTGTCTGTAGGTGTCGGGGGGGGCCCGGCTCCTTCCTGGAACAGGGACATATGACATATGAACACATATACACAGGCAGGGTTGCATGAATACTAGTCGCTTGCCATCACAACCCTCACCCTCACAGACCCTCACCCTCACAGACCCTCACCCTCACTGACCCTCACCTTCACAGACCCTCACCCTCACTGACCCTCACCCTCACTGACCCTCACCCTCACTGACCCTCACCCTCACTGACCCTCACCCTCACAGACCCTCACTGACCCTCACCCTCACTGACCCTCACCCTCACAGACCCTCACTGACCCTCACCCTCACTGACCCTCACCTTCACAGACCCTCACCCTCACTGACCCTCACCCTCACAGACCCTCACAGACCCTCACCCTCACTGACCCTCACCCTCACTGACCCTCACCCTCACAGACCCTCACCCTCACAGACCCCTCACCCTCACAGACCCCTCACCCTCACAGACCCTCACCCTCACAGACCCTCACCCTCACAGACCCTCACAGACCCTCACCCTCACTGACCCTCACAGACCCTCACCCTCACAGACCCTCACAGACCCTCACCCTCACAGACCCTCACCCTCACAGACCCTCACAGACCCTCACCCTCACTGACCCTCACCCTCACAGACCCTCACAGACCCTCACCCTCACAGACCCTCACCCTCACAGACCCTCACCCTCACTGACCCTCACCCTCACAGACCCTCACAGACCCTCACCCTCACAGACCCTCACCCTCACAGACCCTCACCCTCACAGACCCTCACCCTCACAGACCCTCACTGACCCTGACCCTCACAGACCCTCACCCTCACAGACCCTCACTGACCCTGACCCTCACAGACCCTCACCCTCACAGACCCTCTCTGACCCTCTTCCTCCTCCTCCCCCAGCGTGTGCCGTACCCGCCGTTGGCACTGCTCCCGCACTTCCTGTTCGGGGGTGTGTGTTGCCACGGGAGACCCTCACTACGTGACGTTTGACGGCCGCAGCTACAGCTTCCTCGGCGACTGTCAGTACGTCCTGGTGTCAGAGCGCAGCGGCGCCTTCAGGGTCACGGCCGAGAACGTTCCCTGCGGCAGCTCCGGGGTCACCTGCACCAAGTCCGTCACCCTCAGCTTGGGAAACACTGTCATACACCTGTTAAGAGGTACACACAGATACACAGACACACACACACACAGACACACACACTCTCAGACACACACACACACACACAGAGACACACATACACACATACACAGACACATACACGCACACACACACACACATACACATGCACATGCATACATACTGTATACACACACATGCACCAAGTCCATGACCCTCAGCTTGAGAAACACTGTTATACACCTGCTCAGAGGTACACACACACACACACACACACTGCCTGTCAGTATGTCCTGGTCTCAGGGCGAAGCGGCGGTGTTACTAACGTGTTACTAACATGTTCTAGGCAAAGCGGTGACTGTGAACGGGATGCCGGTGACTCTTCCAAAGTGGTACAGTGGCAGTGGTCTGAGTCTGGAGCAGATGGGTCTGTACGTGTCCCTGTCCTCCCACCAGGGGGTCACTCTGCTCTGGGACGGAGGTACGGGTCTCTTAAAGTCACGGTTATTATCTCTCTGTAACCATCACACTGCAGAAGATACAATATAATACACACCAGTCCCCAAAAGTCAAACACCTCCAGAGTTCAACAATTGGAAAAACAAGGCCCTGAAGGCATCATGACAAAGCCAGCGATCAGAGGATGTTTTGGCTGAGCTAGAATACATTTTTCTTCATTCACCTGTTCCTCCCACAGACAGTGAAGGTCTCACAGTTTTCCTCCAGTGAATTTAGAGTTTTCACCATACTCTGCTACTGGTTTCCATGTGTGAACATCAGGCACCAGGACCAGTCTGTAACCCTGACCCCTGACCCCTGACCCCCTGCAGGGATGCGGGTGTACGTCCGTCTGGCCCCTCGCCTCAGGGGCCGAGTCGCAGGTCTCTGTGGGAACTTTGACGGAGACACAGAGAACGATTTCACCACACGACAGGGCATCGTGGAGTCCACCCCCGAGCTGTTCGGAAACTCCTGGAAAGTCAGCGCCTCCTGTCCAGACGTGGCCGACCAGGACCTCAGGGACCCGTGTAAAGTAAGGGCCGGAGTAGAGTAGGACTGAAACAAAGTTAATTTAAAGCTGGGGTACCCAACTCTTTCTGTTTCATAAAAAATACACTATATTTATCAAACAGAAAGAACAAATCAGACCATAACTATAAAACATGTCATGGTTTATAGACTAAGAAAGATCCCTGTGAGTCACTCTTTGACTCTTTGGGCTGAGAACTGATTGGCTGAGTGAGGGTGGTCCTCTCTTTTCCAATTTTCTGTCTGGAAAAACCTGATCCAAAGATGGGCCAAAATACATGAGGATAGAAAATACTAGTGTGTTTTAGAGCCTGGAACTAATTTCAGTTCAAGGTTTGATTTTTGGGTCCCTCAACTTTAAGATGAAATAAACTGTATTTATCTCAAAATGGAGAAATGTACAATATTTTATCTTTAAGCTGATTGTAACTCAAACTCGTGCTGTAGCTGAACCCTCACAGAACCACGTGGGCCCGGAAGCGCTGCTCGGTGCTGACCCAGGACCTGTTCTCCGGCTGCCACGCCGAGGTGCCCTTTCAGCAGTACTACGACTGGTGTGTGTTCGACGCCTGTGGGTGAGTGTGATCTTTGCTCTGGTGTTTCCACCGCCCTGAGCTCTTTGACTGACGCCGTGTGCCCTGGGGCAGCTGTGACTCCGGAGGCGACTGTGAGTGTCTGTGCACGGCCCTCGCTGCTTACGCCGAGGAGTGCAACCGCCGGGGGGTCTACATCCGCTGGAGGTCCCAGGACATCTGCCGTAAGACCCACACTACACACATGAATGAGGTAGACCAGTTATCTCTAGCTGTTTGCTAGTGGAGGCTGAAGGTGGAGGCAGAAGGCACCTGATTGGTCAGTTATCTGGATTTCAATCTTATTTATTTATTTATTTATTTATTAGTTTATTTGACAGGGACAGTGTACATTAATGAACATTACTGTAAATGTACCAGAATTAGCCACAAGGCTATTTTCCATCCGTTGTCCCTGGACAGATTTAAAATGTCAACCTAAAAGCAAACACAACACTTGTATACAAAACAACAATGATAAAAACAGTGTACATTTACCATATATACAATTAGTTAAAAGTTAGTGTTGACAGGACTGTTTTGTAATGAACCATGATTTGAGATGAGTTTTGAACAGATTGTATGAGGCCAGTTCTCTGATGTTTGATGGGACTGTGTTCCACTCCTGAGACGCCCTCACAGAGAAGGCACTCTGGCTGAAGGCGCTCTTCCGGAGTGGGATAACACAGTCCCCACGGGCGGCCCCCCTGGTTACCCTGTGTGTGGTGTTCCTGACTGTGATAAATTGATTGAGAGGAGGTGAAGATGAACCATCTTGTAAATGAGACAGAGATTAGAGTATTTGATGACATTTGTCCAATTTAGAAGATGGTGTTTTTGTAAAATGGAACAGTGGTGAAATCTTTGTGGTTTTTTGTCCAGTATCTTGAGTGTTTGCTTGTATAAGGATTCTATTGGTTTTAGGGATGTTTTGTTTGCCTGTGACCATGTGGTTAAGCAGTATGTAATGTGAGACAGAACCATAGAAAACATGAATAATCTTGCGGACTGAAGTGATAAGTTGGATCTGATGAACCGGAAATTAGCTAGGTTGAATTTGACTTTATTGGAAATGTTTTTTATGTGGGATTTGAATGTCAGCTTTGAGTCTATTGTTACTCCCAGATATTTGTATTCTGTCACGATTTGAATTTTTTGACCGGAAACTGAGATATTGATGTTATCATATGAGGTGTTGGATTTTGAGAAGAACATACCAACCGTTTTATTGACATTGAGCTTTAGGCAGCACTGATTTAACCAATTTGTGACATGAACCATAGACTGTGATAGTTTGTCGGCAGCTTGTGTGGGGTTTTTGGCGTGTATGTAAATTACTGTATCATCTGCGTACATTTGAACATTTGCATGAAGAGACCAAAGACACAATTAATACAATAAAATAATGTATTTGTTTGGCGCATTGACCCCGGCAGTGACACTTGCAGCAATGAGATCGATTGCAGCTGAAGATGATCTCAGATCCCCCGGGGTCAATCACTGGTGGTGGCTAGAGTATGGTGTGAATGGGGCGTAGGCGGAGCAGGAGCCAGAGCAGGAGCCAGAGCGGGAGCCAGAGCGGGAGCCAGAGCGGGAGCCAGAGGGGGTGCTGGGGAGGTGGTGGGTGTTTAAAGACCTTATGACGGGTTTTAAAAAAAAAAATAGTGGATATCAAAATTGCATGACAATGTTGATTTGAAAGAGATTCCGGCTAAAAAAATCCTATATTTTATAAAAAGAACGTGTTTTTCATGAATTTAAGTTGTCTATGCTCTAACCTGTGTGTGACGTCACAGCGGGTAACGCCCATGCATTGAAAACCATGGATCTATGCCACAAGACTGCCTTTTCTCTCTTCTCTCCACTGATGCCCAACACAATACTGCCCTCTACAGGTGGCAATTGCTCACTACACATAAATTGCCGTTTTGAGTGTGAAAAAGTGTCCGAGGTGGGATTTGAACCCAAGTATCTGGATTGGCAGTCCATCGACACAACCACTGGACTATCTCAGTGACAACAAAATGTTACATTCTAGTAGTTATCTAATACTCGCTGTACACGGCCTTGTCATCTTGAATATCCGCGAAAAAAGAACGAATACCAAATTGTAAACAACTTACAGCGTTGAAACGTACCCGTTCTGACGTCACCAAGGGCTGTGAAGTTTTTTCGTTTCTAAGGGCGTTGCTATGGGGTTATTTCGATTTGGGGGGATCAGACAAAAAAAACAACAACTGATTTTGAAACCTTTAGTAGTTCTCTTCTAATATAAAATGGTATTTAAACTGTATTTCTAAATAAATCAAACCCGTCATAAGGTCTTTAAGAGCCTCAGGAAGCGTTGCTTGTCAGGAAGTGGCTGCCTTTTAAACTGCCCGCTTTGCTGTGAGAGGGTTGGCAGGAGGCTGGCCTGGCTGTGTGATTGGCTGAGGCTCGAGGCTGGCAGAGCTGTGTGATTGGCTGAGGCTCGAGGCTTGGCAGAGCTGTGTGATTGGCTGAGGCTCGAGGCTTGGCAGAGCTGTGTGATTGGCTGAGGCTCGAGGCTTGGCAGAGCTGTGTGATTGGCTGAGGCTCGAGGCTTGGCAGAGCTGTGTGATTGGCTGAGGCTCGAGGCTTGGCAGAGCTGTGTGATTGGCTGAGGCTCGAGGCTTGGCAGAGCTGTGTGATTGGCTGAGGCTCGAGGCTTGGCAGAGCTGTGTGATTGGCTGAGGCTCGAGGCTTGGCAGAGCTGTGTGATTGGCTGAGGCTCGAGGCTTGGCAGAGCTGTGTGATTGGCTGAGGCTCGAGGCTTGGCAGAGCTGTGTGATTGGCTGAGGCTCGAGGCTTGGCAGAGCTGTGTGATTGGCTGAGGCTCGAGGCTTGGCAGAGCTGTGTGATTGGTTGAGGCTCGAGGCTTGGCAGAGCTGTGTGATTGGCTGAGGCTCGAGGCTTGGCAGAGCTGTGTGATTGGTTGAGGCTCGAGGCTTGGCAGAGCTGTGTGATTGGCTGAGGCTCGAGGCTTGGCAGAGCTGTGTGATTGGCTGAGGCTCGAGGCTTGGCAGAGCTGTGTGATTGGCTGAGGCTCGAGGCTTGGCAGAGCTGTGTGATTGGCTGAGGCTCGAGGCTTGGCAGAGCTGTGTGATTGGCTGAGGCTCGAGACTGGCAGGCACTCGGTCTTTCAGTCTGAACCTGCGCATTCAGCTTCATTTCGCTCTGTCCATTCCTCATATTTTGTATTATGAGTCTCCACATTTGTGTCTGGTCTGACCGTCTCGCTGACACTCAGACTCTCTCTGACGCTCTCTCTCTCTGATTCTCTCCCTCTGACAGTCCCTCTAACTCTCTATCCCCCTGACTCTCTCTCACCTCTGACTCTCTTTCACTGACTCTCTCTCTTGTTGCAGCGCTGCAGTGTGAGAATGGGCTGGTGTATGAGCCCTGTGGTCCCGCCTGTACCCCGTCCTGTCCCTCTGCCCCTCACCACCATCTGTCCCAGTGCAGTGTCCTGTCCTGTGTGGAGGGCTGCTTCTGCCCCAAGGGGACGGTGCGCCACGGTCAGTCACAGTTAGTGAGAGATTTATAAACGAGATCCTTGGTTTCATATGTGCCTCTGTCCTCAGGAGACAGCTGCCTGTCCCCAGCAGAATGTCCCTGTGAGTGGGACGGCTCCATGTTTCCTCCTGGGGCAGTCACCGGGCAGCACTGTCAGAACTGGTCAATAACTCTAAACTAAATAAAACCAAATCTTTAACTTTAGCATAATAAGGAAGCAGATCCAAATTCTGAAGTGTGTGGTTGGCCGTGTTGTTGCAGCACCTGTGAGGACGGGGTGTGGCGCTGTGTGGGCGTGGCCTGCCCCTCCCCCCTCCCCTCCTGTGAACCTGGGGAGTTCAGCTGTGCCTCTGGGGGGCGCTGTATCCCTGCACATTGGCTCTGTGACAACGAGGACGACTGTGGAGACGGCTCCGACGAGGTCTGCCCCTCCACCTGTGGCCCAGGACACTTCCACTGCTCCAGCACCAGGTACCAGGACCCTAATGGTGCTTTCAGACCGCAAACGCTCAAACGCTGAAGCCCCGCTCACCAGACGCGCATTCTCTAGTTTTCAGACGCAGGGGTCTTCACACCAGAACGTCCTGACCAGCCCCTGAAGTGGCGGAAGTAGCCGGCCGGCTCTGATGCTAACAAAGCTATGCTAGCGGCTTCTCGTGTAAAGATCTTCTCCAATATGCAGCTTTGCAGGGTCTCTGTGCTCAGAGACCTTCCAGAGACTTTATATAACAGTAGTATGTGTTCACGGAGGTGCGCAATAAGTTTATTTTTATTATCAAACGGTATTTCCGCATCGGCGAACACACTCAAAGCAGTTGCATAAAGTCACGGGAGCATGACAACGCATATATTCACAAGCACAGAGTCCCCCATTGTCAACCTTGGTTTAGTCCTGGTTTAGTCCTGGTTTAGTCCTGGTGTAGCTCCTGTTTTGGCTGTTTACAGTATTTTCAGTCTGCTCGCTCAGTCCGCTAATGTCCCCGTGACCACTTTGCGGCTCTCTGATTGGTCGCTGCACGAACGTCCCGAGGAAAAGTTGAGCAAAGTTTATCTCTTGTGGGCGTTCATTTTTTGCTCCTGCTCCTCCCCTTTGACTTTTCCACGCAGTCTGTGCGTCTCTACTGAGCGGTCCGTGCGTGCCGAGAGGTCCATGCGTTTTGACGCTCGAACGCGCGTTACCATTGACTTTGCATTGAAAGCAGACGCAACGCATGATCCGGTCTGAACGCGGCATAACAGTGTTGGGCAATGGTTCCTGTCCTTAGCGTGGATGGAGCTAAAAAAAAGGTCTGGTTTGAGGCACTGACAGCAGCAGTGACATCAGAGTGGTAACGTTTATCAACAGTGGTCCCTGTTTGGACGAGGCTCTCCGCTGCGACGGCTACGCAGACTGCATCGACCAATCAGACGAGGAGTTCTGTGGCCCAGCCACGCCCCTCCCCCTCTGCCCCCCCGGGGAGTTCAAGTGCGACAGCGGGAAGTGCCTCTCGACCAGCCGCGTCTGTGACGGGCGTCTGGACTGTGGCTTTGCTGACGGCTCCGACGAACAAGGTCAGTATCCACATGGTTTTTACCCTGACCAGTGGTGTTGTTGTGTTGTCAGACTGTGGTGCGGTGTGTACTGTTGTGTTGTTGGTTAAGGTTGTGTTGTTGTGTTGTCAGATTGTGGTGCGGTGTGTACTGTTGTGTTGTTGGTTAAGGTTGAGTTGTTGTGTTGTCAGACTGTGGTGCTGTGTGTACTGTTGTGTTGTTGGTTAAGGTTGTGTTGTTGTGTTGTCAGACTGTGGTGTGGTGTGTAAGGAGGGGGAGTTCCTGTGCGCTGGAGGCCGCTGTATCCTCTACCTCCATCGCTGTGACGGACACGACGACTGTGGAGACCTGAGCGACGAGAGGGGGTGAGTCACCCCCATGAGAGGGGATGAGTTACTATCATGAGAGGGGGGAGAGAGGGTGAGTCACTACCATGAGAAGGGGGGATAGGGGGGTGAGTCACTACCATGAGAAGGGGGATAGGGGGTGAGTCACTACCATGAGAAGGGGGATAGGGGGTGAGTCACTATCATGAGAAGGGGGATAGGGGGTGAGTCACTACCATGAGAAGGGGGATAGGGGGTGAGTCACTACCATGAGAAGGGGGATAGGGGGTGAGTCACTACCATGAGAAGGGGGATAGGGGGTGAGTCACTATCATGAGAAGGGGGATAGGGGGTGAGTCACTATCATGAGAAGGGGGAGAGAGGGTGAGTCACTACCATGAGAAGGGGGATAGGGGGTGAGTCACTATCATGAGAAGGGGGATAGGGGGTGAGTCACTACCATGAGATGGGGGGATAGGGGGTGAGTCACTACCATGAGAAGGGGGATAGGGGGTGAGTCACTACCATGAGATGGGGGATAGGGGGTGAGTCACTACCATGAGAAGGGGGATAGGGGGTGAGTCACTATCATGAGAAGGGGGATAGGGGGTGAGTCACTATCATGAGATGGGGGATAGGGGGTGAGTCACTACCATGAGAAGGGGGAGAGGGGGTGAGTCACTACCATGAGAAGGGGGATAGGGGGTGAGTCACTACCATGAGAAGGGGGATAGGGGGTGAGTCACTACCATGAGAAGGGGGATAGGGGGTGAGTCACTACCATGAGAAGGGGGATAGGGGGTGAGTCACTACCATGAGAAGGGGGAGAGGGGGTGAGTCACTACCATGAGATGGGGGATAGGGGGTGAGTCACTATCATGAGAAGGGGGATAGGGGGTGAGTCACTATCATGAGATGGGGGAGAGGGGGTGAGTCACTACCATGAGAAGGGGGATAGGGGGTGAGTCACTACCATGAGAAGGGGGAGAGGGGGTGAGTCACTACCATGAGATGGGGGATAGGGGGTGAGTCACTATCATGAGATGGGGGAGAGGGGGTGAGTCACTATCATGAGATGGGGGGAGAGGGGGTGAGTCACTATCATGAGATGGGGGAGAGGGGGTGAGTCACTATCATGAGATGGGGGATAGGGGGTGAGCCACTACCATGAGAAGGGGGATAGGGGGTGAGCCACTATCATGTGTGGGGGAAGAGAGGGTGAGTCACTACCATGAGAAGGGGGAGAGGGGGGCGGGGTCACTACAATAAGAGGGGGTGTGCCTCCTCAGCCTGATGCCCTGTCGTTGTGCTGCAGGTGTGTGTGTTCCTCAGGACAGTTCCAGTGTCCTGGAGACCAGTGTGTCCCCGCAGAGCGAGTGTGTGATGGACAGAAGGACTGTCCAATGGGGACGGACGAAGCCGTCTGCTCCAGGACAGGTAAAGACTTCACTGTCTGCTCTAACCCTGTGTCAACCTACTGCAGCTCTTAGCATGTTAGCATGTTAGCATGGACTTACAGTCATATGTCTGTACAAACACAGTTGTACAAACAAAGATGTATGCCTGTAAAAAACACAGTTGTACGCCTGTACAAACACAGACGTTTACAAACACAGTTGTACGCCTGTACAAACACAGACGTTTACAAACACAGTTGTACGCCTGTACAAACACAGACGTGTACAAACACAGTCGTACGCCTGTACAAACACAGCCTCTTCTATCTCGCAGTGACCTGTGCTCCAGGACAGTTTGTCTGCTCAGACGGATCCTGTATTCTCTCTGTTCGAGTTTGTGACGGGACAGCGGACTGTCCCAGGGCAGAGGACGAGCGACCTGTCAACTGTCCCGCCCTGACCTCAGCCCCGCCCACTTCTCCAACATCAGGTGAGACCTTAGCCCACTCCTCTGCAGCTGTGGCTCTAGGCCTCTGCAGCTGTGGCTCATATCAACAATAACCAACAACAGTTTTCAGTGTCTCCTGTGTGTCCTAGCCTGCAGGGCCTACGAGTTCCCCTGTGTGGGAGGGGGGCAGTGTGTGCCCCAGGCCTGGCGCTGCGATGGGCAGACAGACTGTGTGGACGGCAGTGACGAGCAGAGCTGCACCACTCCGTGTGGCCCCGGCCATCTGCCCTGTGAGAGCAGAGACCAGTGTGTACCCCACCAGCAGCTGTGTGACGGGACCCCCCACTGCAGGGACGCCTCCGACGAGAGCATCGACAACTGTGGTGCGTGGAGCTTTAAGAACTCAACTGTCTTATATTAGACATACTGCAGAATGTACCTGTGTGCTGTAGCATGCACCTGTGTACTACTGTGCCTGTGTACTACTGTGCCTGTGTACTACTGTGCCTGTGTACTACTGTGCCTGTGTACTACTGTACCTGTTTACTACTGTACCTGTGTCCCCAGGGTCGACGGTCATCCCTCCGTGTCGCGGGAGCTTCTCCTGTGACAGTTGGACCTGTGTGAACATGACGCAGGTTTGTGACGGGGTCCGGGACTGTCCCCACGGAGACGATGAATTGGTGTGTGGTGAGTTTTACTTACACAACCCCCTGTAGTGCACACACTGAAGACACACAACAGAAAGAGAATGTATTTACTCACATCTGGTCCTTTTAGATAAAACAGTACCAGAAACACCGAACCAGAACCGAACCAAACAGTGTCCAGAGTTCACCTGCTCAAATGGCTCCTGTGTCCCCCTCAGTGTGGTGAGTGTGTCTGTGTGTTAGTGTGTGTCTGTGTGTGTGTGTGTGTGTGTGTGTGTGTGTGTGTGTGTGTGTGTGTGTGTGTATGCAGAAGCTGCAGGTGTGACCTGTGACCTCGGTTCCTCAGGTGTGTAATGGAGTGGCAGACTGTCCGGATGCTCCCACACCAGCAGCTGATGAAGAGGCCTGTAGACAGTGGGGCCCCTGGGGGCCGTGGAGCACCTGCAGTGTGTCCTGTGGCTCAGGCTCCATGAGGAGGCAGCGCTCCTGTCCTTCTGGGGACCTGCTGTACGAGTGCAGGGGCCAGAGTCTCCAGAGACAGCAGTGTTTCAACACCAGCTGTCCAGGTACCTGCCGCTCAGTGTGATTATCACCGAGAAGGTTCTGGGTGTACGATGCTAACGCTGATGAAACTATAGGGTCAGGGCTAACGCTAGGGTCAGGGCTAACGCTAGGGTCAGGATTAGGGCTTGGGAAAGGGGTAGGGCTAGGGTCAGGATTAGGGTCAGGTCTTGTGCTACAGCTGAAGAATCACGTGTGACAGTGCATGTTATGTGGATATTTATTATTTACAGGAACTGTAATTAATGAATAAATAGGTGTCTAGTTAGCTAGTACCCTCACCCTCACTCTCTTCTCTCTCCAGTGGATGGCAGGTGGTTGCCGTGGGCAACCTGGTCCAACTGCTCCGGTGGTTGTGGGGGGGTGAAGGTGCGACGCAGAGGCTGCAGCCCCCCCTTCAGTGGAGGCAGAGACTGTCCCCAGCTGCCGGGCTCCTCCCCCTCGTCTACGGAAATCAGTATGTACCAAAGACTGACCTGGGACCAGTTACACACACTGACCTGGGACCAGTTATACACACTGACCCCCGTCTCCTCCAGCGCCGTGCCCCGGAGAGGCCTGCTCCAACAGCAGCTGCCCCGAAGGCCTAGTCAGACACAGCTGTGCGACCTGCCCCTTGACCTGCACCCATGTCAGCCGTGGGACGTCCTGTGAGCCGTCTGCCCCCTGTTTCTCTGGTGAGTGTTGGTCAAGGTTAGCTCTCCTGTGTCCTCACCCTCACCCTGTCCCTTACCCTGTCCCTCACCCTGTCCCTCCCCCTCAGGCTGCTGGTGTCCGGAGGGGCGGGTCATGAGCCACACCCAGCAGTGCGTCCGGCCAGAGGAGTGTGAGTGCGAGGAGGCTGGCGAGCTCTACCGCCCCGGCCAGACCATTAAGAGGAGTTGTGAACTGTGTGTGTGTGAGAGAGGCCGAGTCCAGAGCTGCGAGCCCAACCCCAACTGCACTTGTGAGTACCACCCAACTGCACCTGTGAGTACCACCCAACTGCACCTGTGAGTACCACCCAACTGCACCTGTAAGTACCACCCAACTGCACCTGTAAGTACCACCCAACTGCACCTGTAAGTACCACCCAACTGCACCTGTAAGTACCACCCAACTGCACCTGCAAGTACCACCCAACTGCACCTGCAAGTACAACCCAACTGCACCTGTAAGTACCACCCAACTGCACCTGCAAGTACCACCCAACTGCACCTGCAAGTACAACCCAACTGCACCTGTAAGTACCACCCAACTGCACCTGTAAGTACCACCCAACTGCACCTGTAAGTACCACCCAACTGCACCTGCAAGTACCACCCAACTGCACCTGCAAGTACAACCCAACTGCACCTGTAAGTACCACCCAACTGCACCTGTAAGTACCACCCAACTGCACCTGTAAGTACCACCCAACTGCACCTGCAAGTACAACCCAACTGCACCTGTAAGTACCACCCAACTGCACCTGTAAGTACCACCCAACTGCACCTGTAAGTACCACCCAACTGCACCTGTAAGTACTAGGGTTTAATATTTTTCCCGAAAATGAGACGTATCATATCCCGGGAAAAGACGACGCCTTTCCCGGGAAATCCCGGGAAATAGCTGTTGTTTGTAGTTGTTGTTTTTAGCCCAAGTAATGTGTGATATCACTCAAACATATAATCCAACAAAAGCTGCCATCTCCACTAGTGTTTCACCAAGTGACTTGCTAGCTTTTATAAAGTAGCCATAGCGTTTTCAGACGTTTTGTTGATGGGCTTTCGTCAGGAATTTCACTATTATGAGATTCTAAATGTCTGCGCAATCCACTTGTCGAAAAGTGACGTGCGGTGTGGTTTGGAGGCACTGACTTCAGCCCAATCAGATGAACATATATCATATAAATCAACAGAACCTACAGAGCGGCTTATTTACAATTAGTTTGGCTACAGCAGAATGTTTTCCATGGCCCGCATTGTTTGCTCAAACAAAACGCAAAAGTTTGTAAAAGGCACATTTCCAATTGTGTTATGGGTCTTACCTTAGTTATTAATGAACAGCACAGACCACTTCAGTTCAGACCAGTTTCATGTTTAAGTCCATATAATAGTTTGAGCGCAGATATGTAATCCCCCATTTGGAAATAACCCCAAAGAGTTTTAAAGCGTAAAACAAAACGGGTGCCACCTCCATAAACTCCTCCGTGTGTTCGCTGCAGCCGGCTCTCGGGCGCATCCAATTTCTAATATCAACCTTCTTACCCTTCTCCTCTCTTCCTTATCATTCCTATCGTCATTGTAAGCAGAACATTACCCTAAATGCATTTTATATGATTTTAAAATGTGTTATATGTATGTTAGCCAAACCTGTTGCTGCCCTTAGCAGATGGAAAAAAAGAAAGGAGCTTTCTGATAGAATTGGACGTAACCAAATTCTGGGCTCACATGTGCCCCGTACCCTGAGCCTGGCCTCATTACAAGTCGTGGTTTAGCGCGATTAAGACCCATATTTGTTTCAAAAACACAATTTAGGAGCCATCCTCTCAGCTGTAGACATGTTGATTGTAAATGAAATATGTTTGAACTTTGAACAACGATAAACGTGCTTTATAATAGGAGCGCACTGTATTTTTTTTTTAACTTTCATTTCCCGTTTCCCGTCATAACATTTCCCGGGAATCGGGAAATAGTTTTCATCAGATTTTCCGGGTATCCCGTATCCCGGGATTAAACCCTAGTAAGTACCACCCAACTGCACCTGCAAGTACCACCCAACTGCACCTGCAAGTACCACCCAACTGCACCTGTAAGTACCACCCAACTGCACCTGTAAGTACCACCCAACTGCACCTGTAAGTACCACCCAACTGCACCTGTAAGTACCACCCAACTGCACCTGTAAGTACCACCCAACTGCACCTGCAAGTACCACCCAACTGCACCTGTAAGTACCACCCAACTGCACCTGTAGTTTTAGGTGAAAGACAAAAATATCGCAATAATATCGTTATCGAAATACTAAACGAATATCGCTCTAATTTCCAATATTGTGCAGTCCTAATCTTTGGTCAAAATCCCTTTAGAGTCTGTGGTGCCACCGTCCAGGATCCTGGTCCTCAGCACCAGCACAGAGTCAGACTCACATGGTGCTTGTGTACATTGGGGGTTGTATAAATGTGTTTAAAGCCTCCTCTTCTGCTGCTCAGAGAGAGAGAGAGAGTGTGTGTCTCTAAAGCCTCTTTCCTCTCTGTGCAGTGGACTGTGGCTGGTCTTCCTGGTCCCAGTGGGGGGAGTGTCTGGGACCATGTGGCGTCCAGAGCGTCCAGTGGTCCTTCCGCAGCCCAAACAGCCCCTCTGTGCAGGGGGAGGGGCGGGTCTGTCGGGGCATCTACCGGAAGGCACGCAGGTACTCTTAATGCTGACCCTGATCCTGTAACCTTTACCCCGAACCTTAACCATGGTCCTTAACCCCGACCTGTAGCTCAGCTCCTGTATCCCAGCTCCTGTATTTCCTCCACACACAGGTGCCAGACGGAGCAGTGTCTGCAGTGTGAGCACCGGGGTCAGACTCACCCGGTGGGGGAGCGCTGGGGGGAGGAGCCATGTCAGCTGTGTCGCTGCTCCAACAGTCTGCAGGTGCTCTGTGGCCCCTACTGTCAGTATGAGGCCTCAAGCTGTCCTCAGGTACAGCACATAGAGCTGCTTAGAGCTGTCACATAGAGCTGCTTAGAGCTGTTTAGAGCTGTATCTCTGTGTTCCAGGGTCAGAGCTTGGTTAGAGCTGTATCTCTGTGTTCCAGGGTCAGAGCTTAGTTAGAGCTGTATCTCTGTGTTCCAGGGTCAGAGCTTGGTTAGAGCTGTATCTCTGTGTTCCAGGGTCAGAGCTTGGTTAGAGCTGTATCTCTGTGTTCCAGGGTCAGAGCTTGGTTAGAGCTGTATCTCTGTGTTCCAGGGTCCGAGCTTGGTTAGAGCTGTATCTCTGTGTTCCAGGGTCAGAGCTTGGTTAGAGCTCTATCTCTGTGTTCCAGGGTCAGAGCTTGGTTAGAGCTGTATCTCTGTGTTCCAGGGTCAGAGCTTGGTTAGAGCTGTATCTCTGTGTTCCAGGGTCCGAGCTTGGTTAGAGCTGTACCTCTGTGTTCCAGGGTCAGAGCTTGGTTAGAGCTGTATCTCTGTGTTCCAGGGTCAGAGCTTGGTTAGAGCTGTATCTCTGTGTTCCAGGGTCAGAGCTTGGTTAGAGCTGTATCTCTGTGTTTCAGGGTCAGAGCTTGGTTAGAGCTGTATCTCTGTGTTCCAGGGTCAGAGCTTGGTTAGAGCTGTATCTCTGTGTTCCAGGGTCAGAGCTTGGTTCCTGGAGACGGCGACAGATGCTGTTTCTGTGAAGGTAAAGCTGCAGCTTCAGGGGAACAACAGTCGTATGTTTCACACTTTTCTCACTTTTTTAGGCGGAAATGGAACTTTTTCATTCACCGTCAGTCCCAGGGTCACCCCCAACCCAGGCCTCGTTCCTGTGATCCCCACTTACCCACTTCCACCCGGAGGTATGGACACCTAAGGAAACTGTGGAGCTTTATCATCTGGAAACATCAGGAGCCAGGCCCAACGCTTTAGTATCACAATATACAGACAGTGAGAGGGTTAGAAGGTGAGGGGGTGAGAGGGTGAGGGGTGAGTGGGTGAAGGGGTTAGAGGGCAATTGGGTGAGCAAGTGAGACGGCAATGGGGTGAGGGGTTGAGAAGGTGATAGGGCAATGGGGTGTGATGGTGAGAGATGATGGGGTTAGGGGGGTGAGAGTGAGAGGGTTAAAGAGGAAGAAGGTGAGAGGGTACTGGGGTGAGATATGATGGGGTGAGATAGGGTGAGAGGGTGAGATGGCAAGAGGGTGAGAGGGTGAGAGTTAGACAAAAGGACACAGGCCTTTAACCATGTTTCACTCCGTACAGTTGATCCAAACAGAGAGAGTGTATAGAATTTGTTCTTATGTAGTTTTTGGGGTGACAGATCAGTGCTGGTCTCCTCTGGGGGTCCCCTCTCTCCCGGCCTCCAGCTTCAGTGCGTCCTCTCAGATGGCAGGTCACCCCCCTGAGGCAGCCCGGCTCCACGCCTGGGACCCCCACACCGACCTCCAGGTACGAGACCTCTGTACTTTTCATGATCAGGTTTGGTCCATCACAGTCTGATAAAAAAGGATATTTCATTTCTATTCAATGTATTTGTGTATTGCCCTAAAACACAGCAGTAGTTATCTCGGAGGACTTTACTAAGCTGGGGCGACAGTAGCTCAGTTGGTAGAGCATTGGCCTTCAGGCCTGAAGGTCGTGGGTTCAATTCCCACCTCTACACCTTCTCCACCGACTCCCACTGATGACTGCTGTCGTTGTGTCCTTGGGCAAGACACTTAACCCCACTTTGCCCAAAGCCCCCACTGAAAGATCAAGGCTATGCTCTCACTCAGAGAGCAGCCGTCCTCCTGTGGACTCACCACCTGCAGAGGGTCAGTGAGGGGCTGGTGCTATGAGACTTGGGTGGCATCTCTGATTGCCACCCCCCTGACCCAGAAATGGATTAAAGGGTAGAAGATGGATGGATGGATGGACTTTACTAAGCTGTCGACACCAACACAGATTAGAGAATCAAACAGTTTAAACACAAAAAATGCAATGATAAAAACACAAAGAGCCATTGGTCCGTAAGAGAACAATGTCTGAACATGTTGATGAAGTCCATACATTATACTCCAATGGTGAACCAGTGTGGTTTTCTGACCTCTGACCTCAGGGCTGGAGTCCAGAGCCTCAAGATTATGGGGACCTCCCTCAGCGTCGTCCTGAGGCTCTTGGCAGCGGAGCAGCGAGTCCACACTTACAGATTGACCTCCTGCAGCCGCACAACATCACAGGTGACCACAACGATACACACACACATGGGTTTAGGGCTTTTGTGACTTTCTCTCACTCCTGTTCCTCCTCTCCCTCCTGGTCCTCCTCTCCTGGTCCTCCTCTCACCCCTGGTCCTCCTCTCCTGGTCCTCCTCTCCTGATCCTCCTCAGGTCTGCTGACCCAGGGAGGAGGTGTGTATGACACATACGTGTCCAGCTTCTCTCTTCAGTTCAGCCTCAACGGAAACATGTGGAACACGTTCAAGGAGATGGTCACTGACGCTCGGCCCAAAGTCAAGGTCTGTGCAGTAGTAGTAGTAGTAGAAGTAGTGTATCAGTAGCAGTAGCACCAGTTGTAGAAATAGCAGTAGCAGCATTAGTAGTGATAGTAACAGTAGCAGTAGTAGTAGCACGTAATTTGAAAAGTTATGATGTCCAACAGGTGAACATTTAGTGGACATAACATTTACCACAATGCATCTATAAAAAACGTCCATAAAGGACTGGATCCTTCGAGACCCAGTCTAACAAAGACCTACATGGTCACTCTCTCTCCAGGTGTTTATGGGTAACCGTGACGACCGCAGTGTGGCCGTGACCAGGCTGGACAGAATGGTGTCTGCGAGGTTTGTCCGCCTGGTGCCTTACGACTTCCAACACAGCATCTACCTGCGGCTGGAGCTGCTGGGCTGTGCAGACAGTACATTCCACTCGGTCACCACCCCTGGGCCCTCCCCCATCAGCCCCAGCGGGGGGTGTGGTGAGGGACAGTTCCAGTGTCAGAATGGACGCTGTGTATCCGCCGGTCCACAGGGGGCGCTGTGTGATGGGGTCAACGACTGTGGAGATGGATCTGATGAGAGGCTCTGTGGTGAGACTGCCCTAAACCTTGGATTGGTCTCTCGCGCTCTTTTGTCTCTCTCTGGTCTCTCTCTAGACCAGGGGTGCTCACACTTTTTCAGCATGCGAGCTACTTATAAAAGGATCAAGTCAAAATGATCTACCTACTACAAAAATGCAAATCATATATTTATTTCAAAAAATATTCTGTATACCTACAATGTATGTTTATGTACATGCAAAACTGCATGAGCCAATATAGCACAACACAACACAATTACCTATGTACATTTTTTGTCATTACCCGAGTTTACTCTGATGACTTGCACTGAATTGAATCGGCCAGGGATGCATAGTCCGGAAAATTGGTGGTAACTCGCTGACAAGTTTGTCGTTGTTGAGCTTTCCTGCACTGAGCGCGGTTGTTTGCGCATGTGCAGTCACCTAAGTGTCAGTAAAACATTACTGAGTAAAACACAGATGTCATTTGACTGTGGTGCCATGTCCATGTGCCATGCCTATTTTTTTTAAATCCAAATATTTCCCCTCCTCAGTTTATAAAATAATTTGCATCCACACATCTGCGTTATCAATCACGTTCGTAACATTCCAAACATGTGCATGTCTTACGTCCTGTCCTGCGTTGGGGAAAAACACAGAAGTGGGCGGAGCTTTGATGCAGACGCCGGTAACGGCACTTTTACAGTCATAGAAGACACTCAGAGTAAAGACGTATGTTTACAAGCACTGACCCCGTCCTCAGCCCTGGTTTAGTCCTGGTTTAGTCCTGGTTTAGTCCTGGTTTAGTCCTGGTTTAGTCCTGGTTTGGTTGTTTTCGAGCGTGAGTCCGATCACTTTGCTGCTCTCTGATGTGGAGGATGTTCGCTGCTGCGAGCATCTCACAGCGGACAATTTTTAAGGTAGTATGATCCATGCTTCAGTGATCAGAGGAATTTAGGGGGGTACTGTGGCGTGCGAGAACGCAAAACTCCGGTTATCTCTGTCTACACACAAATGCATTAACGGAGTTTTCAAAAATCTCCACTTTGCCCGGAGTTTTTTGTATATATTTGTTTAGAATGTGTAATTTTTTCATTTATTTAATGCGATCTACCAATACTACCTTTGCGATCGACTGGTAGATCGCGATCGACGTATTGAGCACCCCTGCTCTAGACTCTCTCTGATCTCTCTCTGGTCTCTTACTGGTTTCTTTCTGGTCTCTCTTTCTCTCTGTCTGGTCTCTCTCTAGTCTCTCTCCTCTCTCTCTGGTCTCTTTCTGGTCTATTTTTGGTCTCTCTTTGATCTCTCTCTGGTCTCTCTCAGGTCTCTCTCTGGTCTCTACAGATTACAGCAGTGAAATGTCTTCCCCTCCAGGTCCCACCTCCACAACCCCCAGCCGCCGCAGCTGCCCCATGGGTCAGTTCTCCTGTCCCCCTGGAATCTGCATCGATGCAGGGAAGCGCTGTGATGGAGTGTCCCAGTGTCCAGGAGGAGAGGACGAGACCGGCTGCGGAGGACACATCACCACACAGTCCGACAGGTCCCGCTGGTCCCCATAACACCACACAGTCCGACAGGTCCCGCTGGTCCCCATAACACCACACAGTCCGGCAGGTCCCGCTGGTCCCCATAACACCACACAGTCCGACAGGTCCAGCTGGTCCCCATAACACCAAAAAGTTCGACAGGTCCAGCTGGACCCCATAACACCACACAGTCCGACAGGTCCAGCTGGTCCCCATAACACCACACAGTTCGACAGGTCCAGCTGGTTCCCATAACACCACACAGTCCAACAGGTCCAGCCGGTCCCCATAACACCACACAGTTCGACAGGTCCAGCTGGTCCCCATACCACCACACAGTTTGACAGGTCCCGCTGGTTCCCATAACACCACACAGTCCGACAGGTCCAGCCGGTCCCCATAACACCACACAGTTCGACAGGTCCAGCTGGTTCCCATAACACCACACAGTTTGACAGGTCCAGCTGGTCCTCATAACACCACACAGTCCAACAGGTCCAGCTGGTCCCCATAACACCACACAGTTTGACAGGTCCAGCTGGTCCCCATAATACCACACAGTCCGACAGGTCCAGCTGGTCCCCATAACACCACACAGTCCAACAGGTCCAGCTGGTCCCCATAACACCACACAGTCCGACAGGTCCAGCTGGTCCCCATAACACCACACAGTCCGACAGGTCCAGCTGGTTCCCATAACACCACACAGTCCGACAGGTCCAGCCGGTCCCCATAACACCACACTGTCTGACTGGTCCCACTGGTTCCCATAACACCACATAGTCCGACAGTTCCGGCTGCACACTGGGGTAGTCTTGCACAGTTTTTCCAATGTGGTTTTACTGCAAATGGCAAATAAATGAATCTGAATCTGAATCTGAATCTGGTCCCTGTAACACCACTCAGGCCAAGGAGGTCCAGCTGGTCCCCATAACACTTCACGCTGATACCAGAGGTCTAGTTAGGGCTTGAGTTAGAGTTAGTCTTACCTGGACATGTAGATCTCAGAATTTAAGATTGAGCTGTATCTCCGCATGATTTATCACTTTTGAATGGGCACGAGGGAAGGAGGTAGATTCCTTCTTTAACCCTAGTCTTTGTGCACAGACCACACACACCAACCCCCGCGCCACTGAGGACCCCCGCCAAAGCCGCGGTCACCCTCCCTGCCGTCACCCCGACTGTAAGCACCCTTCTCTGTCTCTAATTCACTTTTCACTGTCCAAAGTCTAACTAGTCTCCCATGTTTTCTTCTCAGCGTGGTCCCAAGTATCAGGGTGAGTTCAGACTTCACAGACTGGTCCTCTCTCAGACTGGTCCTCTCTCACACTGGTCATCCCTCAGACTGGTCCTTCTCACACTGGTCCTTCTCAGACGGTTACTCTCTCAGACTGGTCCTTCTCACACTGGTCCTCCCTCAGACTGGTCCTTCTCACACTGGTCCTCTCTCAGACTGGTCCTTCTCACACTGGTCCTCTCTCAGACTGGTACTCTCTCAGACTGGTCCTTCTCACACTGGTCCTCCCTCAGACTGGTCCTTCTCACACTGGACCTCTCTCAGACTGGTCCTTCTCACACTGGTCCTCTCTCCTGTAGGGATCTGCTCGTCTCCTCTGGGGCTGGAGGACGGCAGGATCCACTACGGTCAGCTGACCTCGTCTACGTCTCGAGAGAACAACCCAGCGGACGCCGGGAGGCTCAACATCGTCCCCAACGTGTGAGTGTCTCGTACTCTGTGTTTGATACTTAGGGACAAACTTCATTTAGAATTGGAGACGTCACAATGTGCTGGAGCGAGGAGCCTGACTGCAGGGGTTTCCTCCAGGTGCTCCAGGTTTTCTGGGGTTTCTGAATACAGACGCTCAGGAATTCACATAAAGGATCATGTTACATAGTGGAACTTCACACCCCCCTCCCCTTCTGCAGTAAGGTGATGGAGCCCGGCTGGAGCCCGCTGCCCTCAGACCCTCAGCCGTACTTCCAGGTGGACCTCCTGGAGCCCACCTGGGTGTCAGGGGTGGTGACCCAGGGCAGCGAGCGCATGAGGGGGTCCCTCACCAAGTACCGTCTGGCCTTCTCCCTCAACGGCAAACACTACACAGACTACACAGAGGACGGCAAGGCTGGGAGCCCCCCCCAGGTACACACACACACACATACACACACAAATAGAGAGACACACACACACACACACAGAGAGAGAAACACGCACGCACAGATATACACACACACACACACACACAGAAAGAGACAGACACACTCACACACAGACATACACTCACACACACACACACACAGAAAGAGACAGACACACACACACACAGACATACACTCACACACACAGAAAGAGACAGACACACACACTAAACTATCAAAGTGTGATGAGAAATAAATATTATACGCTGTGTGTGTGTTTGTGTCTCTCTGTGTGTGTCTCTCTCTCTGTGTCTCAGGTGTTTGAGGTGCGCCTGATGGGCAGGAGCCCGGTGACCCGGTGGCTCGGGCGGTTGCTGAGAGCCCGGTTTCTCCGCATCCTCGCGGTGGAGTTCAGACACACGTTTTACCTGCGAGCAGAGATCATGGGCTGCACAGGAGGTGACTGCAGAGGCAGGTTCAGGTTGTGGGGGTTATCAGACAAACATTGACCTCTAACTCTTCTTTAGAGGAGCTGGTGACTCCCCCCAGTTGGACCAGTGCCCCCCCTGGTGGTGCAGCTGTGACACTGCAGCGCTGTCCTACAGGACAGTTTTCCTGCAGGTACAGTGAGGACTGTGTCCCTGTGTCAGTGCTGTGTGATGGGAGACCAGACTGTAAGGACCATTCTGATGAGATCAACTGTGGTAAGTCCTTCATTACACTTCTGTCTTATAATACTACCACTATTGTGTATACTATTACACTACTATGTTGTATGTAATGTACATATGATCTATGCTCCGTGGGCTTCAGGAACTGTCCCCACAGGACGTCCCTCTGGACACAGGGACAACAGCAGCGGCTCCCCAGGCCTCCACACCACCAGGACACACGGAGGACAGCCAGGCTTCCAGACCACCACCCCCAGTTCAGGTTTGTGCTCACTCATCATGATGACCTCCACAGAACCACAAGTGTCTCTTCTGCTTTAGACTGGAGGACAGCTCACCCGGGTCTCCACCTCAGCACCCGCCCCTCAGGGGAACCCGGCCTGCACAGCACCCCCGGTGAGGGACAGATACTGTAGTGTAAATATGAATCTGAGCATTGTACTGATGTCTGTGATGTGTCCAGCCCCGTGGAGCACTGCCCCTGATGCAGGCCAGCCCAGAGGGGTGTGTGTGGGGGGGCAGGTCTCGTGCCGGTCCTTTGGCTGCGTGGAGCCCACACAGGTGTGTGACGGCACACAGGACTGTGTGGACGGGTCAGACGAGGCACACTGTGGTACGTGAGGCTGAGGGGACCGGCCTCTGACAGAGGAACTATCTATGACTGTGTGTGTGTTTCAGGGACCCCCCCAGTGCCCTCTGTGCCCAGCCCCTGCTCCCTCAAGCAGTTTTCTTGCAGCAGCGGCGAGTGTGTCCACGTGGACCGCAGGTGTGACCTGCAGCAGGACTGTGTGGACGGCTCTGATGAGAAGGACTGTGGTAGGCTCTCTGTGATCATGTGACTCTCTGAGGTCTGAGGTCCTCTGATGCTGTCCTCTGTCCTCTGATGCTGTCCTCTGTCCTCTGATGCTGTCCTCTGTCTTCTGATGCTGTTCTCTGTCCTCTGATGCTGTCCTCTGTCCTCTGATGCTGTCCTCTGTCTTCTGATGCTGTTCTCTGTCCTCTGATGCTGTCCTCTGTCCTCTGATGCTGTCCTCTGTCCTCTGATGCTGTCCTCTGTCCTCTGATGCTGTCCTCTGTCCTCTGATGCTGTCGTCTGTCTTCTGATGCTGTTCTCTGTCTTCTGATGCTGTCCTCTGTCCTCTGATGCTGTCCTCTGTCCTCTGATGCTGTCCTCTGTCCTCTGATGCTGTCCTCTGTCCTCTGATGCTGTCCTCTGTCCTCTGATGCTGTCCTCTGTCCTCTGATGCTGTTCTCTGTCCTCTGATGCTATCCTCTGTCCTCTGATGTTGTCCTCTGTCCTCTCATGTTGTCCTCTGTCCTCTGATGCTGTCCTCTGTCCTCTGATGCTGTCCTCTGTCCTCTGATGCTGTTCTCTGTCCTCTGATGCTGTCCTCTGTCCTCTCATGTTGTCCTCTGTCCTCTCATGTTGTCCTCTGTCCTCTGATGCTGTTCTCTGTCCTCTGATGCTGTCCTCTGTCCTCTGATGCTGTCCTCTGTCCTCTGATGTTGTCCTCTGTCCTCTGATGTTGTCCTCTGTCCTCTGTCCTCTGATGCTGTCCTCTGTCCTCTGATGCTGTCCTCTCATGTTGTCCTCTGTCCTCTGATGCTGTCCTCTCATGTTGTCCTCTGTCCTCTGATGCTGTCCTCTGTCCTCTGATGCTGTCCTCTGTCCTCTCATGTTGTCCTCTGATGCTGTCCTCTGTCCTCTGATGCTGTCCTCTGTCCTCTGATGCTGTCCTCTGATGCTGTCCTCTGTCCTCTGATGCTGTCCTCTGTCCTCTCATGCTGTCCTCTGTCCTCTCATGTTGTCCTCTGTCCTCTCATGCTGTCCTCTGTCCTCTCATGTTGTCCTCTGTCCTCTGATGCTGTCCTCTCATGTTGTCGTCTGTCCTCTGATGCTGTCCTCTGTCCTCTGATGCTGTCCTCTGTCCTCTCATGTTGTCCTCTGTCCTCTCATGTTGTCCTCTGTCCTCTGATGTTGTCCTCTGTCCTCTGATGCTATCCTCTGTCCTCTGATGCTGTTCTCTGTCCTCTGATGCTGTCCTCTGTCCTCTGATGCTGTCCTCTGTCCTCTCATTTGTCCTCTGATGCTGTCCTCTCTCTGATGCTGCTGTCCTCTGCCTCTTCTGATGCTGTCTCTGTCCTCTGATGCTGTCCTCTGTCCTCTGATGCTGTCCTCTGTCCTCTGATGCTGTCCTCTGTCCTCTGATGTCTGTCTTCTGATGCTGTCCTGTCCTCTGATGTTGTCCTCTGTCCTCTGTCCTCGATGCTGTCCTCTCATGTTGTCCTCTGTCCTCTGATGCTGTCCTCATGTTGTCCTCTGTCTCTGATGCTGTCCTCTGTCCTCTGATGCTGTCCTCTGTCTTCTGATGCTGTCCTCTGTCCTCTCATGTTGTCCTCTGATGCGTTTCTGTCCTCTGATGCTGTCCTCTGTCCTCTGATGCTGTCCTCTGATGCTGTCCTCTGTCTCGTTGTCCTCTGTCCTCTCATGCTGTCCTCTGTCCTCTCATGCTGTCCTCTGTCCTCTGATGCTGTCCTCTGTCCTCTGATGCTGTCCTCTGTCCTCTGTCCTCTGATGCTGTCCTCTGTCCTCTCATGTTGTCCTCTGTCCTCTCATGTTGTCCTCTGTCCTCTGATGTTGTCCTCTGTCCTCTGATGCTATCCTCTGTCCTCTGATGCTGTTCTCTGTCCTCTGATGCTGTCCTCTGTCCTCTCATGTTGTCCTCTGTCCTCTCATGTTGTCCTCTGTCCTCTGATGCTGTTCTCTGTCCTCTGATGCTGTCCTCTGTCCTCTGATGCTGTCCTCTGTCCTCTGATGTTGTCCTCTGTCCTCTGATGTTGTCCTCTGTCCTCTGTCCTCTGATGCTGTCCTCTGTCCTCTGATGCTGTCCTCTGTCCTCTGATGCTGTCCTCTCATGTTGTCCTCTGTCCTCTGATGCTGTCCTCTCATGTTGTCCTCTGTCCTCTGATGCTGTCCTCTGTCCTCTGATGCTGTCCTCTGTCCTCTCATGTTGTCCTCTGATGCTGTCCTCTGTCCTCTGATGCTGTCCTCTGTCCTCTGATGCTGTCCTCTGATGCTGTCCTCTGTCCTCTGATGCTGTCCTCTGTCCTCTCATGCTGTCCTCTGTCCTCTCATGTTGTCCTCTGTCCTCTCATGCTGTCCTCTGTCCTCTCATGTTGTCCTCTGTCCTCTGATGCTGTCCTCTGGCCTCTCATGTTGTCGTCTGTCCTCTGATGCTGTCCTCTGTCCTCTGATGCTGTCCTCTGTCCTCTGTCCTCTGATGCTGTCCTCTGTCCTCTCATGTTGTCCTCTGTCCTCTCATGTTGTCCTCTGTCCTCTGATGTTGTCCTCTGTCCTCTGATGCTATCCTCTGTCCTCTGATGCTGTTCTCTGTCCTCTGATGCTGTCCTCTGTCCTCTGATGCTGTCCTCTGTCCTCTCATGCTGTCCTCTGTCCTCTGATGCTGTCCTCTGTCCTCTGATGCTGTCCTCTGTCCTCTGATGCTGTCCTCTGTCCTCTGATGCTGTCCTCTGTCCTCTGATGCTGTCCTCTGTCCTCTGATGCTGTCCTCTGTCCTCTGATGCTGTCCTCTGTCCTCTGATGCTATCCTCTGTCTTCTGATGCTGTCCTCTGTCCTCTGATGTTGTCCTCTGTCCTCTGATGCTGTCCTCTCATGTTGTCCTCTGTCCTCTGATGCTGTCCTTTCATGTTGTCCTCTGTCCTCTGATGCTGTCCTCTGTCTTCTGATGCTGTCCTCTGTCCTCTCATGTTGTCCTCTGATGCTGTTTTCTGTCCTCTGATGCTGTCCTCTGTCCTCTGATGCTGTCCTCTGATGCTGTCCTCTGTCCTCTGATGCTGTCCTCTGTCCTCTCATTCTGTCCTCTCATGTTGTCCTCTGTCCTCTCATGCTGTCCTCTGTCCTCTCATGCTGTCCTCTGTCCTCTGATGCTGTCCTCTGTCCTCTGATGCTGTCCTCTGTCCTCTGATGCTATCCTCTGTCCTCTGATGCTGTCCTCTGTCCTCTCATGTTGTCCTCTGTCCTCTGATGCTGTCCTCTGTCCTCTCATGTTGTCCTTTGTCCTCTGATGCTGTCCTCTGTCCTCTGATGCTGTCCTCTGTCCTCTCATGTTGTCCTCTGTCCTCTGATGTTGTCCTCTGTCCTCTGATGCTATCCTCTGTCCTCTGATGCTGTTCTCTGTCCTCTGATGCTGTCCTCTGTCCTCTGATGCTGTCCTCTGTCCTCTCATGTTGTCCTCTGTCCTCTGATGCTGTCCTCTGTCCTCTGATGCTGTCCTCTGTCCTCTGATGCTGTCCTCTGTCCTCTGATGCTGTCCTCTGTCCTCTGATGCTATCCTCTGTCTTCTGATGCTGTCCTCCGTCCTCTGATGCTGTCCTCTGTCCTCTGATGCTGTCCTCTGTCCTCTGATGCTGTCCTCTGTCCTCTGATGCTGTCCTCTGTCCTCTGTCCTCTGATGCTGTCCTCTGTCCTCTCATGTTGTCCTCTGTCCTCTCATGTTGTCCTCTGTCCTCTGATGCTGTCCTCTGTCCTCTGATGCTATCCTCTGTCCTCTGATGCTGTTCTCTGTCCTCTGATGCTGTCCTCTGTCCTCTGATGCTGTCCTCTGTCCTCTCATGTTGTCCTCTGTCCTCTGATGCTGTCCTCTGTCCTCTGATGCTGTCCTCTGTCCTCTGATGCTGTCCTCTGTCCTCTGATGCTGTCCTCTGTCCTCTGATGCTATCCTCTGTCTTCTGATGCTGTCCTCTGTCCTCTGATGCTGTCCTCTGTCCTCTGATGCTGTCCTCTGTCCTCTGATGCTGTCCTCTGTCCTCTGATGCTGTCCTCTGTCCTCTCATGTTGTCCTCTGTCCTCTGATGCTGTCCTCTGTCCTCTGATGCTGTCCTCTGTCTTCTGATGCTGTCCTCTGTCTTCTGATGCTGTCCTCTGTCCTCTGATGCTGTCCTCTGTCCTCTGATGCTGTCCTCTGTCCTCTGATGCTGTCCTCTGTCCTCTGATGCTGTCCTCTGTCCTCTCATGTTGTCCTCTGTCCTCTGATGCTGTCCTCTGTCCTCTGATGCTGTCCTCTGATGCTGTTCTCTGTCCTCTGATGCTATCCTCTGTCCTCTGATGCTGTCCTCTGTCCTCTCATGTTGTCCTCTGTCCTCTGATGCTGTCCTCTGTCCTCTGATGCTGTCCTCTGTCCTCTGATGCTGTCCTCTGTCCTCTGATGCTGTCCTCTGTCCTCTGATGCTGTTCTCTGTCCTCTGATGCTGTCCTTTGTCCTCTCATGTTGTCCTCTGTCCTCTGTCCTCTGATGTTGTCCTCTGTCCTCTGATGCTGTTCTCTGTCCTCTGATGCTGTCCTCTGTCCTCTGATGCTGTCTTCTGTCCTCTGATGTTGTCCTCTGTCCTCTGTCCTCTGATTCTGTTCTCAAGGCAAGGCAAGTTTATTTATATAGCACAATTCATACACAAGGCAATTCAAAGTGCTGAACAAAACAAGAAAGCATTAAATTCATAAATTATCACAGAACATTAAAAAGAAAGATGAAAATATAAAATCCCTCAGTTGTATGCACAGCTAAACAGCACCGTTTTTAACCTGGTTTTAAACATTGTCAGAGAGGAGGCCTGTCTCACATCTTCAGGAAGATTGTTCCAGATTTTAGCAGCATGAATCTGAAAAGCAGCCTCCCCATGTTTAGTTCTGACTCTGGGCACTAACAGGAGTCCAGTCCCTGTGCTCCTCAGAGTCCCAGCAGGAGGCCAGTCCCTGTGCTCCTCAGAGTCCCAGCAGGAGTCCAGTCCCTGTGCTCCTCAGAGTCCCAGCAGGAGTCCAGTCCCTGTGCTCCTCAGAGTCCGGGCTGGTTCATATGGGACTAACATGTCACTAATATATTTTGGTGCGAGGCCATGGAGAGACTTGTAACAAGCAGAGCTGTTTTAAAGTCTATTCTCTGAGCCACAGGAAGCCAGTGCAGAGACCTGAGAACTGGACTAATGTGGTCGTACTTCCTGGTTCTAGTCAGGACTAATCTGGTCGTACTTCCTGGTTCTAGTCAGGACTCGAGCTGCTGCATTTTGAATGTACTGCAGCTGTTTTACAGCCTGTTTGGACAGACCTGTGAGCAGGCCATTGCAGTAGTCTAACCTACTGGAGACAAATGCATGGATAAGAATCTCCAAGTCTGCTTTAGACACTATGTTTTTGATCCTGGCAATGTTTTTTAGATGGTAAAAAGCTGCTGATGTTACTGATTTGATGTGGCTATTAAAATTTAAGTCTGAGTCCAGTATTACCCCTAGATATCTGACCTTGTTTGAAGGTTTTAGGGAGTGAGACTGGAGGTGACAGATGATGCTCTCTCTTTGTTTCTGGGGACCAAAGACAATCATTTCAGTTTTGTCTGCGTTTAGCTGAAGGAAGTTGTTTTGCATCCACTCACTGATCTGTTGGATACAGTGAAGGAGTGAGTCCACTGGTCCATGTTCTCCTGCAGTCAGTGAGACATAGATCTGAGTGTCGTCTGCATAGTTATGATAGGACACTTTGTTTCTGCGTATTAACTGACCTAACGGCAGCATGTAGAGATTGAACAGAAGAGGTCCCAGGATCGACCCCTGTGGGACTCCACAGGTCAGGGCCATATGATCTGAGACACAGTTTCCAATCTCCACAAAGTACTTCCTGTCTTCAAGGTAAGACCTAAACCAACTTAGGGCGGTGCTAGTGACGCCAACCCAGTCCTCTAGTCTCTGTAAGAGGATCTCATGGTCGACGGTGTCAAAGGCAGCACTTAGATCTAACAAGATTAAGATTGAGACTTTGCCTGCGTCAGTGTTCAGCCGGATATCGTTTGTAACCTTAACGAGAGCAGTCTCAGTGCTGTGGTGGGGTCTAAAGCCGGACTGAAACATATCAAATGAGTTGTTGATTATAAGAAATCTAGTAAGCTGTAGGTAGACAACTTTCTCAAGGACTTTCCCCATAAATGGCAGATTTGAGATGGGACGATAGTTGTTAAGTACCGTAGCATCGAGACTGCTCTTTTTTAGCAGGGGCCTGATGACTGCAGTTTTCAGGGCCTTTGGGAATATTCCAGAATGAAGGGACATGTTTACTATCTGTGTGAGTGAAGGTAACAGACTGCTCAGAACAGACTTCAGAAATCTAGTGGGTAGTACATCCAAGCTGCATGTGGAGGAGCTCAAACTGGAGATTATATCTTGGAGAGTTTTATCATTTACAGGTGCAAAGTGAGTTAGCTCAGAGAGCCTTTCTGGCTGTTGGATGGTTATCTGTGGATTGGAGACAATGGCGTTTTTGATGCCTTGAACCTTGTCATTGAAAAAATTAGCAAACTCATTGCATTTACGTTTGGAAGTAAGCTCTAATGGCATTTGAACAGGGGGGTTTGTTAATCTATTAACTGTTGAGAACAGAACACGCAGATTGTTGCTGCAGCCTTCAATCATTTCAGAAAAATACCTTTCTCTCGTACTACGTAGCACCCGGTTAAACTCGCACAACTTATCTTTGAAGATCTTGTAATCTACCTGGAGGTTGGACTTGCGCCACTTCCGCTCGGCCCTCCGGCACTTTCTCTTTTGTGCCCTGACCGAGTCTGCTTTAGCCCACGGCGCCTTCTGCTTATTTTTCACTATTTTAACCTTCACAGGGGCAACGGTATCCAGAACATTCAAAACACTAGAGGTGACAGAGTTAAACAGTTCATCTACAGTAGAATACGATGCATTCTCAAAGTTTATCATTTCCATAAATAGTTCACTCGTATTTTCATTTATGCGCCTTCTTCGAACAGTTGCAGAGTCCACTGGTGGTTTATTAGTGAAACACATGTCAAAAAAAACACAGAAATGATCCGAAAGAGCAACATCGACCACGTTTACATTTGAAATAATCACCCCCTTTGTAACTAACAGATCTAGAGTGTGCCCTCTGCTGTGGGTGGGGCCACTTACGTGCTGAGTGAGATCAAAGGATTCAAGTACAGAACTCAGCTCATTTGCATTTCTGTCATCAACATTATCCACATGAATATTAAAATCACCTGTAATAACCAAACTATCAAAATCTGTGCATACAACTGAAAGCAACTCGGTAAAATTATCAATAAAACTGTGACATGACTGCGGTGGCTTGTATAGGACAACGAAGAGTATTGGAGGAGATTGTTTTTGTTGTATTTTAAAAGACACATATTCAAATGACGAAAACTTCCCAAGAGACATTCTATGGGAGACAAAGTGGTCTCTAAAAATGGCAGCTAAGCCTCCTCCTTTTTTGTTTTCCCGTATTTCAGATTCAAACTTGAAATTTGGTGGTGATGCTTCTATTAAAACTGCATTTTCTGAATTTTGGTCAAGCCAAGTTTCAGCCATGAACATAAGATCAAGATTATGAGAAGAAATAAAATTATTGATTAAAAAAGACTTGTTACAAAGAGATCTGACATTAAGCGTAGCAAGTTTCAAAGTTACAGTATCAGCGGTTGCGGTCGGCTGATTCTTATACGGAACAAGAATTAGATTTTCCAGATTAGACTGATTAACTTCAGATGTTTTTCTGTAATGTATTCTTTGTGTTATCACTAAGGGAATGGCACAGGTGGCTTCATGACAGGGCCCCAGCCGGGTCTCTCCTCTAACTAGACTGCCAGTGGCTGCAAAGCAGAGACCCTGTGCATCCTAGTGTTTATAGAAAAGAGGGGAAGGGGAAGGCAGGGGAGGAGGATGGAGAGGTGGGTGGCTTTTGGGTGTTGAACGAGGGGGGCAGGGAGGTGGAGGGGTTTTAGGTGATGGGTTAGGGCCGGGGTGGGCTGAGGCAGAGGTTTTGGGTGTTGAACGAGGGGGAAGTGGGGGTGGAATGGTCATGAGGTTAGGGGAGGGACTGGCTGAGGTGGTTTTTGTAGGTGAATTGGAAACCCTAGGTGGTTTTGGAGGAACATATGGGGAGTGGTTTAGCATGTTGGACAGGACTCTAGATCGAGCTAATATGGGTGTGAGAGGAATAGTCTTCATCGCCGATTTTATTAGCCCTGCAGAGTGTTCAGGTAGGTCTAACAGTGAAGGCGGGGATGAAAAACAAAGGGAAGTGTCCCCATTCTCTCTTGATGGAGTGGACGTGGCAGGGGGGACCCAAGACAGGTCCTTGGGAGGTGGCGAGGGAGTCTTTGATGGAGGGGCAGGTGGTTGAGGAAACCCCTGCACAGGCCTGTCTGCTGTAGGCTGGGGTGAGGATGCTGTAGATGAAGAAGGCGTGACTGCTTTGGAGCAGGCTGGGGATGAGGATGTTGGTGGTGGTGGTCGTGCTGCTGGTGCTGCTACTGGTGATGATGCAGCTGCTGCTGGTGATGATGCAGCTGCTTCTGATGACAGTGGAGGTGTTGAGATCCTTCGAGGTGGTGGTGGTGTTGAGATCCTTTGAGGCGGTGATGGTGTTGAGATCCTTCGAGGTGGTGGTGGTGTTGAGATCCTTCGAGGTGGTGGTGGTGTTGAGATCCTTCGAGGTGGTGGAGGTGCAGAGACTTTTGGAGTTGGCTTCCTCCCTTTCGATGGCTGCACGTGCTGCGCAGGCTGAGGTCTCAGGGCAAAAGAAAGGTTATCCATCAACACTTTTACTCCGTAAGTGTTCAGATGTGGCCCTTTCCCTTCAAAAAGCTCATGCCTATTCCAGAACAGATTAAAATTCTCAATGAAGGCAAGTCCTCTGCATGAACATTCGTTGAGTAGGAAAGTATTTAGCTGATACAGACGACTGAATTTCATTTGCTTCCCGTCCACATTTGGTAGTGGGCCACTGATAACGATTTTTGTGTCCATTTTAGCAAGGTCGTCCAATAAGAGAGAGTAATCCCGTTTCAACTTTTCACTTGTGTTGTCATAGACGTCTACTGCCCCCACGTGGATCAACAATCTTTTTACCCCGCCGGTCTCAGACAGAAGCCTCGGAGCCAACCGCCTTATCTCATCCACTTTAGCAGAGTGTACTGAGTGAACCTTGAGATTACGCATATTTACATTTCTTATCGCCGAATCCCCGATAAAGAGCGACTCAGCTGCATTTGACCTTGACTGAGACTGAGACTGGGACTGAGAGGCTACTGCTGATTCATCTTCCAAAAGTGGTGAAAAGCGGTTTCTTGTAATTAAAGATTTTTGCTGTGGCATTATGACACTCTTGTTATCATTAGCTTTGCCTTGTTTGGGCTTGGCACCATATGTGTTCCAACAATTGTCTCTGTTGATTTTGGGAAATGAAATAGCGTCATCATAACTTACGTTCTGTCCATTTGGTCCATTTCCTTTCACTGGTATTGTTGTGTTCAGCCCCAATTCTGATTCAAGCACAAACATTCGGTCTTGAAGAAGTTTTAGCTCCTGTTTGAGTGAAAAACAGCCGTCGCAAAGTTTTGTTCTATTTTCCCGTCCTCCCGACATGCTGTAAGTTAGGTAAATTCCACCAGTCTTGTGTTGAAGTTTGTAAAAAGGAGTAATCCGTGTTTTGTGGAATAAAAATGTAAGCAAAAATGATTAAAGGAGATAAAAAAGCAGCAAGCGAGGAGCAGCAAGAGAATGCGACTGCTCTGCTCTGTGATGGGCGGTCTTCACAGAGCAGAGCTTTGTCCTGTTCTCTGTCCTCTGATGCTGTCCTCTGTCCTCTGATGCTGTCCTCTGTCCTCTGATGCTGTCCTCTGTCCTCTCATGTTGTCCTCTGTCCTCTGTCCTCTGATGCTGTTCTCTGTCCTCTGATGCTGTCCTCTGTCCTCTCATGTTGTCCTCTGTCCTCTGTCCTCTCATGTTGTCCTCTGTCCTCTGATGTTGTCCTCTGTCCTCTGCAGTGGACTGCATCATGTCCCCCTGGACGTCCTGGAGCCAGTGCAGTGTGTCCTGTGGTCTAGGTTCTCTGTTCCGGCAGCGGGACGTCCTGAGGGAGGCCCTGCCTGGAGGAGCCTGTGGGGGGGCACAGTTCGACAGCCGAGCCTGCTTCCCCCGAGCCTGTCCAGGTGAGTCACACATGGTCCCAGGTCTCGTCTCATGGGGCTTTCAGACCGCCAACGCTGAAACGCTGAAGCCCCGCCCACCAGACGCGCATTCTCTAGTTTTCAGACGCAGAGGACTTCACATCAGAACGTCCTGACGCGAGCCGGAAGTACCGGAAGTAGCCGGCTCTGATGCTAACAGAGCTATGCTAGCGGCTTCTTGTGTACAGATCTTCTCCAATATGCAGCTTTGCAGCGTGTCTTTGCTCACAGACCTTCCACAGGCTTTATATAACAGCAGTATGTGTTCACGGAGGTGACTTTATATAACAGTAGTATGTGTTCACGGAGGTGACTTTATATAACAGCAGTATGTGTTCACGGAGGTGACTTTATATAACAGCAGTATGTGTTCACGGAGGTGACTTTATATAACAGCAGTATGTGTTCACGGAGGTGACTTTATATAACAGCAGTATGTGTTCACGGAGGTGACTTTATATAACAGCAGTATGTGTTCACGGAGGTGACTTTATATAACAGCAGTATGTGTTCACGGAGGTGAGCCATACGTTTTTTCATATTATTAAACGGAATTTCCGCATCGGCGAACACACTCGAAGCAGTTGCATAAAGTCACGGAGCATGACAACGCATATTTTCACAAGCACAGAGTCCCCCATTGTCAGCCCTGGTTTGAGTTCTGGTGAAGTCTGGTGTGACTCCTGTTTTGGCTGTTTACGAGTATTTTCAGTCTGCTCGCTCAGTCCGCTAATGTCCCCGTGACCACTTTGCTGCTCTCTGATTGGTTGTCGCACGAACGTACCAAGGAAAGGATGAGCAGAATCCATCTCCTGTGGGCATTGATTTTTTGCTCCTGCTCCTCCCTTTTCACTTTCCCGCCAAGTCCGTAGGTCATTATTGAACAGTCCGTTCGTGCGTGCCAAGAGGTCCGTGCGTTGTGACGGGCGAACGCGCGCCACCATAGACTTTGCATTGAAACCCGACGCAGCATGATCCGGTCTGAAAGCACCATCAGTCACACATTTCCCATTTCTTGTCTCAGTCACACATGTTTGAAATGCTAGAAATGTAAACTTCTCCATTTCTCTTTTCAGTATAGTGTATCTTATGTTACACACACTGTTGAGCTGTTCCCTGCTGTGGTCTTCAGCCCTGTGTCCAGTCTGTGTCTGATGTGTGTTTTTGCAGTGGACGGTCACTGGTCTCCTTGGACGCACTGGTCAGACTGTGATGTCGCATGTGGCGGTGGACTCTCACACAGGAACAGAAGCTGCTCTCCTCCAAAGAACGGGGGTCAGGACTGTGAAGGCCCAAGTCAGCAGAGCCACAGCTGCCACCTCCAGCCCTGCACCGCGGACGTGGGCACTCAGACCGGTCTGAACACACACACTGAACACACACACTGACCCCAACACGTCTGAACACACACACTGAACACACGCACTGACCCCAACACGTCTGAACACACACACTGAACACACGCACTGACCCCAACACGTCTGAACACACACATTGGCCCATACACGCCAGAACACACACACTGACCCCAACACGTCAGAACACACACACTGAACACACACATTGACCCCAACACGCCAGAACACACACACTGACCTCAACACGCCAGAACACACACACTGACCCCAACACGTCAGAACACACACACTGAACACACACATTGGCCCCAACACGCCAGAACACACACACTGACCCCAACACGTCAGAACACACACACTGAACACACACATTGGCCCCAACACGCCAGAACACACACACTGACCCCAACACGTCAGAACACACACACTGAACACACACATTGACCCCAACACGCCAGAACACACACACTGACCCCAACACGTCAGAACACACACGTCTGAACACACACAATCTGCTCCCTGTTGCAGGTTGTACACATGGTTTGGTGCTGGTCTCAGAGGAAGACTGTCAGAAGGGGAAAGTGAAGCCCTGCCCCCCCACCTGCCCCCACCTCGGCCAGACCAGCAACTGCACCAGCGCCTGTGTGGCAGGTACGACAAACACTTGTGTGTTCCTCCTCCTGTGCTCCTCCTCCTGTGCTCCTCCTGAGTTCCTCCTCCTGTGCTCCTCCTGAGTTCCTCCTCCTGAGTTTCTCCTCCTGAGTTTCTCCTCCTGTGCTCCTCCTCCTGTGCTCCTCCTGAGTTCCTCCTCCTGTGCTCCACCTGTGCTCCTCTTCCTGTGCTCCTCCTCCTGTGCTCCTCCTCCTGAGTTACTCCTCCTGAGGACCTCCTCCTGAGTTCCTCCTCCTTTGCTCCTCTTCCTGTGCTCCTCCTCCTGAGTTACTCCTCCTGTGCTCCTCCTCCTGAGTTACTCCTCCTGTGCTCCTCCTCCTGAGTTCCTCCTCCTGAGTTCCTCCTCCTTTGCTCCTCTTCCTGTGCTCCTCCTCCTGTGCTCCTCCTCCTGAGTTCCTCCTCCTGAGTTCCTCCTCTCTGTGTGCAGGGTGCCGCTGTCCCCCAGGCCTGTACCTGTCCCAGGGCCGGTGTGTGGCTGTGGCTCAGTGTGGCTGTCAGTGGGGGAGCCACAGTCTGGAGGAGGGGCAGGTCGTCCGCAGAGACCCCTGCACCACATGGTGAGACACTAACATTCTTAGTTTCTGATGAGTGATGTCACATGTCACTGACAGGGCCCTGCTCTTCCCCAGTGTCTGCGCAGGGGGGCGGGTCTCGTGCAACTCCAGCAGCTGTGTCCAGAGCTGTCATTGGTCAGCCTGGTCGTCATGGACACCATGTGACGTCAAGTGCGGGGCAGGCCTTCAGCAACGCTTCAGGTTGGTGTCGGCTGGTGTCATGTTCTTATTATAAAATCATTTGTAATAAAAAATACTTAAAACTCCTCCCTCTAAATTAAACCTAATGTCTCCTTTAACCTGAGCCTGAAATGATCATTGTGAGTCATCAGTGTGAGTGACCAGTGTGAGTGACCAGTGTGAGTGACCAGTGTGAGTGACCAGTGTGAGTGACCAGTGTGAGTGACCAGTGTGAGTAATCAGTGTGAGTGACCAGTGTGAGGTGTGGAGGCTCCATTCTTATTCTTGTGTCTTTGTCAGATTCAGGTGTTAAAGAGTATGTGTAAAACACCATCCTGTAGTGAGAGCTGTGTGTCCTCAGGTCTCCACTGGTCCCAGCTGGAGCTGCCCGAGTTCAGCCCTGTCCCGGAGACTCAGGCCAGTCCCGCCGCTGCCTCAGCCCTTGTGTCACTGGTATGACTCCCCTCCCCCTCCCCTTCTCTAATGTGATAGAACAACCTGATACCAATGATGTAGTGTCTGATTCTTTTTCCCTTAATGTGATACATATAATATACATGTATTCACATTTGTTCTGTAAAGACTTTGATGTGTTTGTGATCGAACAGTAAAACAGTCATCAGTTATTTCTGCTGCTGTAGAAGAACAGTTACTTTCAGCTTGTCACAAATGACTGATCACTTCTGTCTGATGTTCTGCTTAAATAAATCTACCTGTTTGACTGTGCGTGTGCAGATCACCCTGAAGGAGAGTGGAGTCCGTGGACCATATGGTCAGAGTGCAGCAAGACCTGCTTCAGCCACGTGGACTATGTGGGGGTCAGGAGGAGGTTCCGGAACTGTCACATGACCTCAGCCTCTCTGACCCCCACCTCAGGCTCTCTGACCCCCCCCTCAGCCTCTCTGACCCCCACCTCAGCCTCTCTGACCCCCACCTCAGCCTCTCTGACCTCAGCCTCTCTGACCCCCACACACAGCTCCTGTGAGGGGGACGCTGAGGAACAGGAGCCCTGTAACACCTACCGCTGCCCAGGTACTGCCCCCAGACAGAAAACAAAAAAAGAGGGTTTTATGTTCAGGGGAAACAGATTAAATGTGAGACACAGATGCCGATGACTCACAGGGCTCATGAGACTAGTGACAGAAGCACTTTATGAGATAAGGCACAAATTACGTGGGTTTGTTGTGGTTTGAAAGTCCGGTGAGCTTTGAGTATGGAATGGTCACAGTGAAAGAGATGTGACTCCTCACAGACCTCAGGTACTTTAAAGGAAGTGCCCAAAGTTCAAAGGAGCATCTGGAGTAAAGAAGCTGCCTCTGTCTGTGTGCAGTGATTGGCGGCTGGTCCCTGTGGTCTCCCTGGTCCCTGTGCTCCTCAGACTGTGACTCTGGAGTTCAAACCAGAGAGAGGTCCTGCAGCTCTCCAGCAGCTCAGTACGGAGGGGAGACCTGCCCTGGGCCTCACATACAGACCAGGGACTGCAACGCCCACCCCTGCACAGGTACCACCCCAACCCTGACCCCTGTGTGTGTTTGTGACCTGTGTGTTTGTGTGTAACCTGTGTGTGTGTTTGTGTCTGTGTCTCAGGTGTGTGTCCTCAGGGCATGGTCTCCCTGACCTCTGCCCAGTGTGAGGCTCAGGGCGGGGCTTGTCCAAGGGTCTGTCTGGACATGACTCCTGCTGAAGTGGAGTGTGCCACCACCTGTTACGACGGCTGCTACTGCGCCCCGGGGTTCTACATCTACAACAGGAGCTGTGTGCCTCTGGCCAGCTGCCCGTGCTACCACCAGGGGGCGCTGGTCCCCGCGGGGGCCTCACTGCCACACGACGCCTGTAACAACTGGTATTGAGCTTTTCTAGTTGTTTGGTTTATGATCCACAGATACATGACATTTTCTCTTTGTTTATCCAGCACCTGCAGCAACGGAGAAATGCATTGTGGGACAGCTCCATGCCCCGGTAAGAGCTATTCCCAAAGTCATTTTGGTTGAGGAATGCAGTATTTCTTTGAGAAAATTTATCATTTTAAATGATGGAGGTAATTTTGTTCAAAGAATAATATCATTAAATATAGTAATAATAATACATAATATTTAAGATAAAGATTAACTGTGATCTTTTGTGATCTATTGTGAGTGTGTGGACTCTCATGGTTGTTGTAAGATCCTGTAGAGCTGCTTCCCACACTGGTCACATGTGTCTCCAGTGTAGACTCTCAGACATAGTTAATGAGACTTTGTACTTTCCTTCTCACACTAAACCTTAGATATTAATCATAAAACATCGAACTTACAGTGGAGTTGTATGAGGATGGGGGTGATGTGGTCTCTGGAGCAGGTTTGAGAGAGAAGACAGCTGGAGAGGAGTGAAGCCGTAGGGATGTCTTGTCCCTCACATGCCACATTCTCCTCTTAATATATAAGTGGTAGTTCATATCATATATTAAATTCATATCAGGGTCAGGGTCTGAGTGACAGTTGCGGTCTCTGCAGTGGACTGTGGCTGGAGCTCCTGGACTCAGTGGAGCAGCTGCAGTCGTACCTGTGATGTGGGTGTGAGGAGGCGCTATCGCTCTGGGACCAACCCTCCCCCAGCGTTTGGAGGTCGTCCGTGTCGAGGGGAGAGAGTGGGCATGGACACCTGCAGCGTAGAGCCCTGCTTTGGTGAGTCCCTATGCTCTGTCTAAAATCATGCATGTCCTCGTCCCTATGCTCTGTCTAAAATCACGCATGTCCTCGTCCCTATGCTCTGTCATACATGTCCTCGTCCCTATGCTCTGTCACGCATGTCCTCGTCCCTATGCTCTGTCACACATGTCCTCGTCCCTATGCTCTGTCACACATGTCCTTGTCCCTATGCTCTGTCACACATGTCCTCGTCCCAATGCTCTGTCACGCATGTCCTCGTCCCTATGCTCTGTCATCATGCTCTGAGTCCATCTAAACTCACACATGTCCTTGTATTTAAAGAAAGCTTAAACTTAAGTATCGCCTCAGTGTCTCACAGTTCATCTGTTTGCCCTTTGATCTTTTAAAGCAGATGTCTGTGTGTTTCCTGTCCCTCAGGAGTGAAGGAGCCATGGAGCCCGTGGTCCCTGTGCTCAGTCACCTGTGGAGGAGGCTACAGGAGCCGGACCCGAGGGCCCATCCGCACTCACGGCACAGCACAGCAGTTCAGCGCCTGCAACCTGCAGCCTTGTGGTACGCTCCGGTTCCGTACAGGTTCCCTCCAGGTGCTCCAGTTTCCTGCTGTGCTGCATCATTAATAGAAGCAGCACATTGTACAGCCCTGTGTTTGACCCTGGTCTGTGAAGTGCACTTTATAAATAAAGATGACTCTTTCAGTTATGTGACAGCACCGTCAATGTACCCTGACCTCTGACCCTGTACCTCTCTCTCTCCAGGAGGGGGGCGGGTGTGTCCTCCCCAGCAGCAGTGGGCCCCCTGTGTGACCGGCCCTGTGACCTGCTCAGATGTTCTCATGAACCTGAGCCGAAACTGCACCCCAGGCTGCCTCTGTCCTCCAGGGATGCTGCTGCAGGTGAGGGGGGGTCCATGGGGGGGTTCTGGTAATTCCATTTCAGTCAGACGTTTCTAAAATTAAAGCTTGTGTCCTGACCTTCTGTGTGAAACAGGATGCAGCTGAGTGCGTCCCACAGTCTGAGTGTCGCTGTGACATCGACGGGAAAACGTATTATTCACAGGAAACTGTCCCAGTCGACTGCAACAACTGGTGAGACACTGTAACAACTGGTGAGACACTGTAACAACTGTAACAACTGCAACGACTGTAACGACTGGGGAGACACTGTAACGACTGTAACTACTGCAACGACTGTAACGACTGGTGAGACACTGTAACGACTGGTGAGACACTGTAACAACTGTAACAACTGGTGAGACACTGTAACAACTGTAACAACTGCAACAACTGTAACGACTAGTGAGACACTGTAACGACTGTAACTACTGCAACGACTGCAACGACTGGTGAGACACTGTAACGACTGTAACTACTGCAACGACTGGTGAGACACTGTAACAACTGTAACAACTGGTGAGACACTGTAACAACTGTAACAACTGCAACAACTGTAACGACTAGTGAGACACTGTAACAACTGTAACTACTGCAACGACTGCAACGACTGGTGAGACACTGTAACGACTGTAACTACTGCAACGACTGGTGAGACACTGTAACGACTGTAACTACTGCAACGACTGTAACGACTGGGGAGACACTGTAACGACTGGTGAGACACTGTAACGACTGTAACTACTGCAACGACTGTAACGACTGGTGAGACACTGTAACGACTGTAACTACTGCAACGACTGGTGAGACACTGTAACGACTGTAACTACTGCAACGACTGTAACGACTGGGGAGACACTGTAACGACTGGTGAGACACTGTAACGACTGTAACTACTGCAACGACTGTAACGACTGGTGAGACACTGTAACGACTGTAACTACTGCAACGACTGGTGAGACACTGTAACGACTGTAACTACTGCAACGACTATAACGACTGGGGAGACACTGTAACGACTGTAACTACTGCAACGACTGTAACGACTGGTGAGACACTGTAACGACTGTAACAACTGCAACGACTGGTGAGACACTGTAACGACTGTAACGACTGAGGAGACACTGTAACGACTGGTGAGACACTGTAACGACTGTAACAACTGCAACGACTGTAACATCTGAGACGGTAACAGGGGTCAGAGGTCAGCCCATTTGACATTTGACCCTGAATTCTTACTTTCCATTCTTCTTTCAGCACGTGTGAAGGCGGAAGGCTGGTGAACTGCTCCCAGCTCAACTGTGAGGGTATGTGTGTCTGTGTGTGTGTGTGTGTGTGTGTGTGTGTGTATGTGTGTGTGTGTGTGTGTGTGTGTGTGTGCAGGGTATAGTATTAGTGCTAACGGTGTGTTGCGTGTGTTGTGTGTGTGTGTGTGTGTGTGTGTGTGCAGCTGTCAGGGTATAGTATTAGTGCTAACTGTGTGTTGTATGTGTTATATGTGTGTTGTGTGTGTGCAGCTGACAGTGCGTGGTCCCAGTGGACTCCATGGGGCCTGTGCTCGGTCTCCTGTGGGACCGGTCGTCAGTCTCGGTACCGGTTCTGTTCCGGTGCCCTGCTCTCCTCCTCCGCAGCCTGTGATGGTCCTCAACGAGAGGACCAGGTGTGCGTCCAGCAGCGCTGTGACCGTGAGTGACCACTGTACACTTTATTTATGTAGCACAGTTTTATGTCAGCACAGAAATGAAAACCTGTGTAAACATACGAGTATGATCTAACAAAACAGAGGAGCACACAACTCCTGTACTGAAAGCACCTCTCTGGTCCTCCTCTCTGGTCTTCCTCCCTGGTCTCCCTCTCTGGTCTTCTCCTCTGGGCTACCTTTATGGTCTTCCTCTCTGGTCTTCCTATCTGGTCTCTCTGGTCTCCCTCTCTGGTCTTGCTCCCTGGTCCTCCTCCCTGGTCTCCCTCTCTGGTCTTGCTCCCTGGTCCTCCTCCCTGGTCTCCCTTGCTGGCCTCCCTCTCTGGTCTCCCTCTCTGGTCTTCCTCTCTGGTCTCTCTCTGGTCTTCCTCTCTGGTCTCTCTCTCTTGTCTCCCTCTCTGGTCTTCCTCCCTGGTCTCCCTCTCTGGTCTCCCTCTCTGGTCTTCCTCCAGGGGACGGGGGCTGGGGACAGTGGACAAACTGGACACAGTGCTCTAAGACGTGTGGAGGAGGAGTGAGGAGCAGGAGGAGAGAGTGCGACAGTCCGACTCCCGAAGGAGACGGAAACTACTGCGAGGGTTTGGGGACAGAGGTGTCCTCCTGCAACACCCTGCACTGTCCAGGTACACACACACACACACACACATATATACACACGCACACACACACACACACTCACACATATATATACACACACACTCATACAAACACACACACACGCACACACATATATACACACACACTCATACAAACACACACACACAGTCTCACCTCAGTCCTTTGTCCTCAGTGTTCCCGTGCACAGAGGTCCCAGGCTCCGCCTTCAGCAGCTGTGGTCCGTCCTGTCCTCGCTCCTGTGACGACCTTGCGGTAAGAGTCCAGAGTCTGAGGATCTCAATGTGTGTTTGACCTCTGTGTGTGTCTGACCTCTGACCTCAGTGTGTGTCTGACTTCTGACCTCAGTGTGTCTGATCTCTGACCTCAGTGTGTGTCTGACCTCTTACCTCAGCACTGTGCCTGGCGCTGTGAGCCCGGCTGTTACTGCACTGAGGGGAAGGTCCTGTCCTCTAACGGGACAGTGTGTGTGGACAGAGAGGACTGTCCCTGTCTGGACCTCAGCACCGGTCAGCGCCTGCAACCTGGACATACCCGCCCTTCCCCCGATGGACACAACAACTGGTGAGAGGAACTCACCGCAACAGTGTCCGGGATGAACTTACCCACATGACCATAACTGTTGTGATTTCAGCACCTGTGTTGGAGGAACCCTGAACTGCACCAGAGCTTTGGGACCAGGTACAAACTGGGGACCTACAGACTGGGGACTTACAGGGGACCTACAGACTGGGGACTTACAGACTGGGGACTTACAGACTGGGGACCTACAGAATGGGGACTTACAGACAGGGGACATACAGACTGGGGACTTACAGAATGGGGACCTACGGACTGGGGACTTACAGAATGGGGACCTACGGACTGGGGACTCACAGAATGGGGACTTACAGACAGGGGACCTACAGACTGGGGACTTACAGACAGGGGACTTACAGACAGGGGACCTACAGACTGGGGACCTACAGCCTGGGGACTTACAGACTGGGGACCTGCAGACTGGGGACCTACAGACTGGGGACCAACAAACTGGGGACCCACAGACTGGGGACCTACAGACTGGGGACGAACAAACTGGGGACCCACAGACTGGGGACATACAGAATGGGGACCTACAGACTGGGGACATACAGACTGGGGACCTACAGACGGACTGGGCACTTACCATAAATATTTGCTTCTTTAGTCTTCTCCTCTTTCAGTTTGACTCTGGGTCTTTCCCCAACGACTTTATGTACGTGTCTTGTGCACACTGGGGACTTTTGCAAATGTATTCCAATGTGGTTTTACTGCAAATGCAAAGTAAAATGAAACACATCCCCTTTAAGTGTCTTTCGTCTCCATGATTACTTCATGTATTGCTGGTTCTTAGTGGACGGCGGCTGGTGTGAGTGGTCGGACTGGACTCCCTGCTCCAGGACGTGTGGGGCGGAGTCTGTGTCCCGCTACAGGAGCTGTGTGTGTCCCGAGCCCAGAGAGGGAGGAGCCAGGTGTCCTGGGGAGCAGGAAGTGCACAGCGGGGTGGGGGTCCAAATCCAGAGACAGCCCTGTCCCCTCCTCAGCTTCTGTCCGGGTGAGGAAGTCTCCTGGTCATCCTGGCACCATCGTTAGAGCAGAAGTCGCTCTGGTCTCTCTCTGCACTCTCACTCTGGTCTAGGGTTGCCAACTTGAGAACAAAAAAATAAGGGACACCATTTGGGTGGATCGGGTTGAGCACTTTTTAGTCCTAATTTCAGTCTACACAGTAATCATGGAATTTCATAATCACAGTTTTTAGATTGTAATTTATTGACTACATATATAAAAAAAATCCTTAGTCAAAAATGAAATTGAATAAATAGGTGGAACTCTTTGGCTGGTTAAAGACTTAATGCATTCTTATTAGTAATACAAAAATATATAAAAAAGACAAATACTGTAACATACATTATTTATGAATGTTACAGTAAAGACCAATTTCTGTAAAAGCAAAAGAAAAAAGAAAAACATATGTATTCATTAAAAAAACTCACAAATCAAAGTCTGTAGCAGTTCGATATGGTCATCATTATTTATATTGTCTGAGAGTTTTGTGCAGGTACTGCAGGTTTGTGGCTTCAGTAAAAGCTATTGTTCGTTTACAGCTGGTCTGGATATTTGTTGACGGTCCCTAAGTGCTTTTCTCGGCGCTTGCAGTGCATTGGATTCAGAGGATTTCTCTGCATTAAAACAGCGCATTGAATTTATAAAATCAACATAGAGATGATCATTTTAGCACAATTACTTTTGTTTAACAAAGTAGCTTTCGTGAGCTATTGACCGCGGAAGTCCGAATCTAGGAAAATGACGCTACTTTCCCAAATTCTGACGTGATGGTGCTGCGGGCACGGCCCACGCTGATGATTGTCAACATTAAACCAACGTCTGTGATCAAGCCTACGCCCCTTTGACACTGATTGGCCGAAAGGTACAGTAGATGCTTAAACTGTCATCATTACTGTGTGTGTGTGTGTTCGTGTGTGTGTGACATGCAGTGAGTGAGTGATGCATTTAAGGTGGCTCTGAAAATACGGGACAAAAGCCGTCCCGTATCAGTTCAATACGGGACGCACATAGTTTTTGTATAATACGGGACAATTCCGTATTTCAAGGGACGGTTGGCAACCCTACTCTGGTCTCTCTCTGGTCTCTTTCTGCACTCTCACTCTGGTCTCTCTCTGGTCTCTTTCTGCACTCTCACTCTGGTCTCTCTCTGGTCTCCCTCTGGACTCTCTCTGGTCTCTCTCTGGTCTCTCGCTGGTCTCTCGCTGGTCTCTCGCTGGTCTCTCTCTGGTCTCTCTCTGGTCTCTCTCTGGTCTCTCTCTGGTCTCTCACTGGTCTCTCACTGGTCTCTCTGGTCTCTCTCTGGTCTCTCACTGGTCTCTCTGGTCTCTCTCTGGTCTCTCACTGGTTTCTCTGGTCTCTCTCTCATTGTGCTTTTATCCCTCAGTGCATGGTGCCTGGAGTCCATGGTCAGTGTGGTCAGAGTGTGATGGTTGTGAAGGGGCCTCCACACGGACTCGTCAATGCAGCAGCCCCCCCGCCCGCTTCGGGGGTCTCCCTTGTTTGGGGGAGACCAGGCAGAGCCGCGCCTGCCAGGACAACTCCACTGTCTGCTCTGGTAAGAGGCAGGAGAACAGGAATGACCACACCAACACCACCTGGTCCATGTACAGTAAATGTCCTCGTTTACAGTGACCATGTTGAGTTGAGTTAGATCGTTCAGAAGGAGGACCAGGGAAGAGCAGGGGACCAGGGGAGAGAAGGAGACCAGGGAGAGCAGGGGACCAAGGGAGTACAGGGATCCAGAGGAGAACCGGAGGCCAGAGAGCAGGGGGTGTCTTGTTTTAAATTTTATGAAGATTATGTTCAAATCAAGTCAGGAATCAGAATTTTGCAAATCCATCCATCCATCCATTTTCTTCCGCTTTATCCGTTGCCGGGTCGCGGGGGCAGCAGTCTAAGCAGAGACGCCCAGAATTCCCTATCCACACACACTTCCTCCAGCTCGTCCGGGGGGACCCCAAGGCGTTCCCAGGCCAGCTGAGAGACATAGTCCCTCCAGCGTGTCCTAGGTCTTCCGCGGGGCCTCCTCCCGGTGGGACGTGCCCGGAACACCTCCCCAGGGAGGCGTCCAGGAGGCATCCGGAACAGATGCCCGAGCCACCTCAACTGGTTCCTCTCGACGTGGAGAAGCAGCGGCTCTACTCCGAGCACCTCCCGTGTGACTGAGCTCCTCACCCTATCTCTAAGGGAGCGCCCAGCCACTCTGCGGAGGAAGCTCATTTCGACCGCTTGTATCCGCGATCTCGTTCTTTCGGTCATTACCCAAAGCTCATGACCATAGGTGAGGGAGGGAACGAAGATTGACCGGTAAATCGAGAGCTTTGCCTTTCGGCTCAGCTCCCTCTTTACCACAACGGTCCGATACAGCGACCGCATCACTGCGCGCGCTGCACCGATCCGCCTGTCAATCTCACGCTCCATTCTTCCCTCACTCGTGAACAAGACCCCGAGATACTTGAACTCCTCCACTTGAGGAAGGACCTCTCCACCCACCTGTAGAGGGAAAGGCACCTTTTTCCGGTCGAGCACCATGGCCTCGGATTTGGAGGTGCTGATTCCAAATCAGCACCTCCAAATATAATAAAATAATATTATATAATATATATATATATATATATATATTGCAAAATAATTTTGCAAATCTCGTTTCAAAACAGTTGCTCCAATGAGTACTAGTAGTATTGTTGTATTTCTTGTGTGCAGACTGTGGGGGGGGACAGGTGGACTGGCCATGTGGGAGGCCCTGTCCCCGCTCCTGCGCTGACCTCCAGGGGGACACGGACTGCCAGGACAGTCCTGAGTGCAGCAGGACGTGTGGCTGTCCCGGAGACACACTGCTCCAGGACGGCGTGTGTGTGAGAAGAGAGGACTGTCGCTGCAGCTTCTACAACGGCTCGGCCCCCGGTCTGTGCCCTTCCCCCGATAGTAGGAGTAGTTGTAGTTTGTTTATACAGTCATTATTAATATTAGAATATAGGTCCCTCTCACTCTGGCTCCTCTCTCTGGTCGCTATAATCTCTCTGGTCTCTCCCTCTGGTTTCTCTCTGATCTCTGTGGTCTCTCTCTCTCTCTTTTCCCTCTCTCTCTGGTGTCTCTAGTCCCTCTGTCTCTCTCTATGGTCTCTCTCTTTTGTCCCTCTCTCTATGGTCTCTCTCTTTTGTCCCTCTCTCTCTGGTCGCTCTCTGGTATCTCTCTTTGGTCTCTCTCTTTTGTCATGTCTTCAAAGATGCGTATAATGAGAATGTGGGGTTTTAGGTTGAGGTAAAGTCTCACCCCTTTTACAACTGTGAAAATGTCCAAACATGACAAATACAATCCACCACCTGTTGAACCATAAGGAATCACAGCTGCTTGTTCCAGATGCCCCGGACTCCAGTGGGTCGTGGCAGGTTGCAGATCCAGGAGAGAGTGTCATCACTGACTGCACAAACTGGTACGATCTGAGTTCTTCTGGCCTTGAGGACGGTTCATGTAGAAGATTATATCAAAACATATTTATTTGGTAAACTTTAATGGAGTATGAGATGACTAATACTCCTCCAGTGGCGACAGATCAAAGCAAACTTCTTAAGGGTCAGTTTAGTGATAAGGGAATGGGAATGTCTGATCCTCAAATTGTATCCTGCTTCTCTCTCCTCTTACCTCCTCCCTCCTTGTAACTCCTCCTTGCTCTCCTCCCTCCTCTCTCTGCTCTCACCTCCACTCTCCTTCTCTCTCCTTCTCACTCATCTCTCTCAGCTCCTGTGAGGCTGGGGTTCTTCAGTGTGACTCCCTCCCTGGTTGCCGTGTTGATGGGAGCTGGAGCCAGTGGAGTCTCTGGACCGAGTGCTCCATGACCTGTGGGGGCGGAGTCAAGACCAGGAAGCGCCTTTGCAATAACCCTGCCCCTCAGAGCGGTGGGCGGGGCTGTGTGGGCGTGGCCGATCAGCGCAGAGAATGCAACACTCACATCTGTACGGGTGAGTTTTCTCTCCCCCTTGGACCCACAGAGACCAGTGTGTGTGTATCCGCCCTCTGACTGAGGCTCCTCCCTCTGACTGAGGCCCCACCCTCTGACTGAGGCTCCTCCCTCTGACTGAGGATCCCCTCTGACCTTTGGTCCTGCTGCAGACTCTGGGGGCCCCTGGTTGCCGTGGTCGCTGTGGTCAGAGTGCACTGTGAGCTGTGGAGGAGGACATCAATCCCGCTTTCGTGTCTGCAAGTCCCCTCCCTGCAGCGGCCCGGAGCGCCAGAGCAAGACCTGCCACACACACGTCTGCCTGGGTAAGACCACAGGCACACACACACACACACGTACATGTGTGTGTTGTGTGCAAAGGTAAATGTGTGTGTTATGTACAGAGGAGGGCTGTCCTCCTGGACGTCTGTACCGTGAGTGTGAGCGAGGGGAGGGCTGTCCCTTCAGCTGTTCCCAGATCAGCGGCAGAGAGAGCTGCTACTCAGACGGCTGTGAAGAGGGGTGTCACTGTCCCCCCAACACCTACCAGCACCAGGGAGACTGTCTGCAGGTACTGCTACTGCTGTTACTGCTGCTGATAATGCTGCTGTTACTGCTACTGCTGCTACTGCTACTGCTTCGGCTTCTGCACAGAACCAAACCAAGAAAAGAATGACAATGTATGACTTGTAGTGGAACCACTGAAACCCCTGATGAAGGGTGAGGTTAACACCTGTGTGTGTCATGTTGCAGGAGTGTCCCTGTCTGGTGGATCAGGAGCTCCTCAGGTCTCTGCAGAGTGTCTCTGTGTCCTCTCTCTCCTCTCTCCACCTCTACAACATCTCTGAGGGCTTTGTCCAGCCCTACAACATCTCCGAGGGCTCACATCACATCTCTAACATCTCTAACATCTCTGAGGGTTCTGAGGGCCTGGAGCTACAGTCTGGAGACTCCTTTGTGCACGACTGTAGCACATGGTGCGTACAACACACAGTTGTCATCTAACTTTTTAATCTTCTTCTTTAGTGTAGATTATTCCTCTTTTGCCTGCAGTGAGTGTATGCATGGTCAGTGGAACTGTTCCTTGGAGCACTGTCCAGTGGATGGGGGCCTGTCCTCGTGGGGCCCCTGGAGCCCCTGCTCTCTGTCCTGTGGAGGACTCGGTACCAAGAGCCGCTTCAGGAGCTGCACACAGCCTGCTCCTGCACACGGAGGCCGAGCGTGTCGAGGAGCGGGCCAGGAGTCCACCTTCTGCCAGGCTCCAGACTGTCCAGGTAACACACTGAGGGCCCCAGACTGTCCAGGTAACACACTGAGGGCCCCAGACTGTCCAGGTAACACACTGAGGGCCCCAGACTATCCAGGACACACTGAGGGCCCCAGACTGTCCAGGTAACATATTGAGGGCCCCAGACGGCCTAGGTCACACACACACACACACACATCCCCATGTAACACACTGTGATATTGCACTAATGCACTGAGCTCATACTTCTCATGTTCTCCTCAGTTCTGGTGAGCCCTACAGAAGAGCCCGCCCTGCCAGGTCAGCTCTACATTTGGGCTCATATCTCCTGCCACTGTATTAGATTGTTAAAGGACTTGTGCTGGACATGATCAGTGTTTCTGTTCCAGATGAGGACCTGACCTTTTCCACCTGGTCGAGCTGGAGCTCTTGTTCTAAAACCTGCAGTGAAGCACACAGTCCTGCCACTAAGAGCCGCCACAGACAGTGCCTGAGCCCACCCTGCCAGGGCAGCTCCCACCAGGAGAAGACCTGCAACCTACCACAGTGCACTGGTACTTACACATGTCCCCATAGGATCATGCACATGTCTCCATTGGGTCATACACGTGTCCCCATAGGGTCATACACGTGTCCCCATTGGGTCATACACGTGTCCCCATAGGGTTATACACATGTCCCCATAGGGTCATACACGTGTCCCCATTGGGTCATACACATGTTCCCACTGGATCATACACATGTCGCCATAGGGTCATACACATGTTCCCACTGGATCATACGCATGTTCCCATAGGGTCATACGCGTGTCCCCATTGGGTCATACACATGTTCCCACTGGATCATACACATGTCGCCATAGGGTCATACACATGTTCCCACTGGATCATACACATGTTCCCATAGGGTCATAGCCCATGAACAACTTCACAACCATGTGTGTATGTGTGTGTCTCTCTTCCCCCTCTCTCCCTCTCTATCTCTCCCGCTCACCGTCTCCCCTCCCTTCCCCCTCGCTATCTTTCTCTCCCTCTCTCCATCTCCCCCTTTCTTTCCCCCTCTCTCCCTCAGACTCGGGGCCCTGCCTGGGCCCTCATTGCTCTGAGGTGAACTGTTCGTGGACTGAGTGGGCGGAGTGGGGCCCCTGCTCTCGCTCCTGTGGGGTCGGTCAGCAGCTGAGGATACGCACTTTCCACAGTCCAGGTCCCAACGGCTCCTGGTGCGAGGACGTCCTGGGGGGAAACGAGGAGCAACGCTTCTGCAACATCAAGCCCTGCCGAGGTCTCACTCTCACCTTCATTCTCACCCAAGCCCTGCCGAGGTCTCACTCTCACCCTCATTCTCACCCAAGCCCTGCCGAGGTCTCACTCTCACCCTCATTCTCACCCAAGCCCTCACCATCACTCTCCCCTCTCTCTCCACCCACCCTGCAGAGGTCTCATGTCTCCCCAACCCTCACCCCCTAACCTTCACCCAAGCCCTTCAGAAGTCTCATCGTAACCCTGCAGAGCTCTTCCCCTCACCCAAGCCCTGCCGAGGTCTCACTCTCACCCTCATTCTCACCCAAGTCTTGCCGAGGTCTCACTCTCACCCTCATTCTCACCCAAGCCCTCACCATCACTCTCCCCTCTCTCTCCACCCACCCTGCAGAGGTCTCATGTCCCCCCAACCCTCACCCAAGCCCTACAGAGGTCTCACCCTCCCCCCTAACCCTCACCCCCTAACCCTCACCCAAGCCCTACAGAGGTCTCACCCTCCCCCCTAACCCTCACCCAAGCCCTACAGAGGTCTCACCCTCCCCCCTAACCCTCACCCAAGCCCTACAGAGGTCTCATCGTAACCCTGTAGAGCTCTTCCCCTCACCCTCACCTAACTCTCACCCAAACACTACTTTCACCCTCACCCTACACTACCCTCACCCTAACCCTCAACATAACCCAAGCCCTGCAAAGGTCTCATCCTTACGCTGCAGAGGTCTCTACCTAACCCTACCCCACTGGAGGATCTTGGTCGGCTTCAGGGACTATTGGACAGACTGTTGTGTGTCTCAGTGTCACAGACTGTTGTGTGTCTCAGTGTCACAGACTGTTGTGTGTCTCAGTGTCACAGACTGTTGTGTGTCTCAGTGTCACAGACTGTTGTGTGTCCCTCAGTGGACGGGGGGTGGTCCCGCTGGAGTCCCTGGTCCCGCTGCGATAAGCGATGTGGGGGAGGACGGTCCATCCGCACTCGCTCCTGCTCCAGTCCACCCCCCAAGAACGGAGGCAGGAAGTGTGAGGGGGACAAGAACCAAGTGAGGCCCTGCAACACCAGGCCCTGTGGTACGAGGATGTCTCCGTCTGTGTCTCTGTCTCTGTCCTCACTCTGCCTCTGTGTCTGTGTCTGTGTCTGTGTCTCTTTTTGTGTCTCTGTCTTTGTCTGTGTCTGTGTCTCTGTCTCTGTCCTCACTCTGTGTCTCTGTCTCTGTCATTGTCCTCACTCTGTCTCTGTCTCTGTCCTCACTCTGTCTGTGTCTCTGTCTCTGTCATTGTCCTCACTCTGTCTCTGTCTCTGTCCTCACTCTGTCTGTGTCTCTGTCTGTGTCTCCGTCTCCACAGAGGAGCAGGGATGTCCTCCAGGTCAGGAGTTTGTCCTCTGTGCCGACCACTGTCCTCAGCGCTGCTCCGACCTGCAGCTGGGCCTCGAGTGTCAGAGCAACTCTGAGTGTCAGCCGGGCTGCCGCTGCCCCACAGGTACAGAGCAGAGGTACTGAGCACAGGTACTGAGCACAGGTATAGAGCACAGGTACGAGCACAGGTATAGAGCACAGGTACAGAGCACAGGTATAGAGCACAGGTACTGAGCACAGGTACAGAGCACAGGTACAATTCAATTCAGGGCTGGACTGGGACAAAAAAACGGCCCGGACATTTTTGCCTTCTTGGCGGCCCAGGCATGTTTTTTCACGTTTTATACAAGTTTGGGTATACCAGTTGGCAACTCTAAAGGTTCAAAGAGTCATATTTGACAAAAAAACTAAAAACAACATGTGTCTGGAGCCTTGTAAAAGGCTTATATGAAGGTAACACAGGCTGCAGCTGTATTAGCTATATTAGCTACAAATACACAATATAAGCATTCATGATTATCAAATGTGTATTTTCACTGCAGTGTGTCCTGGAGAGAATGACGCACCACGTGACGACTCTGCTTTAACTTTAACTTCCATTTTTTTGCCTTCATGCAATTGTAGAAATACAGTAAATAAATCTGCTTTTTGGCTCCGAGTTCACCTGCATCACTGTCTGTTTATATCCATCACAGGCTGAAGTTTGCTGGAGCTGAATGTCCTTAATGGCCTTTTCTTTCACCGTCTTTGCGAAGGTTTTTGAAGTCTGAAAATAGGTGCTCTGACTTTATGATGAATTAATCCTTCAGTGAACAGTGTTTAAAGCTTCATTGTTCCTCGTGTTGCAACAAAACTTCTCGTTACAAACACGAGGCAGTCTTTCCTTATTGACTGAAAGCAAAAGTTCATTCTGATTCTTAGTCCAGTCCTATCGACTCTTTCTCTCTTTATCTTTGGGATCCATGCGCACACACAGTCTATGATGCACACACGCCGGTTTGTTTACCTCAGCCGCCGCCTGGCACGGGGCCGCGTCACCGGATATGACACACTACGTAGACAGACATTTTGAAATTGAATAATACTTATGCACAGCATTTAAAAACATCAAGAATGTTTTTCCTCCTACAGAAACCACATTCAAACTAGAAATAAAATATAGCCCTCCCACTCCATTTTCAGATATTTTTGAAAAGGCTCCAGGAGCCACTGGAGGAGCACTAAAGGTTGCCGACCCCTGGTTTATACAGTATGTGGAAGCAAATACTGTAGAGGATCAGGATGTCTGTAGTTTCAACAATAAAATAAAACGCAATAGTCTACATTAAAGAGAGTAATAAACATGTCTCAGAGTGAGGGAGGTGGACACAGACAATACTGTTGTTTGTTACAGGGATGAGAATTGGTCAAAAAAAAGTCTGAAATGCATAATGTCAGCCATTGGCTGCCACTAAATTTGTTTGATTTGTTCACAACATTTTACTTTTGGGCTCAAACATAAACTTTTGATGCAATGGAAAATTTAGGTACCCAAGCTTTAATTTAGTCGCGCTTCGAGAGGAGAGGGGAGACGCGGACTGTTTACTGAAGCGGTGTATTTATTGGGTCCACAGACTACGCAAAGACACGCATGGTCCTGTGCACGTTTATGGTCTTGGGTATATGGTCACGTTGCGGCTACGCGCTCACCGTGTTGTGTTGTGAGCGGTTCCCGCGTCCAGCTCAGAGCCGCTGGATGCGGGAACTGCTCATTACAAAGCGTCCGCAGCAACCCGGGAACACTGCGGCCGCTGAGGTGGCGGAATCCCGTTCGAGTACATACAGCAGGAGCCCGCGGACACGCGCGCTCCCCTCGAACAATTCTCAACGGATTTAGACTTTTCACAAACATGTTTTTGTATGAGGCAGACAGGCCGGCCCAAATATGGGCATCGGCCCTTCGGGCATTGCCCGGTACGCCCGATGGCCAGTCCAGCCCTGATTCAATTCAACACATTTTTGTATCGCAACAGTAAATCTCTGAGGACTTTACAAAGCTGTCGATTCGCCAACACAGAGAATCAAATCGTTCAAATACAAGGAGCAGAGACCAATGTCCATAAATGTTGTATGTCAAATATCCTGGCACAGAGCACAGGCACAGAGCACAGGCACAGAGCACAGGCACAGAGCACAGGTACAGAGCACAGGTACAGAGCACAGGTACACTCACCAAGACCACTGTAACACTTTTTTATAGAAGCTGCAGAGGTTGTGTGCTCCATGTATGACTCCCACACCCTCCCTCCTGTCCTCTCCTCCCTCCTGTCCTCTCGTCCCTCCTCTCCTCTCCTCCCTCCTCTCCTCTCGTCCCTCCTCTCCTCTCCTCCCTCCTCTCCTCTCGTCCCTCCTCTCCTCTCATCCCTCCTCTCCTCTCATCCCTCCTCTCCTCTCCTCCCTCCTGTCCTCTCGTCCCTCCTGTCCTCTCGTCCCTCCTCTCCTCTCCTCCCTCCTGTCCTCTCCTCCCTCCTCTCCTCTCGTCCCTCCTCTCCTCTCGTCCCTCCTCTCCTCTCGTCCCTCCTCTCCTCTCATCCCTCCTGTCCTCTCTCCTCTCGTCCCTCCTCTCCTCTCATCCCTCCTCTCCTCTCATCCCTCCTGTCCTCTCTCCTCTCGTCCCTCCTCTCCTCTCATCCCTCCTCTCCTCTCATCCCTCCTGTCCTCTCTCCTCTCATCCCTCCTCTCCTCTCGTCCCTCCTCTCCTCTCGTCCCTCCTCTTCTCTCATCCCTCCTGTCCTCTCTCCTCTCGTCCCTCCTCTCCTCTCATCCCTCCTGTCCTCTCTCCTCTCGTCCCTCCTCTCCTCTCATCCCTCCTGTCCTCTCTCCTCTCCTCCCTCCTGTCCTCTCGTCCCTCCTCTCCTCTCGTCCCTCCTCTCCTCTCATCCCTCCTGTCCTCTCTCCTCTCATCCCTCCTGTCTTCTCTCCTCTCATCCCTCCTGTCCTCTCTCCTCTCTCCTCTCATCCCTCCTGTCTCCCCCTTTCTCCCTGTTGTGTGTTGCAGGCAGCCTGGAGCAGGGGGGCGTGTGTGTGCAGCTGTGGCAGTGTGACTGTTTGGACGCTCAGGGACAGGAGTGGGCCGCAGGCAGCTCTCACACGTCCCTTTGTAACAACTGCTCGTGCTCTGACGGACAGCTGCTCTGCACCAATCAGAGCTGTGGGAGCCCCTGCGCCTGGAGCTCCTGGTCGCTCTGGTCGCCCTGCAGCACGACCTGTGGAGCCGGCCTCAGGACCCGATACAGGTCTCATCAACACACTACAAAACATGTTTCAGGGCTTTAATCCCTCCAGTTAAAGTGATTAAATCTGGAAAAACTCAAACTAGAATCGTACATTGGTTGCAATTAACTGACACTACATCAATCAGCACATACGACTCTGAAGACAATAATTGCAGATTATATTTATTGCTGGAGTACGAGGGGTTAAAATATGCGAGATTATGAGATGAAATGCCCCGGGGTTAGACCCTGGTGGTGGGAGTTTGGAGGGCAGTGTAGCTACAGCTGAGTGTGAGTGACAGATGCTGATGCCGTGAAGCAGCAGCAGGACTGAGCAGTGAGATTAGCTCCAGTCTGAGTTTCTGCCTCAGCGTCACATCTACACTTAGTTGACATTAGTCAGTAATATCAGTGTAATGTTCACACTGTGTGATACTGCTGTAGGTCTCTGATCCCCGAGAGCGAAGGGGGCGAGTGCCAGTTTGAGGAGGTCCAACACAAGTCCTGTGACCCCGGCCCGTGCCCACCCCTCTGCCTCCACGACCTCAAGGAGCTGAGTGTGGGGGACAGCTGGCTGCAGGGGGAGTGTGAGCAATGGTGAGAAGAGCCGTCATCACAACATTGGAGCTCTTATAATGAATGAGTAATAAAGTAATAATGACCTGTGTGTAGCACGTGCACTCCGGAGGGGCCGTACTGCCAGGACATAGACTGCAGAGGTAAGTCTGCCAGGACAGGGCTGGCCGGGACAGGGCTGGCCGGGACAGGGCTGGCCTGGGCCCCTCTGAGACCACGGTTTGTGTGTGTGCAGTGGATGGAGGCTGGACCCCGTGGTCAGAGTGGTCCGACTGCTCAGTGACCTGTGGTGGAGGCTCTCAGCTCCGGACACGAGCTTGTATCAACCCCCCGCCCCGAAACAACGGCTCGGGCTGCAGCGGGGACGAGCGGGACAGCCGGGGATGCCACGGGTCGCCATGTCTGGGTATGTACATGTCTGACCCTGACCATGACCCTGACCATGACCCTGACCCATCCTGATGTGTTATTAAGGCACAGCCGCAGATCCCAGACTGGGGGACACCAGATCCCTAGAGGGTCCTCAAAATTTGGGTTGATGACAATGGAAATATACGCAAGACTTTAAAATGAGAATCTGAAATGTTGATCTTAAATGTAAAATTCTTTGTCCAGTTTAATTCATCCAGAACACACTCACATATAGACACACACACACACTCATACACCTACACACATGCACACACACACACACACACACAGACACACACACCACTCACTGGTTTGAAAATGTCCCATCTCTGCTGTGTCCAGATGAGCTGTGTCCCTGGTCCTCCTGGTCCTCCTGCTCTCAGAGCTGTGGGGCGGGCTCTATGTCCCGCAGGAGAGAGTGTGTGTGTGAGGAGGGGGGAGAGGGGGGAGACGAGGGGCGAGAGGCCTGTCCCGCTCATGTTCAGGAGACCCAGCTATGCTACAGACGCCCCTGCCCTGGTAAGCAGAATCTCTGTCTGGTATAAGTTAGAAGTCAACTGGGAATTTGTTTGTCAATTTGTGTGTGTGTGTGTGTGTGTGTGTGTGTGTGTGTGTATGTGTGTGTGTGTGTGTGTGTGTGTGTGTGTGTGTGTGTGTCCTGTCCACTGTGTGTGTGTGAACAGACTGTCCCATGTCTCCCTGGACTGAGTGGTCGTCCTGCTCCTGTGTGTCCCAGAGACAGCAGCGGCACCGTGTAGCTCTGGCTCCTGCCACTGGGGGGCAGCAGTGCTCTCCTGTGGAGTCCCAGAGCCGAGCGTGCAGCCTCCACAACTGCACAGGTACAAACACATTACCCTTGACCCTTGACTCCTGACCCTGTGATGAGTGTGTGATCTCCTGTGATGTCACATGTCTGTGTTGCAGACTGCCCCGCCCCCTTCCTCTTCTCTGAGTGTGTATCTCCGTGTGAGAAACACTGTTCTCTCGCGGGACGTCCCGAGCTCTGCCCCGACCTGCCTCAGTGCACCCCAGGGTGCTACTGCCCCCCGGTCTGTACACTGACTGTACTCCTGACCCCTGACCCTTATCCCGACCCCTGCCCGCTCCTTCCTCCGCACATTACCTGTCATAATAAAAGTGATTTTTGATTTTCATGTGTGTGTTTGTGCATGTCTGGGTGTGTGTGTGTGCCTGTGTGTGTGCCTGTGTGTGTGTCTTTGTGTGTGTCTCTTTGTGTGTCTTCAGGGCCTGCTGCATCAGAATGGCTCGTGTGTTGCTCCCCATCTCTGTGGTTGTGTGTACCCCCAGGGGGACCCCCCCTCTCTGGCCCTGGTCCCACAGAAAGGCTCGGTGTCGCTGGGCTGCTCTCAATGGTCAGACTCACTACAGCAGACATTATACAGTGTTCATTGTACAGTCTGACCCTGAATAAACAGAAGGAGGTGGGCTTTCTCCTTGTATCGCTCTAATCTGTGCTCTTTGCTCCTCTGCAGCTTCTGCCAGGATGGAACTCTGGAGTGTGACATGAGGGGGTGTCAGGGTGAGTCTGTGTTTTATAGGGTGAGAGGGTCTATGACAGTCTTTTTTATAGGGTGAGAGGGTCTATGACAGTCTTTTTTATAGGGTGAGAGGGTCTATGACAGTCTTTTTTATAGGGTGAGAGGGTCTATGACAGTCTTTTTTATAGGGTGAGAGGGTCTATGACAGTCTTTTTTATAGGGTGAGAGGGTCTATGACAGTTTTTTTTATAGGGTGAGAGGGTCTATGACAGTCTTTTTTATAGGGTGAGAGGGTCTATGACAGTCTTTTTTATAGGTTGAGAGGGTCTATGTCAGTTTGTTTTATAGGGTGAGAGGGTCTATGACAGTTTGTTTTATAGGGTGAGAGGGTTCATGACAGTCTGTTATATAGGGTGAGAGGGTCAATGACAGTCTGTTTTATAGGGTGAGAGGGTTCATGAAAGTCTGTTATATAGGGTGAGAGGGTCTATGACAGTCTGTTTTATAGGGTGAGAGGGTCTATGTCAGTTTGTTTTATAGGGTGAGAGGGTCTATGACAGTTTGTTTTATAGGGTGAGAGGGTCTATGTCAGTTTGTTATATAGGGTGAGAGGGTCTATGTCAGTTTGTTTTATAGGGTGAGAGGGTCTATGACAGTTTGTTTTATAGGGTGAGAGGGTCTATGACAGTCTGTTTTATAGGGTGAGAGGGTCTATGACAGTCTGTTTTATAGGGTGAGAGGGTCTATGACAGTCTGTTTTATAGGGTGAGAGGGTCTATGACAGTCTGTTTTATAGGGTGAGAGGGTCTATGTCAGTTTGTTTTATAGGGTGAGAGGGTCAATGACAGTCTGTTTTATAGGGTGAGAGGGTCTATGACAGTTTGTTTTATAGGGTGAGAGGGTCTATGACAGTTTTTTTTATAGGGTGAGAGGGTCTATGACAGTTTGTTTTATAGGGTGAGAGGGTCAATGACAGTTTGTTTTATAGGGTGAGAGGGTCAATGACAGTCTGTTTTATAGGGTGAGAGGGTCTATGACAGTTTGTTTTATAGGGTGAGAGGGTCTATGACAGTTTTTTTTATAGGGTGAGAGGGTCTATGACAGTTTGTTTTATAGGGTGAGAGGGTCTATGACAGTCTGTTTTATAGGGTGAGAGGGTCTATGACAGTCTGTTTTATAGGTTGAGAGGGTCTATGACAGTCTGTTTTATAGGGTGAGAGGGTCTATGACAGTTTTTTTATAGGGTGAGAGGGTCTATGACAGTTTGTTTTATAGGGTGAGAGGGTCTATGACAGTTTGTTTTATAGGGTGAGAGGGTCTATGACAGTCTGTTTTATAGGGTGAGAGGGTCTATGTCAGTTTGTTTTATAGGGTGAGAGGGTCTATGACAGTCTGTTTTATAGGGTGAGAGGGTCCATGACAGTCTGTTTTATAGGGCAAGAGCTCTGGTGTGTGTTGTCTTCTCTGTCTGGTGCACACCGGGGTAGTCTTGCACAGTTTTTCCTATGTGGTTTTACTGCAAATGGCAAATAAATGAATCTGATCTAGGGTGAGAGGGTCTATGACAGTCTGTTTTATAGGGTGAGGTGGTCCTTGAACTTAGATAAACTCCAAAGATAAAGCTCTAAATCATAACAGCCGTTGTATCAAGGACATTACAAAGTTGTGGATTTTCCAGTAACAGATCAGAGAATCAAACAGTTCAAACAGGTAATAATAACAAACACATAGCAACATTGGTTCATGGGGCGGGATGAATTGAAGTTTTAGATCCAGGACTGAGGCTGTAGATCCAGGACTGACTCAGTGGTCTCTCCCTCAGTGGTCCTCAGTGAGTGGTCAGACTGGACGCCCTGCTCCCCCTGCCAGCCCCCCTCCTCCTCCTCCTTCTCCTGGGAAACAGAGATCCGGCTGGTCTCCCTGCAGAGGCGCTTCAGAGCCTGCCTGGACCCAGACTCTGGTCTCCCTGTTCCCGCCGAACACGAACATTGTGTGGGCGAGCTGCAGGAGCAGCGGCTCTGTCCTGAGCCCCACATCTGCACAGGTGAGCACACCCTCAGGGGCCCGACTCGTAAAAGGATCTAAGAACAAATATAATAACAATAAGGTGTGACTTTTCGAACTGGTCCGATCGAGTGAGATGTTTCTGATGTCACAGTTTGAACAGAAGGGGCGGGGGCCATGTTACTGCAGTGTGAAGGAGGTTATAAATAGCTCTGTGTTTGTTTAATGAAAGAGCGATGTTGCAGTTTGGGGAAAGGCACAAAAGGATGATTCTGCAGAATGTCCTCCTGATGTCCTCCATCTAATCTTTTTCTCTGCAGAGAAACTCAGTGTTTTTAATCCTCTGTGTCTCTGACCTTCTGAGGACCTTCTGTGTTCTTGACCTTCTGAGGGCCTTCTGTGTCCCTGACCTTCTGGGTACTTTCTGTGTGCCTGACCTTCTGAGGACCTTCTGTGTGCCTGACCTTCTGAGGACCTTCTGTGTCCCTGACCTTCTGAGGACCTTCTATGTGCCTGACCTTCTGAGGACCTTCTGTGTGCCTGACCTTCTGAGGACCTTCTGTGTGCCTGACCTTCTGAGGACCTTCTGTGTCCCTGACCTTCTGAGAACCTTCTGTGTCCCTGACCTGCTGAGGACCTTCTCTGTGCCTGACCTTCTGAGGACCTGCTGTGTGCCTGACCTTCTGAGGACCTTCTGTGTGCCTGACCTTCTGAGGACCTTTTGTGTGCCTGACCTTCTGAGGACTTTCTGTGTGCCTGACCTTCTGAGGACCTTCTGTGTTCCTGACCTTCTGAGGCCCTTCTGTGTGTTGCAGACCAGTGCCAGTGGAGTACGTGGAGCTCCTGGACAGTGTGTGCTGACCCCTGCAGTGGGGGGGTCAGACAGCGCTATAGGTGGACCCTCGCCTCCCCCCCAGGGCCCCACTGTCGGAGCCAGCAGACTCAAAGCCAGAGTTGCAACACAGGCCTCTGTCCAGGTACTGACCAGAAAGAAGAGAGGTAGGGGGCCCAAAAAACAATGATGTTTTATCTAGAACTGTTGTCAAGTATAGATATATAATATATCTATAATATAATCACTACGTATTGCATCATGTATTTCTGGCCTCTGCCACATCTTTAGATCTGCTTTATTAGACAGAAAAGTGCAAAGAGACACACTTACATACGTGTGTTTGGCAGGTGAGCGGTGTGAGGACAGGGGGCGGAGCTACCAGGAGAGCTGTGCCAATCAGTGCCCTCGGAGCTGTACCGACCTGTGGGAGCATGTGCAGTGTCTCCAGGGCGTCTGCCACCCAGGTCTTTGTGTGTGTGTGTGTCTGTGTCTGCATGTGTCTGTGTGTGTCTGTGTATCTGTGTGTGTGTATGTGCCTCTTTTTGTGTCTCTGTATGTGCCTTAAATGGTGTGTGTGTCTGTGTGTGTATTCCAGGTTGTCGGTGTCCTCAGGGGCAGCTGTTGCAGGATGGTGTGTGTGTCCCCATAACACAGTGTCGCTGTGGGGTCCCATCAGGAAATGGGACTCTGGAGTATAAGCCCAAAGACAGAGTCACGGCAGACTGTAACTCCTGGTGAGTGTTCTGGTGTTCTCATGGTTCTGACTCCTGGTTCTCATGGTCCTCACACATGATTGCTTCTGTTGTGTGTTTGTAGTGTGTGTGTAAACGGCTCGCTGGTGTGTACTGAGAGGCCCTGTCCTGTGTATGAGACCTGGAGCACCTGGAGCAGCTGTTCTGTGACCTGTGGCAGAGGTCAAAGGTTGAGGACCCGTCTTTGTCAACAGACAGAAGGGGGACCCCCCTGTGAGGCCACCACCCAGACTGAGGGCTGTGCCCTGGTCCCCTGCCCAGGTCTCAAACACTCTCACACTGCACACACACATTACACACACACTGTACACACACAAACATAGACATATACACACACACACACACACACATGTTTATATGACTCCTCTCTGTGCAGCCGGCTGTGTGCTCAGTGACTGGGCCTCATGGACTGAGTGCAGCGCCTCTTGTGGCGGGGGAGTGTCAGTGCGGAACAAAACGGTCCTCCAGGAGCCGGAGGAGGGAGGGGCCCCCTGCCCGCAGGCCCTGGAGCAGCACAAAGTTTGCAACAGTCATGGCTGCCGCCCAGGTCACTATCTCAGCAGTTAGTGAGTTGTATGTTGTGTGCAGATGTTGAGTTGTGTGTTGTCCTCAGACTGCCCCTCAGGACAGCAGCTCCGCCCCTGTGGGGGGTCCTGCCCACACACCTGTGAGGACCTGTGGACACACACACAGTGTGTGGAGGGGGCCTGCACCCCAGGGTGCGCCTGCCCACCGGGACAGGTGAGCACCAGTATGTCCCCTGTTTGGATCACAGACTCATGTGTGTTTTGTTTTGTCAGGTTCTGTTCGGGGGGGTGTGTGTGGCCCCCACAGCCTGCCCCTGCTCCCCCCTCTCCCTGCCCCTTGCCTTTCACAGCAGGAACAGCAGCCTGGAGGAGCTGCCTCTGCTGCCCCTTGCCTTTCACAGCAGGAACAGCAGCCTGGAGGAACTGCTGCCCCCTGGAACCAGGATACAGCACCTGTGCAACACCTGGTACATGTTTGTATTGACATAAAACAGAATATGATCCACTCATAACATGAGCTCATCCTAAAGACCAGGTGGTTTGAACACAATAAAGAGGTCAGAGGTCATAGAGATTCCTGTGGCAGAGAGCAGATGATGTAATGGTGTCTGTGCTCAGAGTCTGGAGAGGCTTTGATCTGATGTAATAACTGTGTTTCAGTCTGTGTGAGAGCGGCCGCTTCAGCTGCACGCAGCAGGTCTGCGACGGTGAGTCTCTTTAATCTTGCATTAGTTTGAAAGTTCCACTGCTCTGACCTCTGACCTCTGCTCCTCAGTGGACTGTGAGTGGTCCTCCTGGTCCCCGTGGTCTCCTTGTTCTGTGAGCTGTGGTACAGGAGAGCAGACGTCCCACAGACTCGTCCTGAAGCCCCAACAGTTCAAAGGGGCCCCATGTGACGGGCCCTCCCAGCGTAGCCGCAGCTGCCGGGCTCCAGACTGTGGTGAGTCCCTGACCCTGTGACCTCTGAGCGACCTTTGTGTGACTTCTAACCTCTGTGTAACCTCTGACCTCAGCCTGTCCTGAGGGGGAGCAGTGGAAGCGCAGTGGGGACCAGCCGCTGTGTGAGCGGAGCTGCCTCCACATGTACGGTCCTCTCCCTGAGGGCTGCAACCTGCGCTCTGAGGCCCCAACCTCTGAGGCCCCGCCCTCTACGGCCCCGCCCTCTGAGGCCTGTGTGTGTGAGGAGGGCCGGTACCGACTCAACAGCACCGGGGCCTGTGTGATCCCAGCTCTGTGCCCCTGTCTCCACCGGGACGTCCTGCATCAGGTACACCTGGTACTGCAACTGGTACTTACTGCAGCTGGTACTTACAGCAGCTGGTACTTACTGCAACTGGTACTTACTGCAGCTGGTACTTACTGCAACTGGTACTTACTCCAGCTGGTACTGCAGATGGTACTGGTCTGTTAGTGGTGTTTTTCTGATGTAGAGTCAAATTTTTATGATCTTTGAGAAAACCTCCACAAAACTGTGATTTATTTCAAATTGCTTATTTTGTGTGATCTGATACTGAAATATTGATTGTGTGTCTTTGTGTGTGTCTCTGTCTTTATGTGTGTGTCTTTCTGTCTGTGTGTGTGTGTGTGTGTGTCTGTCTTCATGTGTGTGCGTGTAGCCTGGCTCTCAGTGGGAGGACGGCTGCAGTAATTGCCGTTGTGTGAACGGAAGGACACTGTGTAAACTCAGGTGCTCACCGCTGCAGTGTGAAGAGGTGAGACACACACACACAGACACACACACACACACAGACACACACACACACACGGGTCTGAAGCTGCTCGCTGCAGGACAATAGTTTTCATACATGTCTCAAATCTCTGCATTTACGAGGAGCGTCTGATTGAACCTGAGTCACAGATGAGTGTTTTGTTTTTGTTTCAGGATGAAGTGAAAGTGGAAGAACCAGGAAACTGCTGTCCAGTGTGTAGGAGGCACTTCCCAGGTGACACACACACACAGAGACACACACACACACACACACACACACAAGCACACACAGAGACACACACACACAAACAGACACACACAAAGAAACATACACAGAGACACCACATCCTCCACAGAACACAGACTAAACATGTGTGTCGCTCTGTCTGTCTGTCTGTCTGTGTGTGTGTGTGTGTGTGTGTGTGTTTGTTCAGGAGAGCCGGGGCCAGAGTGCAGGCTCTACACCGAGCTCCGAAATATCACCAAAGGAGAGTGTCGTCTGGACAATGTGGAGGTCAGCTTCTGTAGGGGGCGCTGTCTGTCCAAGACTGACGTCATCCTGGAGGTAAACACAGACGCATACACACATGACTTTGTACACAAACACACATACACACACACACACTGGCCCCGCTCCCATCTCTGTGTGGAGTGAGAGACAAATGCCCAAAAAAAATTAACAATTGTAAACCGCTTTGAGACTCAGATCTGCAGTGAAAAGGCGGTAAATAAATAAAAACTTACTTACTTACTTACTTACTTACACACACGCACGCATACACACATGACTATGTACACAAACACACATACACACACACACAGACACACATTCCTGCTTGATGGTTTAGCTCAGCCATTAATAAATGTTTATGGTGGTTAGCAATGCTTCTAAGTTCACTGATCCACTGTAACCCAGAGGCCACGCCCCCTCCCTTTGGTCCAAACATAGATCAGTGAATGAAGTCGTGTGTTTGATCACCTCGTCGTCATGACAACCTGCACCATTCTCCACAGTAAAAATAGACTCACCAAAGTTAACACTGTTACCGTGGCAACCACAGCATCGGTGACTCGGCAGAGCACCATCAATCCTCACACACACACACACGTTTTAAACACACACACAGAAAGACACACACACAGACAAGGAGAGAAAGGGACACAAACACATTGAGAGAGAGAGACACACACACACACATGCAGTCTTTTTCAAAGAGGTTTTTTTTGTGTCTTTATGTTTGTTTGTGTGTGTCTGTGGTGTGTGTGTGCCTGTATATGTGTGTTGCAGGTGCTGTACTGTATGTGTATGTGTGTTTGTGTGTGGGTATGTATGTGTGTGTTTAAACATGTATGTGTGTGTGTTGCAGGAGCCGTACCTGCGCTCCGTGTGTCTTTGTGTGTATGTGTTTAAACTGTGTGTGTGTGTGTTGGAGGAGCCGTACCTGCGCTCCTTGAGTGTGTGTCTGTGTGTGTGTCTGTGTGTTAACATATGTGCGATGGAGGAACTGTACCTGCGCTCCTTGAGTGTGTGTGTGTGTGTGTGTATGTGTGTCTGTGTGTTAACATAAGTGCGATGGAGGAGCCGTACCTGCGCTCCTTGTGTGTGTGTGTGTGTGTTAACATGTGTGTGTTGCAGGAGCCGTACCTGCGCTCCTTGTGTGTGTGTCTCTGTGTGTTAACATGTGTGTGTTGCAGGAGCCGTACCTGCGCTCCGTTTGTGACTGCTGCAGTTACCGTCTGGACCCTCAGACCCCGGTTCTCTTCCTCAGTTTGCCGTGTCCTAACGGGGACCGGGAGCCTGTGGTGTTGCCACGTATACACAGCTGCGAGTGCACCAGCTGCCAGGGTGAGCTCACAACCACAGAACCACACACACAACCACACACACAACCACACACACAACCACACACACAAACACACACACAATCACACACACAATCACACACACAACCACACACACAACCACACACACATCCACCACCAGCTGCCAGGGTGGGCACACAACCATCTCCACATAATCATCTCGTAGCAGCTGTAGTAGGAGTAGCAGTAGCAGTAGTAGTAGGAGTAGGAGTAGGAGTAGCAGTAGCAGTAGTAGTAGCAGTAGCAGTAGCAGTAGTAGTAGTAGGAGTAGTAGTAGTAGCAGTAGCAGTAGCAGTAGTAGTAGTAGGAGTAGGAGTAGCAGTAGTAGTAGTAGCAGTAGTAGTAGTAGGAGTAGTAGTAGTAGCAGTAGCAGTAGCAGTAGTAGCAGTAGTAGCAGTAGCAGTAGCAGTAGTAGGAGTAGCAGTAGTAGGAGTAGGAGTAGCAGTAGTAGTACTAGCAGTAGCAGTAGCAGTAGAAGCAGTAGCAGTAGCAGTAGTAGTACTAGCAGTAGCAGTAGTAGGAGTAGCAGTAGTAGGAGTAGTTGTGGATTGATTGTTGTTTTATTGTTGTGTGTTCTTCAAACTAACAGAGTTGTGTGTCCACAGGAGGAGACCTGTCCCGACGCTAAGGAACACCTCAGTGTGTGTGTGTGTGTGATTGTGTGTGTGTGTGTGTTTGTGTGTGATTGTGAGTGTGTGTGTGTGTGTGTGTGTGTGTGTGTGTGTCTGTGAGTCCAGTTTCTGCTCGTTGACCTACAGTTTCATATATTTTGTATAAATGGATGTTTTCTTTCTTTGAATCTGCTGCTGGACAATAAACTATGTTCACTGACCTATGTGTGTGTTTTCATTCAGGTGACCTCTGACCCCTAACCCCTGACTCTGACCCTTGACCCCTAACCTTGCCCTGACCCCTGACCTTGCCCCTGACCAGGTCCTTCTTCAGTCCCTGTTGGTCCTGGTTCTATCGAGGCCGAGCTGCTCCTGTATGTTTCTAACTGACAGTGATTGGTCAGAGAGCTGCTGAAGACATGGATTTCTGAGGCCCCTGAGTTCCGTCCTGTGGCCCCGCTGAGACCAGATATGTCTCTGAGATGAGGCCCTCGCTCCTGTTTCTCTTCCTGTAACGGGAGAAGGGCTCTATGAATTTTTAATCCTGAGCTTTGGACATTATTTCAAAACCCTCAGATCTTCGACTTGAGGCTGAAGACAGACTCAGCTTTCATTTGAAGAAGAAACAATTATTCTCGGACATTCAAAATATTATGAACTTTGTCAACTCATGTTTAAGAATGAGCAAAACTTGTTTTAAAGGCAGAAAACTGCTCTGAGTATGATGTCATAGTGATGTCACAGTGATGTCATAACTGTTTATACTGTGTCCCTGTCCGTCTCATCAATCCATGCCATGTCAGACTTGTCCCTACAATTATCAGTTATTTATGTTTTTAAACAAATTCAAAATCAGATGAAGATGAGTTTCCTGTCGCAGACAAAGTGGGTTAAGTGTCTTGCCCAAGGATACAATAACAGCAGACACCAGGATCAAATGGCAACCTGCAGAGTCTCCTGAGGCACAGGGAGAGACGACACTCTAGACTCATTCAGACCGGACCATTCAACACAGAGGGTGCGGGGGGGGGGAACCACTCAACACAGAGGGGTGCGGGACCATTCAACACAGAGGGGGGGAGGTGTATTAAAGAGCAGCAGTAAATCAGAATCAGAATCATTTTTATTGCCACGTAAGTAACAGGAGGTCACAGACTTGGAAATTGCTTTGGCTCAGTGCAACAGTCAGAAAGAGATAATAAAAATAAAGAATAAAAAACACTTCTAAAGAATAAATTTAAATTTGCACACAATGTAAGGTGACAGCAGTACAGTGAAGTAAAGTGACGTATGATGGGCAGTAAAGTGACTTTATAAAGGGCGGGGGGACAGGTTAAGAAGTGTTCAAGAGTCCAACAGCAGAGGGGAAGAAACTGTTCTTGTGGCGGGAGGTTCTAGTCCTGATGGACCGCAGCCTCCTGCCTGAGGGGAGTGGTTGGAATAGTCCATGTGCAGGTGAGAGGGGAGTGGTTGGAATAGTCCATGTGCAGGTGAGAGGGGAGTGGTTGGAATAGTCCATGTGCAGGTGAGAGGGGAGTGGTTGGAATAGTCCATGGGCAGGTGAGAGGGGAGTGGTTGGAATAGTCCATGTGCAGGTGAGAGGGGTCGGCTGTGATACGACCAGCCCGGCCTCGAGCTCGGGCGACGTACATCAGACTGTAGCTCATTCCATCCATAGTCACACATTCAACCCTCACCTATTGTGGTATAGGAACCCGGAGCACCTGAAGGAAACAGACATGGGGAGAACATGCAAACTCCACACAGAAAGGCCCCGGAGGAGGAATCAAACCCAGGACCTTCTTGCTATGAAGCACAAGTGCTATCCGCTGCACTGTGGCACTATATATATACGTCTAATTTATACGGTAGTATGTAGTATATAGTAGTAATATACAGTAGTAGATAGTAATATACAGTAGTAGATAGTAATATACAGTAGTAGATAATAGTATATAGTAGTAGATAGTAATATACAGTATTAGATAGTAATATACAGTAGTAGATAGTAATATACAGTATTAGATAGTAATATACAGTAGTAGATAGTAATATACAGTATTAGATAGTAATATACAGTAGTAGATAGTAATATACAGTAGTAGATAATAGTATATAGTAGTAGTATAGTTGTGTGGTGGTTCTTAAGAGTCGAGCAGAAACAGGAAACACGCTTCTCGCGGCTTCAGCTAAAGCTTCACTGTTTATTGTTCTTTTCTCAGAAGTCACTGATATTAGATGTGATGGTTGTTCACTCACTGCCGCGGTCTCAGAGTCTGAAAGCAGCTCGCGCACAGAGGGGATCCCCGCTGGTGATGTCACACGCAGATAATCCCAGCCCTGCGTCTACCGTCTCTCTCCTTTAATGTAGATATGTGTTTGAACAGTGGTAAAGACCTTGTGGGGACCGACGTGTTCGTGTTTCCCCTTCGCTCTCAGACTAATGAGAGTAGGATTCGTATTCTTATGAATCCACCACATGTTTAACTGGTTTCCAACATTTAAGGTTTTTAAGCAAATTCAGAATATGATGAAGATGAGAAGGTTAGAGACTGAGTGAACTTCCACAGTTGGCACCGATCCCTTTTCTTCTGCAGATAATAATCAGATACAAACTGATGAACTGAGACTTCTAACAGAACAGAACGTCTCTGACTTCAGCTTAACGTTCAGTCGTCGCGATGTCATCGTCTGATCCTGCATGAGCCTCAGTGACAAGACTCAGTCCCAAGACTCAGTCCCAGCCCGAGGCCCAGGCCCAGGCCCGAGGCCCCATCCTCCTGGTCCAGTCAGGGTTCGGTCAGTGCCTGAGGAGAGAATGGAGGGTTCTCCAATCTGATCTGGGACCAGTCTCACACCTCCCTCTCTCCTGGTCTGGGACCTGGAAGTTCACATTTGGACATTTGTAGTTGACACGTGGAGCTGTTGCTTATATCTTCACTTCCTAAAGCACTTTGTCAAACAGACACTTGTTTATGTGAATGTGTTTCAGGTGTTAAAGGGTTAATCCACCAGAGCACACCGCGAGGAGGAGCGCACCGCCTCCTCCCTCCACCACAACCTCCCACCACTACCACCACCACCTCCTCCTCCTCCCCCCAACACAAACATCACAACACCACCTCCTCCACAGGCAGCAGCGGCTCCGTCTCTCTCATCATCAGGCACTGGGCAGGACTCCTGCTGCCGCGCCGCGTCCTCCGCGCGTCATGGCGTTTCATTATCAGCACCAGCACCAGCCTCAGCACCAGCCAGAGCCAGAGCTTCAGGTTCAGCCACAGCCAGAGCCTCAGCCTCAGCTTGAGCCACAGCAGCGGTCTCCGAACGCGGCGAAGCGTGTGTGCGCGCTGCCGCCGCTCTGAGCTCCGCGGAATGGGACGTTCGTGACGCGTGTGGATCCGCGTGTGTTTCCACAGCTGTACTACTGTCTTCACTCACGGAGCAGGAGCTGCACACTCTGGATCTAAACATTCTTTAATTCACTGGAAACTAATCCTCGTCTTTTTCCAACGTGCTCCTCAAGCCGCGGTGTAACTTTGTCCCACAGACGGTGGGACTGAACCGCTGCAACCGCGGACTCCTGCTCTCTCCCCAGGACACACCGGGACACACCGGGACCAACCGGGAGCCGCTCTCTCCTCGGGACACACCGGGACACACCGGGAGCCGCTCTCTCCTCGGGACACACCGGGACACACCGGGACACACCGGGACACACCGGGACACACCGGGAGCCGCTCTATCCTCGGGACACACCGGGACACACCGGAAGCCGCGCGCTGGAGCCGCGCGTGAGGAGCCGTGATGCCGGTGCGTCGGGGACATGTGGCTCCTCAGAACACCTTCCTGGACACCATCATCCGGAAGTTCGACAGTCAAAGTAAGTTTTAATATACTCTGCAACATGCTCTCAGGAGACACTCCGTGACATCAGTATTCTGATGTATAGATATATATAGATATAGAACATTCTGGATACATTCTGACCAAAGGAGAACTGTTGGACCTGCAGATGGACCTGGACCTGTGACTAGCAGAGTGTAGCTCCTTCTTTAAGGCGCAGTCTTTTCAGCTGCAGCATCAGAATGCTGTAGCTGAAAAGCTTCATAGTACAGTCTGACAGCAGACGGTTTGAGACCATGTCTTTGTTCCTCAAGAGTCTCTGTGGAGAACCTCATGCAGTAGGACCCATCACTGCCCTCTGCTGGTCTGCAGGGGTCTAGGTCTGCAGGGGCCACAGCTGCAGGGGTCTGGGTCTGTAGGGGCCACAGCTGCAGGGGTCTGGGTCTGCAGGGCCCACAGCTGCAGGGGTCTGGGTCTGCAGGGGCCACAGCTGCAGGGGTCTAGGTCTGCAGGGGCCACAGCTGCAGGGGTCTGGGTCTGCAGGGCCCACAGCTGCAGGGGTCTGGGTCTGCAGGGGCCACAGCTGCAGGGGTCTGGGTCTGCAGGGGCCACAGCTGCAGGGGTCTGGGTCTGCAGGGGCCACAGCTGCAGGGGTCTGGGTCTGCAGGGGCCACAGCTGCAGGGGTCTGGGTCTGCAGGGGCCACAGCTGCAGGGTTCTAGGTCTGCAGGGGCCACAGCTGCAGGGGTCTGGGTCTGCAGGGCCCACAGCTGCAGGGTTCTAGGTCTGCAGGGGCCACAGCTGCAGGGGTCTGGGTCTGCAGGGCCCACAGCTGCAGGGGTCTGGGTCTGCAGGGCCCACAGCTGCAGGGGTCTGGGTCTGCAGGGCCCACAGCTGCAGGGGTCTGGGTCTGCAGGGCCCACAGCTGCAGGGGTCTGGGTCTGCAGGGGCCACAGCTGCAGGGGTCTGGGTCTGTAGGGGCCACAGCTGCAGGGGTCTGGGTCTGCAGGGGCCGACTTGAGGGTCAGTCCTGTCCTCATCATTTTCATTGGAAACAGAAAAGTGTGAAACGTGAAGAACTGAGGTCATGGACTGGTGAGGTCCATCTGTGAGAGGACTTTATCATCTGAACACACACACACACACACACACACACTGTACACACACACACACACACACACTGTACACACACACTCAATAATAAAAGTAAAGGTTTGTGTTTCTGCTGTTGTTTGTATGTGTGTGTGTTTGTGTACAGTGTGTTTGTGTGTACAGTGTGTTTGTATGTGTGTGTGTTTGTGTGTGTGTGTGTGTGTGTGTACAGTGTGTTTGTGTGTGTGTGTGTGCAGTGTGTTTGCACAGTGTGTTTGTGTGTGTGTGTGCAATGTGTTTGCACAGTGTGTTTGTGTGTGTGTGTGTGTGTACAGGACATGTTCTCTTCTCATCACTGTGAGAACCTGCTAAATATTTGATGTGAGACATGAGCGTCCAGGCTCCCTCAGGGTGGGCCCCCTCAGGGTGGGCTCCCTCAAGGTGGGCTCCCTCAGGGTGGGCCCCCTCAGTGTGGGCTCCCTCAGGGTGGGCTCCCTCAGGGTGGGCTCCCTTAGGGTAGACTGCTTCAGGATGGGCTTTGTCGTGAACCGACTTCTGCTTTACCTTTTGTATTATCCAGTGGTCTCCAACCTTTTCAAAGCCAAGTGACATCTGTCACAAACACGAAGCCCCGCCCCTTCTGTCTGTAACAATGTGATGTCATTGTACAACTATGACATCACACTTGGAGCACTTTTCTGCCTTTAAAACAAAAGTATTGGCCCGACATTAGTTTTGAGGTATTTTGAGGTGAATGAGGTTCTTTGTTGACAGCGCCCTCTGGTGGCAGCAGAAGGTAAGGCAGGATGAGAGGATTATATACCTTTGATACTAGTTTAACCAGATATTTTAGATTTAAGATTTTATTCCACATTCTTCAGCATGACATCCCAGAGTGGAAGTTCTCATGACGCTGTGGTCTGCGTCTGCGTCATCAGCACTGACCTAAACAAACTGCTTCTGTTTCAATCATCCCTAAAGTACAAAGAGCTCTCGTGTTTACCACATCCCAGACAGATCCCAGGCAGATCCCAGGCTGATCCCAGGCTGATCCCAGGCTGGTTTCAGGACGGTCCCCGACCAGTCCCTGGCCGGTTCCAGGCCGGTCTCACGCAGATCCCGTCCCCTGCCTCTGATCTGTGCAGTTTCAGAGCTTGCATCAGCTGAATGCTGTTTCAGACAGAGCCCGAGGGCCACTGCTTCATGAGGACTTCCTTTATACACAACTGTTTGAACTTTGGATCTGCACAATCCTAATTAGCAATGCTTCTAAAAAGACGTCTGCCTGGAGGATGAAGAGCAGAGGCGGGGCGTGTCAGGTGAAACTGCTGAAGACAAATGAGAAGTTCTTCACTCTGAAGTTTCCTCTGAAGGTTCATTAAAACCCTGATGACGCGGCAGGTTCTAGGACAAAGACTTTGCTTATTCTCAAAAATTATTATTGCAATTTCATGTTTTTTCAGACAGATGGGAAACAGAATTGGTCGTTAGGCGGGTTAACGCTGAGTCTGTGCCACGCCTGCCCTGCATGTATCAGTGGGAATGAGCCCTCACTCTAACAGCTGATCCCAGTGGGACAGTCTGGGGGTCTCATCTGTGTGAGGGGCCGGTGCTGATGGGGCTCCTCACCGTCTGCTCCTCTGCTTCTGCCTCGGGCTCTTTCATCGCTCACAGAAAAACTTTGTTGATCTGTTGAAGTTTCAGATGTTTCAGATATTACTGATCCAAAGAACACCAGACCTACAGTGGAACATGGGGGTGGAAACCTCATAGTTTGGGGCTGTTTTTTGGCTGAGGGATCAAGCTGATGGATCAGTGAAAAGGACAGAATGAGGGGAGGTATCAGGAGGTTTGGAGTGAAAACCTGCGTCCACCAGCGGGTCAACACAAACACACAGGTCTGGATCCTCAGTCTCCAGATCTCAGCGCAACACAGCCCTGCTCTAGAAGAGATCTGCAGGAGGAATGGGCCAAAACACCAGCAACAATGTGTGGAAAACTTGTGCAGACTTACAGAACATGTCTGACCTCAGTCATTGGCAACAAAGGGAAAAGAACACATTGACCTTTGACATCCGAGGTTTACAGAAATCTCTCATGTACATTTCCAGGTTTTCGCTGTCCTCTTAAAGGACTCTGCTGGTCTAGTCTCAGAAGGAATGAGGGTCAGTCTAGTCTCAGTCTAGTCTCAGAAGGATCCGGTCTCCGTGGTTTCACCAAAGGCACAGATTTACATGAGTTTTGTTCTATATCATTAAATTGAGGAGTTCTGGGTTTGAGCAGCTTCAGAGTTCTCCTTCGTTTCCCTTTGGCTTGTGACTTCATTCATCACAGTTTTATCTAATGGCATCTGCCGGTCTCCTCCCTCAGCCATCAGCACCCCCCCCCCCCCCCCACCTCACCCCCTCACCCCCACACCTCACCCCCACACCGCTCCCCCTTCCCCAGTGCCCGTACAGCTGCCACTCTCGCCTCTTCTAATCACAGATATTTTTGCCCTTCTTGCCGCTAACCCCAACAGCAGAACGTAAATGCGCTGCTCTCTTCTCTGTGACTCACGCGTCAGATCTGTGGAGACCGTTGTTCAGTCGATTTAAAGCTGAGGAACCTGACTTTTAAAACACAAAATAACAATCGATCCATTTCAGTCTCAGGTTTTTGAGGAAACACTGTAGTAACATGCATCTAGTCCTTTGATAATGAAAACAGAATAAGACCCGGTCTCTCTCTGGTTTCTCTTAGTCCTGGTCTCTCTCTGCTCTCTCTCATTTCGCTCTGGTCTCTCTCTGGTCTCTAAGTCGTGGTCTCTCTCTGGTCTCTCAGGCCTAGTCTCTCTTTGTCCTAGTCTATCTCTGGTCTCTCTCTGGTCTCTCTCTCTGGTCTCTCTCAGTCCTGGTCTATCTCTGGTCTCTTTCTGCTCTATCTCTAGTCTCTCTCTCTCTAGTCTCTCTCAGTCCTGGTCCCTCTCAGTCCTGGTCTCTCTCAGTCCTGGTCTCTCCTCTCTCTGGTGTTGCTCTGCCACAGACGGCCTTCTCTCTCCGCTCTCCGTCCATAGAAACAGTAAAATCAGACAGAGACGAGATTTTGGTGCAATCACAGGAGAGTGCAATCGCAAGGGAAGACCCAGGACACAGAGGGAGGAGACCAGGAGGAGACCCAGGACACAGAGGGAGGAGACCAGGAGGAGACCCAGGACACAGAGGGAGGAGACCAGGAGGAGACCCAGGACACAGAGGGAGGAGACCAGGAGGAGACCCAGGACACAGAGGGAGGAGACGCAGGACACAGAGGGAGGAGACCAGGAGGAGACCCAGGACACAGAGGGAGGAGACCAGGAGGAGATGCAGGACCCGCTGGGGACTGCTGCCCCCGCGGCAGCACCGGATAAAGCGGCACTGAACTGTTTGTGTTTAAAGAGCATCTCTCTGTGGCTCCTGCTCCTGTCCCTGGGCTTCCCTCTCTCCGCCCACACGGCAGTCGGCAGGGAGATCCTACAACATACACACACACACACACACACACTATAGACACACACACACACACACTATAGACACACACACACACACACTGACTCGCAGACTGAGCTGTGAATTATTCAGTGTGCGTTGGTGGGTCTCACGCATCCTTACATAATGTTCAGAGGAAAGAGGAGATTTCTCGATGTTAATAGGGGACTCCTCTCTTTCTCCTAGTCTCATGCCGGTCCTCTCCTGTCTTTCTCCTAGTCTCATGCCGGTCCTCTCCTGTCTTTCTCCTGGTCTCATGTCGGTCCTCTCCTGTCTTTCTCCTAGTCTCATGCCGGTCCTCTCCTGTCTTTCTCCTAGTCTCATGCCGGTCCTCTCCTGTCTTTCTCCTAGTCTCATGCCGGTCCTCTCCTGTCTTTCTCCTAGTCTCATGCCGGTCCTCTCCTGTCTTTCTCCTGGTCTCATGCCGGTCCTCTCCTGTCTTTCTCCTAGTCTCATGCCGGCCCTCTCCTGTCTTTCTCCTAGTCTCATGCCGGTCCTCTCCTGTCTTTCTCCTAGTCTCATGCCGGTCCTCTCCTGTCTTTCTCCTAGTCTCATGCCGGTCCTCTCCAGTCTTTCTCCTAGTCTCATGCCGGTCCTCTCCTGTCTTTCTCCTAGTCTCATGCCGGTCCTCTCCTGACTTTCTCCTAGTCTCATGCCGGTCCTCTCCTCACTTTCTCCTAGTCTCATGCCGGTCCTCTCCTCACTTTCTCCTAGTCTCATGTCGGTCCTCTCCTGTCTTTCTCCTAGTCTCATGCCGGTCCTCTCCTCTCTCTCTCCTAGTCTCATGCCGGTCCTCTCCTGTCTTTCTCCTAGTCTCATGCCGGTCCTCTCCTCTCTTTCTCCTAGTCTCATGCCGGTCCTCTCCTCTCTCTCTCCTAGTCTCATGCCGTTCCTCTCCTGTGTATATGTGTCATTAGTGTAGTGGAATAACACAGAACTTTCCGACACGGAGCTGAGTACGTGACAGAGTGTGAACCTGTTCTAACCCCTGTCCGGGCCTCAGCTCTAGGTCAGCTCTGTGTTAACTCTAGGTCAGCTCTGTGTTAACTCTAGGTCAGCTCTGTGTTAACTCTAGGTCAGCTCTGGGTTAACTCTAGGTCAGCTCTGGGTTAACTCTAGGTCAGCTCTGGGTTAATATAGGTCAGCTCGGGGTTAACTGTAGGTCAGCTCTGGGTTAATATAGGTCAGCTCGGGGTTAACTCTAGGTCAGCTCTGGGTTAACTCTAGGTCAGCTCTGGGTTAATATAGGTCAGCTCGGGGTTAACTCTAGGTCAGCTCTGGGTTAATATAGGTCAGCTCGGGGTTAACTGTAGGTCAGCTCTGGGTTAACTGTATGTTAGCTCTATGTTATCTCTAGGTTAACTCTAGGTTAACTTTGGGTTAGTAAGAAGGTCCTGGGTTCGAATCCCGGTCGGACCAGGGCCTTTCTGAGTGGAGTTTGCATGTTCTCCCCGTGTCTGCGTAGGTTTCCTCGGGGTGCTCCGGTTTCCCCTACCACTAAAAATATGTACAATATTTCTGGCATGCGCCTCCTGTTCGGCGACCCCGCTCCCATCTCTGTGTGGAGTGAGAGACAAGTGCCCAAAAGAAAATAACAATTGTAAACCGCTTGGTGACTCTGGTCTGTGAAAGGTGGTATATAAATAAAGATTACTTACTTACTTACTTACTTAACTCTAGGTTAGCTCTAGGTTAACTCTGGGTTAACTCTAGGTTAGCTCTAGGTTAGTGTGGTACACCCGAAAATGTGTAACCACAATTGTTTTGCCTTATTTCAGCAATGGTTTGTTTGAATTTATATTTGTGTAACTATTTGTTTATAATTTAGAGAAAATTAGATTTTATTTAGTAAAGGTAGTCTTGTTTGAATTTGGTGAGTGCAGAAAGAGTCTGATAGGAACTGTTGTCATTCTCAGATGTAATAGGGGGACCGAATTGACCGTGACCCTCAAGACACGATCTGCAAATGTAAAGTGCTGAGTCATTCCTCTCTGAAACTTTTCTATTTACATTCAGGTTTGTATTTGGCCCAGAAACGCCACAAATTGAAGCCTCGTTACTTGAGAGTACCTGTTATAGAAATAAGAGAAAATTAAGATTTATTGTGTAACGTTTGAAAGCAGTTTTCTATGGGTAACTGCCGAATGAGCTAACAATGCTAATGCTAGCGGCAGAGTCCTGTATGTTTTTTCGCGGCACTTTTCAACATCAGACATGTTTAGAGCAAGTACCATTAGAGCGGTAACATGTAGAGCCCTTTTACTTCTAAAAGCCTCCTGTCCTGTGAATGTTTAAGTTTAGGACACAGTCAGTTTTAGTTGTTGTGTAATGTTGTGAAGATATGAAAGAGTTTAAGTCAAGAGTCATTATAATGCTAAGGGTAATTTGTAAAGTATCCACTATGTAAAAGTAACTTAGAATACAATACAATACAATACAATTTATTCTTGTATAGCCCTAGGTCACAACAGAAGTCATCTCAGAGACTTAACAAAACCATTGAAATCACCAACACAGGTCAGAGAATCAACAGTTAAAACACATGAAGAATATAAAGCACACACAGAAGAAAATGTCCATACATGTTGTAGAATGCTAAAGTGTCCTGATCATCACCAATCCTTTCTGTTGGACACTAACTGTCCAACAAGACCCTCCTGCATCCACAAGGAACAACTCTTAAAAAACCCAGTGGGAAAAAGTGAGAAACCTTGGAGGAGAACTAGGGAAACCCACAGGGAGGGAGACCCATATGAGAAAGGGATCCGCTCCTCCGGACGGACAGACTAATGATCCAGGACCTAAGCTAGCTACAGAACGTGGACCAGTGGCCGCTGAACCTGGACAGGTCCGGTGCAGGACTGAAGCACTCCCAGGCGGGTCGGGCGGGGCAGTCCGCAGGTGTAGATGGAAGAGGCCAGGCTCAGAGATCCCGTCATCGTACCATGAAACAGACAATGGGACAACGGGTGAATAGCAATGAACAAACTACAGTCAAAATCCTAAAAATGCTAAACAGATAAAGTAGGAAGGAGGAGAGGATAGTGCTCAAGTTACCATACTTCTCCAGCAGGGGGCTCCCTCTGCAGCTTGACTGACACTCTGAGGAGTTTAACCTTCCCTGAGTCTTACTTTCCTAACCATATGCTAAACTAAAGAGGACTGTTTTAAACCTAGCCTTGAATGAAGAGAGCGTATCTGAAAGGAGGCGAGACACGGCTAGGCTAGCCCAGGCTACAGCACCAAGATTCATGGATTGCACACCAAGTGTGCAAACCGATCCAAGCAAACCTAATCATGTACCACATATCATATACATCATATATACCATACATACCATATATATCATATGTAATACACAACATAACATACAGCATAATATATAACATAATATACAACATAACACAATACATAGCATATATATATATAATATATACACCATATATTATATATTACCTAATTATATGCTAAATTAAAGTAAAGTGCTTTAAGCCTGGCCTTGAATGTGGAGACCGTATCTGCTTCCTTAACATAAATGAAGCTGATTCCACAGTAAAGGAGCTTGGAGCTAAATGCTCTGCCACCAACAGTGACCTTTGAGACCTTAGGAACCACCAGACGTCTGGCGTTTTGTGAGCGCAACGCTCGACCTGGTTGATACGACACTAACGTGTCTTGGAGATAAGAGGGAGCCAAGCCATTTATGGCTTTATATGTTAAGAGAAGGATTTTAAACTTTATTCTGTACTCCACAGGGAGCCAGTGGAGTGATTTTAACACCGGAGTTATGTGCTCCCTCCTTTTGGTACCTGTTAAGATCCTAGCTGCTGTATTCTGAACGAGCTGGAAGCTCTTCAAAGAGGCTTTAGGGCACGCTGCCAGTAAAGCGTTACAGTCGAGCCTTGAGGTGACAAACGCGTGAATAAGTTTTTCCGCGTCACTTTTAGGAAGGAAATTCCTAATTTTAGCGATGTTCCGTAGGTGGAAGTACGCCGTTTTAGTTGCTTGGCTTATATAAGCCTTGAAGGAGAGTTCTTGGTCAAAAATGACTCCAAGATTCCTCACAGTGTTACTGGGTATTATACTGACATTATCGAGAGTAATTGTCTGGTTAGTGAGGGAGTCACGCAGGCGCTTCGGACCGAGTAGGATCACTTCTGTCTTCTCCGGGTTGAGAAGTAGGAAGTTAAGAGTCATCCGTGGGGCGGCACGGTGGCTGAGTGGATAGCACTCTCGCCTCTCAGCAAGATGGTCCTGGGTTCGAATCCCGGTCGGACCAGGGCCTTTCTGAGTGGAGTTTGCATGTTCTCCCCGTGTCTGCGTAGGTTTCCTCCGGGTACTCCGGTTTCCCCTACCACTAAAAATATGTCCAATAGTTCTAGCATGTGCCTCCTGTACTGGCGACCCTGCTCCCATCTCTGTGTGGAGTGAGAGACAAATGCCCAAAATTAACAATTGTAAACCGCTTTGAGACTCAGATCTGCAGTGAAAAGGCGGTATATAAATAAAGATTACTTACTACTTACTACTTACTTACTATCCACATTTTAAGGTCCTTTATGCAGGCACTGAGCTTTTCTAGCTGATCTGTCTGATTTGGCTTCATCGACAGATAAAGCTGTGTGTCATCTGCATAGCAGTGGAAATTAATTCCATGCTTTTTAATAATGTTTCCCAGTGGCAGCATGTAGAGAGTGAAAAGAATCGGTCCGAGTACCGAACCCTGCGGGACACCGAATTCTACTCCAGAATAAGGCGACAAGTTCTGATTTACGTTGACGAAGTGATACCGATCTGATAAATAGGATTTAAACCAGCCAAGGGCTGTTCCTCTAAGACCTATATCACATTCTAGCCTCTGCAGTAGAATGCTGTGGTCTATTGTGTCAAATGCAGCACTAAGGTCCAGTAGGACCAGCACTGACACTTGTCCATTATCAGCAGCTAGTAGTAAGTCATTTGTGACTTTGACTAGTGCCGTCTCAGTCTATGATGAGCTCTGAATCCTGATTGAAAGACTTCAAACATATTATTTTCCTGCAGGTGGCAGCGAAGCTGCTCAGCTATAAGTTTTTCCAGGATTTTAGATATGAAAGTGAGGTTTGAGATCGGTCTGTAGTTTGTAAGTATTTCTGGGTCCAGGTTTGTTTTCTTCAGAAGGGGTTTGATTACCGCGGTTTTAAAAGCTTGTGGGACATAGCCACTTTGTATGGATGCGTTTATTATATTTACGATAGGCTCAATTATCAAAGGAAGTATGTCTTTGAAGAGCCATGTCGGGACTGCGTCTAACATGCAAGTTGAGGCCCCTGAGGATGCGACCACAGAGATCACCTCTGCTTGGCTCACAGCCATGAATTTATCGAGGCCCACTGAAGAGTCTAGAAGTATTACATTTGAGAGTATAGCAATATCATCATTCATTAATATCATAATAATCATTAATAAGAGACAAATGTAACAAGTGCTGAGTCATTCCTCTCAGAAACTTTTCTATTTACTTACAGATTGCGTTTTAACTTTTTTTGTTCATGTGGTCTCAACATCAGCTTGGGACCCGTAACATTAGCTCTATGTTAGCTCTAGGTTAGCTCAGGTCCACCTCCCTCAGAGCAGCACAGGCTCCTGATCATTTACACGTGTTTACACCATAGACTGTATATATTAACGGACGTAGTCACGCCTATCTCCGCCGTTCTAACTAATGGGCCAAATAATGGGCTTTCATGGAGTGATTCAAAATGGCCACGGCTCCTGGAAAATGTGAAAAAACACATCTGCGCATGCGTCAGCTGCACGAGCCCCATTCATTTAAACGAGTGACTTCTAAAGTCCACAGCGACTAAACTAGACTGGTCCAGAACACTCAGCATTGACACACATGTGGAACGGAGCTTTGGGCCAAGAGACACTTTTGGAACATCCTGTAAAGACGTTTTCGAGAGGTCTGCCAATGCTATATGTTAGCATTGGCTAATTCTTATTCCAGGTCCACCCCCACAGGCCCGGGGTGGTATTGCAGCATGTCAGCGCACATCATTTTGGCCACTTTTGGGTCGGGACCCGCCCACACTGGGTTACATCCTCTGAGTGCTCCTACTTTAAACAAGACTATGTGTGTGTGTCTCTGTGTGTGTGTGTGTGTCTCTGTGTGTGTGTGTGTGTGTTTGTGTGTGTGTGTGTGTGTGTCTCTGTGGATGTGTTGGAGTGCAGTGACCCAGAACATACATGGTCCTGTCTAATAGCCCCGCCCCCAAAGCCCCCAGAGATTTCATGTTTAAAGACCAGTGTTTAAAGTGGACTTTTATGAGTTTGGAAACAGCAGCTCGAGGCTCTGTGTGTGACACGTGTTATATTAATATTCACAGTGCCTTGCGAAAGTATTCGGCCCCCTTGAACCTTTCAACATTTTGCCACATTTCAGGCTTCAAACATAAAGATATAAAATGTTTGTGGGACACAATCGTGAAGTGGAACAAAATTTATTGGATAATTTAAACTGAAAAGTGGGGCGTGCAATATTATTCGGCCCCTTTACTTTCAGTGCAGCAAACTCAGTCCAGAAGTTCAGTGAGGATCTTTGAATGATCCAATGTTGTCCTAAATGACTGATGATGATAAATAGAATGCACCTGTGTGTAATCAAGTCTCCGTATAAATGCACCTGCTCTTTGATAGTCTCAGGGTTCTGGTTAAAGCGCAGAGAGAACCATGAAGACAAAGGAACACACCAGGCAGGTCCGAGATTCTGTTGTGGAGAAGTTTAAAGCCGGATTTGGATACAAAAAGATTTCCCAAGCTTTAAACATCTCAAGGAACACTGTGCAAGCAATTATATTGAAATGGAAGCAGTATCAGACCACTGCAAATCTACCAAGACCCGGCCGTCCCTCCAAACTTTCATCTCAAACAAGGAGAAGTCTGATCAGAGATGCAGCCAAGAGGCCCATGATCACTCTGGATGAACTGCAGATAACTACAGCTGAGGTGGGAGAGTCTGTCCATAGAACAACAATCAGTCGTGCACTGCACAAATCTGGCCTTTCTCAAAGATATCCATAAAAAGTCTCGTTTAAAGTTTGCCACAAGCCACCTGGGAGACACACCAAACATGTGGAAGAAGGTGCTCTGGTCAGATGAAACCAAAATCGAACTTTTTGGCCACAATGCAAAACGATATGTTTGGCGTAAAAGCAACACAGCTCATCACCCTGAACACACCATCCCCACTGTCAAACATGGTGGTGGCAGCATCATGCTTTGGGCCTGCTTTTCTTCAGCAGGGACAGGGAAGATGGTTAAAATTGATGGGAAGATGGATGGAGCCAAATACAGGACCATTCTGGAAGAAAACCTGTTGGAGTCTGCAAAAGACCTGAGACTGGGACGGAGATTTATCTTCCAACAGGACAATGATCCAAAACATAAAGCCAAATCTACAATGGAATGGTTCACAAATAGACGTATCCAGGTGTTAGAATGGCCAAGTCAAAGTCCAGACCTGAATCCAATCGAGAATCTGTGGAAAGAGTTGAAGACTGCTGTTCACAAACGCTCTCCATCCAACCTCACTGAGCTCCAGCTGTTTTGCAAGGAAGAATGGGCAAGAATTCCAGTCTCTCGATGTGCAAAACTGATAGAGACATACCCCAAGCGACTGCAGCTGTAATTGCAGCAAAAGGTGGCGCTACAAAGTATTAGCGCAAGGGGGCCGAATAATATTGCACGCCCCACTTTTCAGTTTTTTATTTGTTAAAAAAGTTTAAATTATCCAATGAATTTCGTTCCACTTCATGATTGTGTCCCACTTGTTGTTGATTCTTGACAAAAAATTTAATTTTCATATCTTTGTTTGAAGCCTGAAATGTGGCAAAATGTTGAAAGGTTCAAGGGGGGCGAATACTTTCGCAAGGCACTGTATGACTGTTCTCTCTCGCTGCAGACTGCTGGTCTGTGCTCTCTCTCTCTCTCTCTCTCTGCAGGCTGTTGGTCTGTGCTCTCTCTCTCTCTCTCTCTGCAGACTGTTGGTCTGTGCTCTCTCTCTCTCTCTCTGCAGGCTGTTGGTCTGTGCTCTCTCTCTCTCTCTCTGCAGACTGTTGGTCTGTGCTCTCTCTCTCTCTCTGCAGACTGTTGGTCTGTGCTCTCTCGCTCTCTCTGCAGACTGTTGGTCTGTGCTCTCTCTCTCTCTCTGCAGACTGTTGGTCTGTGCTCTCTCTCTCTCTCTCTCTGCAGGCTGTTGCTCTGTGCTCTCTCTCTCTCTCTGCAGGCTGTTGGTCTGTGCTCTCTCTCGCTCTCTCTCTCTGTCTGCAGGCTGTTGGTCTGTGCTCTCTCTCTCTCTCTGCAGGCGGTTGGTCTGTGCTCTCTCTCTCTCTCTGCAGACTGTTGGTCTGTGCTCTCTCTCTCTCTCTGCAGACTGTTGGTCTGTGCTCTCTCGCTCTCTCTGCAGACTGTTGGTCTGTGCTCTCTCTCTCTCTCTGCAGACTGTTGGTCTGTGCTCTCTCTCTCTCTCTCTCTGCAGGCTGTTGCTCTGTGCTCTCTCTCTCTCTCTGCAGGCTGTTGGTCTGTGCTCTCTCTCGCTCTCTCTCTCTGTCTGCAGGCTGTTGGTCTGTGCTCTCTCTCTCTCTCTGCAGGCGGTTGGTCTGTGCTCTCTCTCTCTCTGCAGGCTGTTGGTCTGTGCTCTCTCTCTCTCTCTCTGCAGGCGGTTGGTCTGTGCTCTCTCTCTCTCTGCAGGCTGTTGGTCTGTGCTCTCTCTCTGCAGGCGGTTGGTCTGTGCTCTCTCTCTCTCTCTCTGCAGGCGGTTGGTCTGTGCTCTCTCTCTCTCTGCAGGCTGTTGGTCTGTGCTCTCTCTCTGCAGGCTGTTGGTCTGTGCTCTCTCTCTCTCTCCGCAGGCTGTTGGTCTGTGCTCTCTCTCTCTCCGCAGGCTGTTGTCTGTGCTCTCTCTCTCTCTCTCTCTCTGCAGGCTGTTGGTCAGTAAGTAAGTAATCTTTATTTATATACCGCCTTTCACAGACCAGAGTCTCAAAGCGGTTTACAATTGTTATTTTTGGGCATTTGTCTCTCACTCCACACAGAGATGGGAGCGGGGTCGCCAGTACAGGAGGCGCATGGCAGACCTATTGTACATGTTTTTAGTGGTAGGGGATACCGGAGTACCCGGAGGAAACCTACACAGATACGGGGAGAACATGCAAACTCCACTCAGAAATGCCCTGGTCCAACCGGGATTCCAACCCAGGACCTTCTTGCTGAGAGGCGAGAGTGCTATCCACTCAGCCACCTAACTCTCTCTCTGCAGACCGTTGGTCTTTGCTCTCTCTCTCTCTGCAGGCTCTTGGTCTATGTTCTCTCTCTCTCCACACGGATCATAAGTGTGCTCTCTCTCTCCACACAGGTCATAGGTCTCACTCTCTCCACACAGGGTATAGGTCTCTCTCTCGCTCTCTCTCTTTCCACACTGGTCAAAAGTGTGCTCTCTCTCCACACAGGTCATAGGTCTCTCTCGCTCTCTCTCTTTCCACACTGGTCAAAAGTGTGCTCTCTCTCTCCACACAGGTCATAGGTCTCACTCCCTCCACACAGGTCATAGGTCTCTCTACACTGGTCAAAAGTGTGCTCTCTCTCCACACAGGTCATAGGTCTCTCTCCACACTGGTCAAAAGTGTGCTCTCTCTCCACACAGGTCATAGGTCTCTCTCCACACTGGTCAAAAGTGTGCTCTCTCTCCACACAGGTCATAGGTCCCTCTCTATCTCTCCACATGGGTCAAAAGTATCTTCTCTCTCCACACAGGTCATAAGTGTGCTCTCTCTCCACATGAGTTATAAGTGTGCTCTCTCTCTTTCTGCAGGTCGTAAGTTTGTGATCGCCAACGCTCGTGTGGAGAACTGCGCCATCATCTTCTGTAATGATGGCTTCTGCCTCATGTGCGGTTACACTCGCGGTGAGATCATGCAGAAGCCGTGCACCTGTAACTTCCTGTACGGACCTGGAACCAAGCGGCTCGCCATCGCTCAGATGGCACAGGCGCTGCTGGGCGCCGAGGAGCGCAAGGTGGAGATCAACCTGTACCGGAAAGACGGTAGGACTGAGGCTTCTGTGTATCTCTCTTTCTCTCTGGTCTCTCTCTCTGCTCTCTCTCTCTGGTTTCTCTCTGGTCTCTCTCTGCTCTCTCTCTCTGGTTTCTCTCTGGTTTCTCTCTCTGGTCTCTCTCTGGTCTCTCTCTGGTCTCTCTCCCTGATCTCTCTATGGTCTCTCTCTGGTCTCTCTCCATGGGTTTAATGCATTTTAGGGTGTAGTGTGTGTGTGTGTGTGTGACTCTCTCCTCAGTCTTTAAACCAGGATCCTCTGAGTCTCACTGTGTCATTACAGTTGGCTATTGTTACATCGCTCCCAGGTTCATTTGAGCTCCTCCTCCTCCTCCCTTAGACCCTCGCTCCCCCTCTTCCTCCTCTCTTACACACTCCCCCCCCACCCCACCTCCCCCAACCAGAGACACCCTTCATCCATAATGCAGTGAGTGAGGAAACATTATGCCACCTCCTCTTGAAGCCAAATCCTCCTCCAAGAGGGAGTACACACACAGGCAGAGGCAGACAGACTCAGACAGACAGACACACACATACATACACTCAGACAGACAAACACACACACACACACACACACACACACACACACACACAGGGTTCCATTCTTCTTGTGCCCAGGCCTTCATCATGATGGATCTCCGCTCTTGCCTTGCGCTCCATTGTCCCAGTACGACTGAGCACAGCTACAATCCATCACAGAGAGAGAGGAAAGAGGAGAGGAGAGAGAGAAGAGGAGAGAGGAGAGGAGAGGAGAGAGAGAAGAGGAGAGAGGAGAGGAGAGAGAGAAGAGAGAGAGAGAAGAGGAGAGAGGAGAGGAGAGAGAAGAGAGAGGCTGGAGGAGTCTCTGGTCTCTCTCTCCGGTGAGGGGGTTTTACAGCCTTCAAACATGCTTTTTTCACTTACTGTGTTATTTTTTAGAACATAACTTCTGCCATAAACCAGGGACCAGGGAGTGGATTTTATATTTTTACTTTTAGTTAAGTATCAGAGAACAGAGAACAGTACTTTTACCAAAATGTAATCTGAAATACAGACTAGGCACTGCCTCTTTCTGTCTCTGTCTCTGTCTCTGTCTCTGCCTCTGCCTCTGCCTCTGCCTCTGCCTCTGCCTCTGTCTCTGCCTCTGCCTCTGTCTCTGTCTCTGCCTCTGCCTCTGCCTCTGCCTCTGCCTCTGCCTCTGCCTCTGCCTCTGTCTCTGCCTCTGCCTCTGCCTCTGCCTCTGCCTCTGCCTCTGCCTCTTTCTCTGTCTCTTTCTCTGTCTCTGTCTCTGTCTCTGTCTCTGTCTCTGCCTCTGCCTCTGCCTCTGTCTCTGTCTCTGTCTCTGTCTCTGTCTCTGTCTCTGCCTCTGCCTCTGCCTCTGCCTCTGCCTCTGCCTCTGCCTCTGTCTCTCTCTGGTCTCTCTCCCTGATCTCTCTATGGTCTCTCTCTGGTCTCTCTCCATGGGTTTAATGCATTTTAGGGTGTAGTGTGTGTGTGTGTGTGTGACTCTCTCCTCAGTCTTTAAACCAGGATCCTCTGAGTCTCACTGTGTCATTACAGTTGGCTATTGTTACATCGCTCCCAGGTTCATTTGAGCTCCTCCTCCTCCTCCCTTAGACCCTCGCTCCCCCTCCTCCTCCTCCACTTCCTCCTCTCTTACACACTCCCCCCCCACCCCACCTCCCCCAACCAGAGACACCCTTCATCCATAATGCAGTGAGTGAGGAAACATTATGCCACCTCCTCTTGAAGCCAAATCCTCCTCCAAGAGGGAGTACACACACAGGCAGAGGCAGACAGACTCAGACAGACAGACACACACATACATACACTCAGACAGACAAACACACACACACAC